AACAGCAGTATGGATGCTTTGCAACTCTATGAAGGATTGTGGTTGGGATGGCAAACACCATTGATTTTTCTAGGGGTGTTTTGATTTATATAAACTTCCTTGCATGTACAGCTCCAGAATTTCAGGAAAAAACTCCAACAGAATTAAAATGAGAATGTGATTGTGTAAGTGTTGTGACATCGACCTCTGAGTCGAGAGCGACGTCAGCGATTGCCTGCGACGGCTCGCTGGCATCGCTGTGGCTGAGGGCACAGACATCGTCGGCACACTCCGCCACAGGGCACGCGAGTGACTGTGAGACACTCGCACTGTATATGGATAGCTTGTAGCACTGCCACCTGTGGCGCAGCCCATCGTGGGACGCTGCAGGACCACATATGGCAGTCGTATGGCACCGCCACCCTCAAATACCGGGGGGAGACACGAATTTCCGGGGGAAAACACAAACATTCCGGGGGTGGAATATTTGTGCACTTTGACAAGCATACATGTGCTGCTGTGTACTCGAGTCACGCGACCACCCGTGTATGAAGGTCCGACAAAAGCACTCATCGGGAGGACTGTAGGCTTCACGTCCACAAGTGCCTGTATCGTATACACGACAGCATCATCCGCACTAAGCTTCGTGCTAGAGCATTGAATTCCATCCAAGTACGTGATTAATGAAGGTACAAGTTACCTATGGCTACAAGATCATTATGTCGTGAATATATTTTTACAACCAGGCAGAATAGCAGAAGCCTCAATACGCCGCTGTCCTCATACCAGGCTGCACCATCCCAGTTGCAGGCATGGGTTGCATTCCTCCATACTGCTGCATCCCTCCGACTTGCCCCATTCCCGCTCCCTGTGCCATATTCGCAGGAGGCATAACACCCCCCGTATTCATCATCTGGCCTTGCGGATACACACCTCCCGCGCCCATCATTTGGCCTTGAGCTTGAGGGGCAACGCCTCCCATCGGCATCATCCCCCCTCTCGTCTGCATCGCGGGGTTCATAGCCATCTGTGGCTGTCCGCCGTACCCAGCGGCGACTGGAGCGCCGCCGACGTTCCCCATTCCCCCTCCGGTAGCCGCTAACCCTCCTCCCTGAGCAGCTGCCATGCCAGTCTGCGCCCCTGCCGCGGCTTTACCCGCTTGTCCGGATCCGTTTGGTACGGCACCACTGGTCGCGAGTGCTGGTTTGGAGTTCTTGCCGAACCGACATGTCAAGAGGGACACGATTCCTTCAATTATCGCAAGAATTAACTATGTACCGGGGGAAGGTGAGTACGGTCGAGTCAAGCACGTCGCGCGACTGTGACAGACAAACCGTATAGAGTGTATTGACGATCGTCGTGATGACAGTGACGATCCCCTGGGCGAGGGACCCGAGGAACATACCAACAGCGGAGAATACAGCGCCCTGGACGCCTCTCAAGTCAGTGTCTGTGCCTCCAGATCATCTATGAACTCATTCACCATGATCGAGGGTGACCAGCCCAAAAGCGAAGCCTATAAGTAAGGTAGCTATCCACCTGAATATAAAGGCCGTCAAGACGCGAGATCATTATGACGTGTCGGATTGCGTCGCTATAAATTTGTGCATCAGTGCGCCGACCGTCACACGCGTTTATGCCATACACAGGCAATTATAGGGCATTCCTGTCACCGGGACGCCATCTTCAATGCCGAGCTGACGGGAGACCGCGTCAAAGAATCCACTGGTGAGAGCGATGCTGTGGAACTCCATCTACCGGAGACGCGGTCTATCGGCGTAATGAAGCGCGTGACGTCACGCGTCGCCCCGGCGCTGGCGAAATACGCGACTTCGATCACGATGAGCAGCTGGATGTCGTTCCCTCCGTAAACCTCGCGTAGCTGAGGACTTCCACGGCGAGAATAGAGTGAACGGGGAAAGGCAAGACAGCACATAGCTCAACACTACGAATCGCCATATGGATCTCCACGGCTTAGAATTGGGGACTGGGCGGCGCGTCCGACCTTAGCCACCATATCTCAAAATAATTCGAGAGATGGTCGCTAGCGTCAGGAGCGTCACTTTTTGAAAGCCTTGGTACCAATGGTTATTGACGTCGAGCGATATCTGGACAATAACAAAATTCAGCCACAGTCCACACATGGAATTGATGCATCATTTTCCTAACCGAGAGCATCAGTGACTAGAAACACTTCATGCACACTCACAAACCGCTGCCAGGTGGGCCGTTTTTCAGACGCGGCAGGCCTTTGACTTGCCGTCAGCCTTACCGAATGAAGTTCCTTTTATACCTACTGTGTGTTCCCGTAAGTTGCTTCCACTAAAATTCCGCCTGCACAAAGCTGCAAGCCTCATCTCATTGTCGATGGCTAATCCACAGGTTCCAACTTCCATGCGACGCTGCGTCGACCCGAGCCAGGCATGGAAGATGCTCGGAGACATTTACCCCTGTGCCTCGCAGCACGGCGGCCTTTTTGTGATAGGCTAAGGTGGGCATATGGTGGCTTGCCGCCACGGACATATGTATATGGGATAGTGTCGCTGCGTCTGCCGACCACTCAGACATTCTATTCATTTATAGGCTCGCATTTGCCGTTAATTCTGAAGAAAAAACGATGATCGTATGGATGCTTCAAACTCGTCATTTATCGTGATTGCCTATCCGATGGCAATGCTTTGCCAGCGACTCACACAGGATTACGTATTGATCATGGAAAGGGGTTCCGAGCTCCCTCGCGGACGTGCGTACTACCCAGTCTCTCTGAAATACTAGGCAGCAGTGTGACGCTTGCCCGCCATTGACTCCTAGAAAACCTTTGTCGGCGTACGCAGTGAGCGGGTTCGTCCGACTTGGTTGTCCCTGCGGACAAAGTGGCAGCGCAGAGTCTTGGGCCTCTTAGCCCCGATGGACTGAATCACCAAGGCTCGACAAGACCGGCAACCTACCGGCAACTTACGCCAGAGGTGATGCTGCAAGCCTTCAGGTTAGAGCCTTGGGGGTGTTCTTGATGGAACGCAGTCTAATTCGAATTCAGTGATGGGCGTGGCCGCCGAGTCACCATTATACTCTCAGGATCAAGCTCATCTCTTGAGTTCTATAGCGCAAATCGTCTGGTTCTGGCACTGCTCTCTTGTTACATAACTGTATATGTGATTGTTTGCTGGATCTTCTCGAACCTCGAGACTCAACGGCCTTCTGCGGATTTCCAAGATGCCAGAGGCACAACGTTCACGAGCTAGATACGTTGGGAGAGTCTCAGAGATCAGCAGGAATGTGGTTATATCAAGTCCGCGCCGTGCGACCTCCGGTGCATGGAAACTGGAAGCACTGTCGCCCGTTGCTCCTCATCGTTTCTGGAACAACATTTACATGATCAGTCCAAAGCTTAGAATCAGTTTTATCGCCGCTCATGCTTCGTTGGCGGGCCTACTCTATGGCCTTGATACAGGTATTCACATTTGCGCCTATTCGTCGACGCCTTCTAATACATACCCGTCCACGAAGGGTCAATCGGACCAATCACTGAGATGTATCAATTCCGAGCCTCTGTAGGGACGTTGTCACCGACAATTCAGGGCTTCTACGTCGCTTCTATTCTTCTATCCGCCTCTCTATCATCCTTAGCCAGCGGTCATATTTCGGATCGTATATCTCGCAAGTTCGGTATCCTATCCGGCGCGATACTGACTCTCGTGGGTTGTACTATCTCAGCCGCTTCGCCCGACCTTGCCAGTCTCATTTGTGCCCGCCTCATCACCGGCTTAGGCGCAGGGCAGTCAATATCCGTCGTCACCGTCTATCTCTGTGAGATCGCTCCTCAAGACATCCGAGGGGCCCTCGCATGCGTCATTCAGTTGATGATCACAATTGGAATCGCCGCTGGTTACTTTGTCGCTTACGGGTCGAGGAATATTGCTGGCAGTCTGGCCTGGAGAACGCCTTTTGTCGTCGAAGCCTGCATTGCCTGTATACTCTCTGTCGGCATGGTCCTTGTCCCTTTCTCACCGAGGTGGCTTATTCAAATTGGCAGAGAGGACGATGCTAGGACTGTCCTCACTAAGTTGAGGGATGCAGACTGCATCGATGATGAAATGAAGGATATCAAGATGAGCCTGAATTTCGTGGACCAAGGCCGTCAAGCCGGGTTCAATGAGATGTTCTCTAGGCAATTCCGAAGGAGGACATTTCTAGGCATATTCCTCATGGCTTTCCAACAACTCACTGGGGTACGCATGCCCAGATTTTTCGCATCGAGCTGAGCTGACCAGACCGTCCAGATCGACGCAGTGCTATATTTCGCACCTATCTTATTTACGCAGGCGGGCTTCAGCTCCGAGCGAGCGTCTTTTCTGGCGTCAGGGATCTCGGGTATCATAAACGTCGTTTTCACAATCCCTGCTCAGATTTGGGTGGACAAGTGGGGCAGACGGCAGCCTCTCATTATAGGCGGCTTGTCCATGGTTGTTTGTTTCTTCGTCATTGGGTCCCTCTATGCCGTCCATGGAACTAGGATGGACGGACAGGTATACCTCGAGGGTCGAGGAACTCAATACGCTGTGGTGGCCCTCATCTACGTGTTCATCGCAAGCTACTCTTGGTCGTGGGCCGTAGTGAGCAATGTCATCTGGTTGCCGCATGTCACTTTGCTGACATGGAGCGAAACAGGTGGGCAAGATATATGCATGTGAAATAATCCCTACATGCCTGCGAGCAAAAGTTTGCGCTGTGGAGCAATTAGCGAATTGGATAGTGAATTTCGCTGTAGCGCTGACCGCGCCCCTGTTCTTGCGTGCTTCCCCCAGTGGACTCTACTTCTTTTTCGGATCGACCACGCTATTCACGGTGGTGGTGTGTTGCTGCTTCATGCCAGAGACGAAAGGGAGGAGTCTGGAGGAGATCGAAGGCTTGTTTGAGAAATCTGGAAGGCTTCCACAGGAGCAACGGGACATCGGCCGATAGAAAGGGGATCCGTTCCAGCCACAGGGCACTCAACGGGTAAGCGACTTTCGCTCGTAAGGAACTTGATAGTGTAGGGGGTGTTGAGCATCTGCGTCGAAACGCTACCAGCATTGGTTATAGAGGTGCGTCACTACAAAACTAAGTTGCCCGTACAGTGAATTAACAGCAGATTTCAGTAAATGTAGTATATTATATCAATGTGCAATGTCGGAACGTGTTGCAAAGGTTAGACCAAGAGACATTCAGCAATGCCACGACGAATCTGCCCCAGATCACCCCCTTCGACGCCTACCTCCTCCAGAGATTGGTCAAGACTGCCCAGAACTTCCCTCCACTGGTGCTCATCAGACGATGCTAAGCTCGGACCCTGTAAGGCTCGTGCCAATGTATCCGGTCCGTCGGAAAGGAAACTCAGCGTAGCTTCCACAACCTCGACCCTCCACCTCCTCAAGCCCATCGCCTCCAACCCGACTGGCGTCCCGATAGGACTGAGAACCTCAGCACGACGCTCCGCCTTCCTCCTGTCCCTCTCGGTCCACCCTCTGTCCGGAAGTCCGTACTTCTGCTGGAGCTCCTTGATCTGGACGGCCTCTCTGTCTCCGGGCTCGAGGTCGGCGTATTCGGGCCTTGCACACCAACCGTAGTTGTGCGTCCTGATACGAGCGTTGTGATGTCGTTCTAAGGATGAGAAGGCGGTTCGGAGCTGAGGGTCGGAAATGCAGCGTTTGTAGGCCCGAAACGCGTCGAGATACCGCTTCATCAGCGATGACGACGGCCCATCGCGAACTTGTAGCAGGGCAAGATACCTGCGGCATACGCCCCCAAGATAGTTGTCCAGAGAGTCTCGGAGGAATTGGTCGCCAGACCTCCCGTGAAGGGCGGCGCCGTCGAGGATGGATCTCGTTCCGTCGTCTTGGATGCCTACGTCCGAAACTCCTTCGACTTCCGTAACGATGCTGTACACGCTAGCGTAAACCTGAGCGGATTCTAGAAGGGTGATCTCGCCCGGAGCGTCGGGAGAATCGGGAGGGAAAAAGAACTTGTCGAGGACAGGCACGATGAGGTGCTGCCATTGATACGCCCAACCTCCCATGGCGAGGGAGGAAGAGGAAGGTGGAATGTGGGACCTTCATTCTCAAAGCCTGGGTAAAGTCATTTTATGAGGGCAGGGAGCGGACTCGCGGTCGCAACGCCCGTTGTGGCTGTGAGTAGATGTCGGTGCTTCTTCATGAGCACGGCAGGGCTGAAGTGGCTTGGCTAAAGCGAAAGGCACGATTCGGTCCCTGGTATAATGGCGGCCTCTGAGCGACTTCAGTGCGTGTTACTGCTTTCCATCCAAGGTCATCGATCATCCACTGCAATATCAAACGTACTTCACAAGCTCTGCAACTGTCCATTGCTTGCAGCGCTGGGAGTGTAATCAGGAGGCCATGCTTACTGATCGTCGACGGGTAACGTTATAGCGACGGCCATCTAATTGCTTAATGCTTCCAGATGCAAGCCAATCTTGGGATCGACGTTTGAGGTCAGCGGGGATCTAGGGGTAGCGAATCTGGTACCTGCATATTGAAAGTGGACTTGCGGAATCTCGCCAAACCTCGAGGAATGACAGCATCAATTATTGTTTCCAGTCCTCTTTGACCCCTCCTACTCTCTTCGGAACAGTCGCCAGCATCATCCCATGTAGCTGGGGGCAATCGATCTGAAGGACATCTAGGGTCGCAAACCTGGCATTTGCCTCGAAGTCCCACGTCAGGCGTTGTGGTGGGCGCGACCATGTCGCATAGCGAAACCCATGATGGTAGCACCTGGAAGAGGAGTGAGCGGAGGGTATCTATATTTTATCTAATATATGGGGGACATTGACATAGACGAGTGCATGAGCCCTAATACTTAGTCATGAAGTTCTTAGAGAGCTGGTACACATGGCACATGACCTAGGAATTCTTCGCAAAACTATGTTGCAAGTACTGCATAGAACGCCGCCAAGTTTGCATACTTCTACGCAGAGGACATGGGCTTGCATGGAATCAAATGCCCAACCCGGGCTCCTCGGCGGGTGGGACGGACTATGTAATAGAGAAGACCCGACCAGGACGGCGGTTTCGGCGAAGCTGGGCTGTTGCAATATTCTGAAGGCAGAACGGGGGCCCGCAAGAGTCCACATCAGAATGTGAGCGTCGAAGCGATGAACTGCGGTGGCGGAGGTGGTGGGCCCTTGTGTCGATCATGCCACGCGCGTGAGATCATGGAGGGGTGCGCCAAGAACCAGAGTGATGCACGAGCGCCAGTGGGTGAAGTCACAAGAGGAAAAGCTGGTACATACGTACCTACATGGTACTATGCTTAAGCTTACCTTGCTGGAGCAGCGTGGCTGACATTCCCCTTTATCCCAACTTCGGTTTGTCCAGAAACTGTAACCTGTGTAAATGCTGACTCGGACCAGGTACAAGTACTACTCAGATGGACTGGCGGATGGAAGAGTACCAAGCTAAATCACAATATATACTCGCTGCTGTCAATGATAACAATGTGATTCAGTAGGGGTCTCGAGCACAGCGTCATGCAGTCAATTACATGCGGCTCCGTCCTTGCAGTCTCTGTTCTTCCGCGCACTTCTCGAGCATCTCTATAGCTAGAGCACGATCACTATCGATCGTAGTACGCCATGTCCACTCCTGCAGTTCCTGCACATGGTTACCTAACCGGCGTAAGGCATCCAAATCCGCATACCACCTCCCGCCTTCAGCCTGGTGCATGACTTCTTTGTCTGAAAGCCCAGGCCAATTGAAATCATATATAAGACCAGCCTTCCTCGAGTTCCGCCAGATTCTCTGAGAGAAAGGACGACGAATATTGTCATAAATCTTGATGGCTTCAGGTAATGTCTTTCGAGTACATGCAGGGTGTTGGAGCAAAGAGGATAGGATGTACGCATCCTGTACCAAGTGAGGTTGATTAAGACGGTATTCCGCGCATCCTGCGTACCTCTATAGCTTGTCCCGCGCCGCTGCCCTGATGTGGAGTCATTGCATGGGCCTGGTAGCCAGCTCCTACGTCAGAATTGGTTTGATTTTCAGAAGTATACGCACCGCATCACCCACGAGCGCTACTCTTCCAGAATCGGAGATATGAGAATCCAGAGGTCTCACGGACTGTACCGCCCATCTCGAGGGTTTCTCGATACACTACCGTGCAACGTCAGATAACAATATGGAAGAGCCGAAGGGCACTCTGACACGCAATAGATCTTGCGCCGGCTGCTCAAAGTCTTCGAACGCCGACAATAGTTCTTCTTGAGTGACATTCGTTACGGCAGGACCTTCATACTGGGTTCCTTCCTGATCTGGGCGCGAAAAAAATGCAACTACATTGATCAGCTTGCCCCGAGATATTGGGAATACGACGAGATGCTATTTCGGTCCGCTGGTAAGATGAATGGCCCTCTGGAGGAACCAAGATACTACCTTGTTCTTGCCGAGGTACTGCGAAAGAAGCAAGTGTGGGGGTAATCCGGTTATCGGGTGTGTAAAGTCACTTACAAGCATCGGGCAAGTGTGAGACGCGAGTGCGATTTTAGGAGCTTTATCTTTCAGCATTTCAATGGGAATGAGGCCTCGATAAGCAACAGTGCCACTCCACATAGGTGTGATCTGTTCTGCGAGACGGGTCGCCCTTTCGCGATCACCTAGGGCGATGGCGCTGTCCACTTTCTTCTGCCACACTGCTGCTCTCACAGCAGACTTTATGCCATCAGCACCAAATACGACGTCGCAAGTGGCAGTTGATCTGTCCGTGAAATGCAACAGGATCGAATCTTCCTTATTTGAAGGTTCATCAAGAGAAGCGAGCCGCTTCGAGAAGTGTGTTGCGCATGAGGGTGGTATATTCTTCATAATAGCTTGTTGGAAGTCGGCCCGGTGGAACAGAAACGTGTGGCCTATCAAGGCAAAAGGGTGGGCAGGAATATTAGCGAGCAACTGCTGTGTCTCTAACTGAGATATACCTTGCCCGTGTACATCATAGAAGTAAAGCCCTTCGTCCTGATCCGATTTGCGTAATTTGAGAAGCGACGTCTCTGGGGTACAGCTATTAAAGCTTGGTTCATTCAAGACACGTAAGGCCAGAGTTCCCCACCGGTCTCGTCGTTTATTTCTCCTTGGACACTAGACACGGCGGCAAGATCGCGATCCAATCCCAGTGCACGCATAATCTTCCACACTCGAGGGAACATCCCAATGCCTGCGCCAATCTCAGAGAACTGGTGAGCAGCTTCATAGATGTGGACTTCTATGTCGGGAGACTTCGACAGGGCAACTGCCAGCACGAGCCCGGCTATGCCTCCGCCTCTATTGTACAACGGCGGTGAAGGATACGTTATCGGAATCGATACTTTGATAAGACTACAAGACGTACACGATCGCAACGCGAAACTTAGGGCTCATTCTGAGAGAAATCCGCGAGCGCAAGGTCGCTCAAGTCAACGTGTTCGACTGTCGAAACTAAAGTAGACATATCTCATGCCTTCGACCAGCTGACCCACGGGCGGATGAAGGACACAGTATCATAATTAGACACCAAGTCCGGCAGGATCCTGGGAAGTCTGTCTTGTCAGAGTGAGCATGGATTAGCTTGAAATAGCATTCCGATATCAAGGAGATGTCAGCAAGCGTTCCAATACTAGACGAAATACTCAAGAACGAGTCAGCATGGATCAGGGCAGCTCTGAGAGCTGAGTAGGAAGAGCCCTTCCTAATCCGAGTCGGACAGAAGTCAAAGGACAGCGGGGCGCGAAGTACGCCGGGAAATGCCGGTGGCAGTGGTGCTGTTTGGCTAATGTGGCGGTGGCGGGAGTGAGCTAGCCACATTGCTGCCACAAGATTTAAGCTTGAGGCTTCAGGTGCTTTTATCGCAAGGCTCCACGATTCATGCATTAGGTCGAGAGAATGAACTCATACCCAATCTCATCTAATCATTGAGGGCATAGTAACCTGGTGATTGTACGCTGACCTGACAACATATTGCACGTCTGTATCTATCAATTCGTTCCCAGTACCCCAGAGCCTTGGCTGAAAATAGAGCGACAGCCTGGCAGGACTGTTTTCAGGGAGCAGATCGTATCTCCGTCATTCTGGCGAACCCAACCTCTCTTCACTTCAACTCCGCGATATGAGTGAGACGGAGGCGAGAACACGTTGACGAACCTCATGTGGCTGAGCAACCATTGTAGGCGCACCGCTGTTTCTCCACAAAAATACCAGAGGTACTATGAGATTTGCCGCCATCCCAGGATAGATGACTCAATGGGTAGACGACGGTAATGCGGCCGGTTGAACGACTGGCTGACACAGGATCAGCAGGCGAGAGCAGAACTGCAAGACAACTAGCAGATCGATCTTGCTGAGCAAAGCAGGCGGTGGAGGATGTCAAAGCGAACGGAGGAGCACGTCAGATTCGCGTATTTCCCGCGCCGCGTAGCTGGCAGAAAACGTTACCTTAGGAGACTTGCTTTCACCGTAGCCCAGAAACTTAATTCGGAGAGCGGAAGCCATGTCTTGAGCTGCTGTCCTCGGAAGAAAAGACCACCGTAGCCTGTGAAGACTAGGAGTACGAGAGGGAGGCGCATGACTCACAGCTCATCAATCCTACCAAGGAGGGCTTAGGCTGACCAGCTCGAATTACAGGAACTCACACCGACGTGTTTGGCCGTGTCAACAAAACGTACTTGTCGTGCAGGAGTGGCCGTTGGGTGGAGATCCGGTGGACGAGTTGATGTAGTGCAGCCAGCCAGCCCGCTGCTCGCGCAACCGGCGTGATCGTTGGTTCACCTTTCGGTAGCGCGAATGCAGCTTGGCCGGGATGAGTAGGAGGCCCAGTATTCGAGAGATTCAACGGACAGCCGCTTTGTGGTGGTCTTGACCATAAATCGTCATGTAAAGCTTGGTATAGAACGTGAAGAAGCTGGGACAACCTGCGTGAGGGCTAGCGCCGTCGTCTGCCCCAGCATCCACTGAACGCTCGGACCTTGGGCCTACGGCTCCTTCAGGACGTACAAACGTGCCTCGACTTGACAGCGGCATTCGACAGCTCGTCCAGAGACGGCTGTAGTCATCGGGCGAAGCGAAAAGCGAGGGGTCGGCGCGCCACATATAGTGGGATAAACATGGTGCGGGCAACCATGGGGCCAGCAATTTGATCTTATCCTGGAGCTGTGAAGAAAGCAAAGGTGACATCGGGCGCGGTGGGTGGGGTATATGCGAGAGTCTTGGCTCCCGAAAGCCACTTGCAGAATCTGACAACGTCAGGAGTATACATTATGCACCTCTCGAAGGCGTGAATGACGATTGCTAGGAGGTGTGTGCCATGGGTGTATGTCAGAGGAACCGCGCAGGCACGTACTACGAAGAGCAGGGCGTTGAGCCAGTATCTTCAATCCTGAGTATCACGAGATATTGTGAGTGGCAATATTAATCGGATGCACTCAGGCTGTCGAGTCGGCGGAATGTAGGAGGAACGGAGAACCACGACCCGTTCGAAGATGAACAAGATGAACAGAACTCTATAACGAAGCGCAAAGCCATATGCCGTGCGACCTAGAGATGCAGAGGTATGGCTATCCGGTTTGTTCAGCCTTGCGATCTCAACTTTTTGACTTTGCAGATGCATAACGAAGGACACCACCGACTGTCGAGATGAAATGTGAAAGAATTGGGAAGCAGGGCAGCAGTTAGGGCAGCGTCAATGCTCACCGGCGTAAGTCTAATCCGGATTTAGATATCTCTCCCGATCTAATAGTAGGTGTGCCTGGCCTCGGGGCCGGATATCTATGACAGCCTGTAAGTGGTCTTTGTATTCCGAAGGGAGGTACCATCTCGAATGGAAGAAGTTGGACGTCAAGTGCTGCTTAGGTTCTGCCATTGAACCTTTGCTATGAGAAGTCATATCCACGGCGACGCCACAGGAAAGAGACAGAGTATCTAGAGTCTGTGTTCAGTTGCATGAGTGTCGCAGTACAAAATTCTGGAAGAAGGAGGCGGAGGTCCACGCTTCTGCTGTGCCGGGCGGAGCCCAAGGAGGAGGCGCGCCCTGCGGGAAAGCATATGAAGACGTCGAGCGCTGTCGAGCGGAGAGCAGAGCCGTGGTGCTTGCCGCGTACCAAGAAAGAAACGTTCTCAGAGTGGCGGCACGTTCGACGAAAGACGCGTGCTGATTGGCTGACCCCGCGAACGTGCAAGGTACGCAAGCAGCCACTGCAGGCTCTGCGCCCGAGATACACCACAATCTGGGCGCGCAAGGCCTCCCGACATGTTTTTATGAAAATCTTCTTGATCTCTTTAAACGCCGGCCGACGCTATATCTCGGGGATATATAAGATGCTGCTTGGCAAGGTGCCATAGCTAGTCAAGCGCTCACCTCCCTTCCCCCCCCTTTCCCCTCAATAGCTGCCATTCGTTCTTTCCATGGCTGCTTATCGTAACCAGGAGAAGCTGTCGCAAAGCGACTCTGATCCGCAGCTTTCTGTTGGCCACGACGCCTATGCTCTTGATGAGCGTCGCAGGGCTGCATTGGCTGAGGTCGATAATGCTAAATTCTCGTAAGTCCTCACAATACCCTCCTCTAGCATTCACGTTAAAAACTTGTTATACAGGTGGTTCCATGTCAAAGTCGCCATGGTCGCCGGTGTCGGTTTCTTCACCGATGCGTACGATATCTTTGCTATCAATATCGCCTCGACAATGTTGGGCTATGTATACGGTCACAGTGCGTTGAAACCTGAACGACCTCGACCACACCTGTGCTAACGCAGCTGCTACAGAATTCAACCTCAATACCAACCAAAATCTCGGTGTCAAGGTCGCTACCCCCGTCGGTAACGTATTCGGTCAACTGATTTTCGGCTGGATGGCAGACGTCCTAGGTCGTAAACGGATGTGTGAGTCCATACTTCCCGCAAACCACTTCGCAGTCCTGATCCAATTTATGGTAACAGACGGTGTCGAGTTGATGATCATCATTGTCGCGACTTTCGGCCAGGCCATATCCGGTGACGGACATGCAGTGAGCATCATCGGCGTGATTGTCGTTTGGCGATTCCTTGTAAGTCCAACCCGGAAGCTACCTCTTGATTGTCCCAGTAATTATGGACATTAGATGGGCGTTGGGATCGGTGGAGACTACCCGCTCAGTGCGGTGATCTCATCCGAGTTCTCCTCCACGCGCACTCGGGGTCGGCTCATGACCGCCGTATTCGCCGCCCAAGGATGGGGTCAATTCTGTAGGTCATGTATTCCAGTAGCAATATCGTTTGCATTAACCAGAACCACATAGCTGCCGCCCTGGTTGCGCTCATCATCGTCGCCGCTTACAAGACATCCCTTCTCAACGATCCCTATCCCGTCCTCAACCACGTCGACTACATGTGGCGACTCCTCATCGGCCTGGGCTGTGTTCCCGCTGTCGTTGCCCTCTACTTCCGTCTTACCATCCCAGAGACACCTCGTTTCACCATGGATATCGAGCGCAACGTCATCCAGGCTGCGCAGGATGTGGAGAACGTCTTGTCGACCGGCAAGTTCTACCATGATCCCGACGCGGTCGTGCAGAAGGCGCAGACCCCCAAGGCCAGCCGACGCGACTTCGTCGCGTATTTCTCCAAGTGGGAGAACGGTAAGGTCTTGCTTGGCACTTCTTACTCCTGGTTTGCCCTCGACGTCAGTATTCCATCCGTCCATCCCCGAATTTGCCTAAAATGAGCACCTTCATAGATCGCTTTCTACGGATTGGGCCTCAACTCCTCCATCGTGCTGCAGGCTATCGGCTACGCGAGCCCTTCGCCCAAGTCAGCCCTCGACGCCTACAACGCCCTGAAGAACATCTGCGTTGGCAATCTCATCCTTTCCGTTGCTGGTTTGATCCCCGGCTACTGGGTTTCTTTCCTGTTCATCGACTCTTGGGGCCGCAAGCCCATCCAACTCATGGGCTTCGTCATGCTGACCATTATCTTCGTCATCATGGGTATGTACTGCAACTACACCGTTGCATGCGTCATTAATTAATCTCGTTCGTCGTCCTAGGCTTCGCATACGACAAGCTGACTGCCACCAGCTCTGCTCGCGGTGCCTTCGTCTTCCTGTACTGCCTTGCCAACTTCTTCCAGAACTTCGGTCCCAATACCACGACCTTTATAGTCCCGGGTGAGGCCTTCCCCACACGCTACCGCTCCACTGCGCACGGTATCTCCGCCGCGAGCGGCAAGATCGGCGCCATCATCGCGCAGGTCGGCTTCGCGCAGCTCGTCAACATTGGCGGGACGAACCGCTTCGTGCAACATATCCTGGAGATCTTCGCATTCTTCATGTTGACCGGTATCTTCTCCACGCTCCTGCTTCCTGAGACTAAGGGCCGCTCCCTCGAGGATCTATCGAACGAGGATCAGAACGGCTTCGTCCGCGGTGTTGCTGGGACGCCTAGTTTAAAGCAGCCGGCGGTGACGGTCGAGTCGCGTTGAGGTGTCTGCTATGTTTTCGCTATTTACTTGGGACGTTCTGGTGTCGTGGCGTTGGTTGGGCTTGTAGGAGTGCTTTATTTAAAGCAGAGGTGTCGATATCAAAAGTGTCATAGTTCCTAGAAGCGTATTTATAGGAGCCCTCTGTATTGTTACGACCGACGAGGATGTATTCCTGGTTACTGGATATATAGTTATAGAGGATGATGCGCGGCATCCGTAATACATGTCTGTTAGGTCTGTTATGGATTACTCACGTTCAGTAAACACTGAATAGATCGAAGGGACAGTATGAAGGCCGTGAGATGCTGTATCGTTTGGTCCTTGTCATTGGACTACGTCTGCACTCTGGCGGTCTAGTCGCAGATCGCCGAGCAAAGATACTGAGTGGAAAATCGTAGTCTTTTCAGCATCCGTAGTAAAGACGCAGTCAAGACGGAGGTTTCGTGACGCAAGTCGAGGGCCATCCAGTGGCAATATGTTGCTACCATCCATCCAGGATTCCAAGCTTCAGAGAGAACGGCGAAGTGAGTAAAGCATACATCCGACGGGTTTCGCCGATAAACATTGTTCCTGGGTGTAACTGTTGTTGATAAGATTCCGTAGCGTGATGCAGAACTCATTAGTGCCCTCAACCTGGATTCTGTTGATAGCTATTGGATTCTGTTGATAGCTATTGGATTCTGTTGATAGCTATTGGATTCTGTTGATAGCTATTCGTCCCCCACAAAGCCAGCCTTATTGCGTCAGACGGAGCCCAGCCACTTCACGGCTCAGCGAGCGTCCGTAGTGCGTTAGCGTCGTGCTGAGCGAATTCAAGGGCAGAGGTAACGACGTCCAAATCGATTGACCGCGGTTGGGTTAATCTCTGGGCGGCGTGGTGCAGGTTGAAATAAATCCTGGAAGTGGCGACCTGGCAGATCATATACGCCAGCCTATCCCGGCGGGATTAAACCTTGAATCACCCTGGTATGAATAGCGAGGACTTACGGCGTCGGCGCAGTGACTTCCTCTCTATACCTGCCTTCGAGGAGGGCAACAGCGCCCATCGCAGCTACGAGATGCGAAGTGAGGTTGAGTTTGCCGGAAGAATGGATATGTACGTACTGATCATCAGACAAAACCATATCACACCGTCGCGCCATATTATACGGGTAAAAGACATCTGCAACAGCCCCCCGCGGCAGCGCCATGCATGGAACAAGGTCCACGCCAAGCAAATGGCATCCAGGACCTATTAGACGATCTAGACAGAAAAAATGCGAATTGCTGAATGCGATTCATACCATTGGGGCGGCAAACGAGATCCAGGCCGTCGGAGGCTCTAATTGATAACAGCTCCTCAAATCAGGAAGATAAAAGACCTCAGAATTTGATTGATTGTCTCTCCATAGTACGACTATGTTTGCCACCAAAGTGGTTGTGCATACGGAAGTCTAGTAGTAATTAGCTCCAGAAACTTATGCTCATGGAATTCAGAGTAACTGGTTCGTACCATGGCGCCAAGCAGGCAAATCCTGGCCTTCCTAGAATTATGATAAAGGCACAAGATCCTACCTTAAAGAGAATTTGTTACAATGTGGACGAACTATACCAGCACACTGACTGAGCAAAAGACCTAGAAGAAGGCTGATCTGCATTAATCGGTGGCGCTCAAGGGTGAACTTTGCGTACTGTATGACAGCGCAAAAAAGCATTCTGACCATACTCGCTGCACTTGAACAAACGTCTTGCAGCTATCGACCTTCCTTCAATGGAGCACACTCAAGTGCTTTGGGCAGGACATACTATTTGAACGACAGGAATGGGAAAATGTCAGTTTTGCCTGTGTAGAGCCCGTCAGCGACAGGCGGAACATTCACTTCAGGATATCTCATCTCACTAAAGGTGACGAATAACAAGCCGAAGGGTGTTAGGTATCGATTCTGTCGGCAGTGGGTTTCTGTCAAGGAATGCTTCCAGGGATGTCGAATGCTCCCGCACCAGAAGGAATGCAAATCTCATAAGTGAGGGACCCGCCTGCCAGACATGTTGTACTTCGTCATCGAAAGTGAGTGCTTTTACGGCTCAGCCGGGGGAAACCTAAGATTTATGTCAAACAAATACCGTGATCATATATCAGGCACGCTAGACTGCGGGACACTTGAGTTCTAGGCTATTGGCTGAGGATAGACTGCCTACCTCGCGAACGATAATGTAGCGGTCGGCAAAGAGGCGAGACACCAAGGTCGATGTCTTTATCGAGAGCATATATCTTCTGGCTTACGTCGCGTTGAGACCTCGGCCCGGGCAAACAAGAAGTCTACATTTGGTTCTGTAACAGAGGCTCTAACCGAAAATCGTGACACTCACTTTCGCGTGCCCAGCCGTGTATAGTACTGGGAGACCCTGTCGGGGAATGAATACAGTCCAGCAGTGTTCCCAATGCCCTTCTTATCAAGCGGTAAAGGTAGAGGGCTGATATGATCCCCAAGCTGATACGACCGCAGGCAGGTACGGTCAAAGGACCGATGCCGGCATTTGCGGGGTGCGTCCCAGGCCCCAATCCCCGACTCCGGAGTACAGCCCGACTTACGTATGTTTTGCGATCCTTAGAAAAGGCACAGACATCGCGCTGTCGTGTTCCAAGAGGCAGGTTTTGGGAGTGCGGCGAGAGCTAACAACGGTGCTCCCGCGTACCAGTGCTCTGTGGAAGGAGTAGTGCACAGCTCATCGTGAACGGTGATAGAATATCACCGGCTCCTATTGTAATTCCGACCGCAACATCGTGAGGGAGCGTGAGGGTTGTTCGCTCTGTGGTTCCACTTGGAGTGTCTCTTGTGCTATCCTTATACATTAAGTCCTACATCCGTGCAGCATGGCAGGCTTCTTGCGGGCGAAACATGGGCAGCTGTTGAGCTCACTTTCGATAGATATGTGGCAGCGCATGCTCGTGCTGCACATCCCACCGCACAGCCGTTACCAGGGGGCATCAGCTGGAGAATTCCGTGAACCCGACTACCTCGACCGCCTCTGATCGGCGGTCATGGGGTCCTGCATATGTAATCGCCCCCTCATTGGTCAGAACAGCAATCTCGCGACAACCGCGATATTTCGCCGACCGTAGATTAGATCACGCCGCTGTGGAAATCAGACATTGGCAGCGAGAGAGCATTGGAGATCCCTCCTGCATTGCTGGTTAACTGGTTGATATGTTTGTCTCATTGGTGGAAGAGGCATGCATGGACATCACCCACGAGAGGACCCAAGGCTGACGGAAAGAGCATGAGATATCAGATACGGATGTGTGACGGTTAAGGCCGTCACAGCCACTTCCTATGTTTTAACGGACTATTTCCTATTTTGTCTTATGTTTATCTTAACGGTCACTCCTAGATAGACAACGGACTCTGGCTCTAGAACGCAGTGCAAGCATGTATTCGGCCGACGGCCCTCGCGGATGACATCGTATCTACCCTGTACCTTTCGGCTTCCGTTTCCGGTATCTGACAGTTAGGAGTAGTCGAACGGTCACTTATACCGGTAGCTCCCTGTACTCTCCCCTTTTCCCCGTCGAATCAATGCCAGTACGGTCTCAGCGTCTACTCGTCTCCCGTTCTACGCCTGTGCTTCGGTTTCGGTCGCCTTGACCGTTACAGGATGCATGTGAAGAGATAGTTGAGAGTTTACAGAGGAACAGTAACACACTCTATTACAACAGATGCCCGAGCAAAGAAAGTAAAGCACTGCATCATTCATTACTGTCTGTATTCTTTTTTCTGTGTTCTAGGAGCATTGAAAACAGCCTGGTTTATCTAATCCAAGGTCACTGCGAGAGCACCTCCTGACCAATGAGAGGTGATTATGCAAGCGGGAGTCCATACACGACTACCTTGGTCACACCGTGACAATCACGTGTTTTGCCTATATATGGCAGGTCAGTGTAAGGAAATCGAGGAGATCATCGATAGAAATCACCACTGTCGAGCTTATTATAATCTCCATGGGTCGAGATCCTCAAATGTTTTTTATAGGAACTATTTGTATGTACTGTATCTTTGATTCCTATAAAAAACATCTGTGGTTTTCTACCTGTGCCCAAAGTTATAAGACCGACTTCGTGCTTTCCCCGCCAAGTGTGACAAAAATAGTCACGTGATAGTAGTCGTACATGAGCTGGCCCTATCTTAGTCGGGTTCACGGAATTCTCCAGGCGATGCCCCTTGGCCGTTACAGTGGGGACGGGCAGCGCCTGCCAAAGGGCATTGTTGGCACTTGTTTTGGTCCATGGACGTCCATGACATGGCAGACGTCTTGCCGGTCGTGGGAATGGAACTGCCGAGCACGATGAGTCCTTACCGAAGCAGCACGCGAGAAGCCAACTTGCAAGTGCATCTCCTCCCTCAATTTTGATCTTAAAAATAAGATAAAAGCTACAATAGATAGATAGAGGTGCATAGTATAGTTCTCCAAGAGCAAAATTTTAATAACTGATTGTTGTGAGCAGTAATACTGTGAACTCGTGACCGACGCGTCTAGAGAACCAAACTGCGATGCGTTGAACGCGTGCCGCTGTCCTGACCCTCGTCTTCTTGTCTCCTTATCTCTTGGACTGGAATCCTACCTTCCCATTTTATCATTGCTCGCTTATTGTGGTACTTCAGGGCCATGGCGGGACTGTTGTTCTGAGGATTGGTGTTCTGGCTGTACATGTCACCATGCTCTTCCATTCGGCGCCCCCCTCCGGAAGATAATGGCCAGCACAATACTTGAAATCCTCAGATTTAATGAACTCTAGATACTCCAATAATTGTCGGAAGGTCTATGTTGCTCTTGGGCGACTAATAGTATTATTAAATTATCTGGGTACTCTGTGAGATGCCCAAGGCTTCGAAGGCTTCCCGCGCTCGTCAAGCGAGTGCCGCACAAGCCAGGAAGGTTCTGCAAGGACATAAAGAAAATATACAGCCTACCATCCAGTCCGGATCTGGCCAGTCAAAGTGGACCATGAATGCATGCTGGAGGACCTGCGGCGCCGAAAAGAGGCGGAGAAGCAGCGGAAGCTCGCTGAGAAAGCTGAGAAGTTGGCGGGGATTGTATTGTTGCTGCGGGAAGAGGACATAAACAAGCTCACAGTTTCACACATTGAAGATCAGCTCGAAGTTCACCGACAACTTGATGGTAATCAAGATATGCCCAAGAAGTCGCACCTGAAGAACAAAGCAGAGAAAGTCGCAGCGTTGAGGCACGTGGTTAGGCACTACTTAGCAAAATACCCCGAGTCCGAGGGCAAGTGGCTGGAGGACATGGGGATTGGCATCGAGACAGACGAGAATTCTGACGCCGACATGTATGGCACAGACGGTTCTGACGACGAGGACGAGGGTGATGAGTATAATGCATGGTTATATAGAAATAACTTTATTACATTACTGGAGGTGATAGGGGCGGAAATGGTCTTGGAGAATCAATTATTGATATGCTATCTACGTTTCTTAGCCAAATTTGATCAAAATAAGGCATTATTTGCTACAGTATGCCATATATAGGCTCAATGTTGCCAAAACAGTGCAATCTCAGCTCAAATATTTATTGAGGCAAATTGTGGCTGCACAAGTGAGTGATTGAGTGCCGGGAGAAGCCGGGGATATACCACAATGGTATCTGACCTTGGATATCGAGCCTCAATTCTACCGGGACTGAAGTATCCGGCCTCTTGGGCGCTTCGCCACATTTTACCGCAACCGTATCTAACATACGGCCTCCAGACCTCACTTTTTTACGGAATTGGTATCTAACCTCCATCGGTATTTTCAGGGGTCCTTGTAGGCGCTGCCCGTCCCCAGTTACAGTATTCCACACTCCAGTCATAACCACGTGACTAGACGCGTCCGCGTCTCATCGCGCGACGCGTCAGATATAAGTCGGATGTAGCGTCATGACATTGATTATTCAACAGCACCTCTGAACGTTTACTCACTACACTCGCACTGAGAACAATAGAGCTATAGCGCCGAGATGTATGGCGAAAAGCCTGGAGCAGCCAACCCTCGTTACATCCATTGGATATGGCGAATCTTCTGAGAGTTGAAGTAGCTGATTGCAGCATAGTGTACACATTGTATCGTATATGGTGCCAATAAATGGCTTCGAGAGCGCAACAATAGATCCAAAAAGCACAAAGGGGCCTACTCCCGTGCGCGTCTAACGCTTAAAGTTCATCGTGGCTGCTTTCCGTCGTCTCCTGAGGCCTCAGGACGATCTTCTCGCCGCTCACCTTGCCGCTTCTGTGCAGCTCAAAAGCTTCCTTCCAAGAGGCCAAACCACCAGGCAGAACATGTGGCCTGTTAGGCTTGATGACTCCTCGCTCGAGGTACCCTTCCATGGCCGCCCAAAATCCTATACTGCTCGGCAAGCATTGCAATATATCACTACACGCACGAGAATCGCTGCAAGCCACACTCACTTAAACTCCGGGTACATGTGCGATGCGCCGTGGCAACCTCGCAACCGTACTCGCTTCTTCATTGCTGAGATCATAATGCTCTGCTCTGCGGGGAGAGTGAGGATCACACTTCCTCCGGGCGATACGATATCCACGGCGTTCTTCTGCGTGTTGGGGAGTGCGATTGCATCCATCAAGTACCTCACCTCTCCTCCCGCGGCCTCCAGGACGTCGTCGACGAGGGTGCTTGACTTGCGGTCAATGACAGTGCTCGCGCCTATGGATTTCAGGTACGTCTCGTGGGACGCTGATGCTGTAGTGATCACTTTGAATCCGGAAAGCGCCGCCAGTTGGATGGCTGTTTCATAGAACGGGGTGAGCCTTGTTGAGCATTACATGGATGGTTATTGCTCACTGTAGCTCCCGACGGACGAGCTGCCGCCGAGGACGACCATCACCTGACCTCTATACTTGCCTTCTCCTCCCGGCTTCCAGGGAGAAGTCAGGCCAAGGGAGAGGTCGTAAAGTCCGGCAGCAGCTGTGACAATGCCGACCGGGATTGTCGATGCCGAGTCATAGTCCAACGACGGTGGTATCTGAATAGGGTCGACCTATCGCGTTGAGCTCGCAACTAAGTCGTAGGTTCAACAAACCTTGGAGGCCAGGTCAGCATCGGTAAGACAGAACTGCTGGAAGGTCGCTTTGTCTCCATTGCTATAATCGCCTTGGCAGTTATACTGTCCTTGGAACAGAATTCTGTCGCCGATACGAAAGTTGCTGACGTTTCCCCCGACTTTGGTCACTTCCCCAGCAGCGTCCGTACCAAGTACGGTTGGCAGGACGGTGACGAACATGCCATAGTCAAATATCTGGAGTCAGGGGCTTGAGTAAGATACAACATCGCAAGGACGTGAAGCGCTTACCTTGTAGTCGACAGGGTTTACCGCCGTAGCATGGATCTTCACTTGCACCTGGTCAGGCGCTGGCTCGGGAATATGTCTCTTCCTAATGGACTGCTTCTGATGCGGATACCTGGCTGAGTGCACCCACCTCAGTACACAGTCGCCAGGTGCCATTAGCACTTACATTCGTACACAAGCGCTAGTTGTGACATGCTATGCGTATGCCTGGCAGACACGAGTGATAAGGACTGTGTCGTAGCTAATAGGACGAGGTAAGGCGCAAAGCGCATGGATAAAGCACGTCGATATATCCGGCTTCCCACTTCTAAAAGCATGATCTCCGAGGGATACTAGTATGGCTGCATGGCACTGACCAAGCATTGGCAAGTCGTGACATACTAGTACCTGGGGAATGGCCTAGCTTGGTAAGCTAAAGAGCCCGCGCCTGCGAGGAAGCGTGCGACGGATCCTCAGCTCGAAGAGCCTCAGAGGTTCGACCTCCGCCTCGACGGAGGTATGTCATGAGCTGTTCGGCCAGATACCATCATATCCGAACGCCTCTTGACGGTCGGTATCATCACGACAGCAGCTAGGACGGATATAGACTGGACCTCGCATCATGCATCAGGCTTCAGGGTCGATGCTCGCAGCAAACAACATTCCTTCAGGCAAGTCACGGTATCAAGAAACTCGTGTTTTTCCCCTTGACACTTACGGTAGCAGAAGTGTACCCATAATCCTTTTGGGAAATGCAACGATGCCCTTATCCGGTATGTGATCCAAGGACCAGGCATGATCGACTATTCCGAGTCGTCATGCTCGTTTTCCTGCGGGCGTTGTGCAGGCTGCATGCCGCCGTAGAAAAGCCACAGCACAATAGAGTGTATCTGCTGTGGTAATTACCACAGGATTTCGGGAAATTGCATAAGCGAGTTTATGCGTCACTTTCGGAATTTTCAGGATGGAGTCTCGGTGACATAGAAGGTCCTCTACAGTAGCGTGGTCTGCCAGTCGACACCCTTCGGCCGTGCTCCAAGCATGGCGTTTTTCTACCCTGTTTGGTGTCTTCTCTGTCACTGGCATCCGGACTTCATTGCAGGATTTCTGTCAATCTCTGTTGTTTTGTCGTTAGCTGGTGTACATGTATCATCGATCGAGCTGTTTCTCCAGTGGCGGTGCAACTGTGTATGACAAGAAACTCTTTGCGTTGCCCTTCGAGTCACCCTCAGTCGTCCTTCCATAGTGGTGTTCTATTGGATGGCTGCTCATCAGCATGATGGCCGTAATGCCTGCCTTCGTATGTCTGGACCGCGAAAACGCGTACACGGTACTCTACCCTGAGCGAGCAATATTGCTATCTTCGTACGCGTCCCATTTCCACAGACTGCGAATGATCAATGGCGCAATCTGGTCCCGAGCAAGACGGATTGAATCTGTATGCCAGTGGCTGGATGAAGTGAGCAGTCACATCCAGAATGGATGCACTGCGCTCGCTGGTACGTAACCGTGTTCCGTGTACTTCCTATCGTTGCGTTACATTCGTCCGAGAATACCCTCCCTGCTTATGAAAAGGGCAAAGCCTAGATGTCAGACAGCTGTGAGTAATTAGCAGCACTGCCTTCCCAGACTTGCCGTATTTTCGCCCTCGGTCTTTGCTACTTTTCCCGTTACCTCTCATGTCCTCTGAGCCTGAGTCTGCTGCCAACATGACCTCCAGCCCCGCACTTGACCAAAAGGGTGCACAAGAGTCGGGGAATCAGCTCGACGCTCTCAGCAAGAGGGAAAACAGTCCGGCTGAGCCACCCAAGGACGAGCTCGCGGGCGGTAACAGTCTTCCTAGCGGATGGCCATTGTTCATGATGGCGCTGGCCCTCTCGCTCGCCACCTACATCGTTGCGCTAGACCAGACGATCATATCACCTGCCACAGCTACAATGTGTGTGGATGCCCTAGGTTTTATCGTGCCGACTAATTCCTCTGTTATAGCACGGATGACTTCCACGCTTTGCAAGATGTCGGCTGGTATGCTAGCGCTTACCTGCTGACTTCCACTGCTCTGCAGCCCTTGTTCGGTCGCCTATACGGTTTCTTCAGTCTCAAACTGGTGTTCATTGCATCAACGGCTGTCTTCGAGATAGGATCTCTCATATGCGCCCTGGCCCGCAATTCCCCTACGTTCATAGTTGGACGTGCTATTGCGGGGATTGGCGTTGCCGGGGTCTATATCGGAGTGCTGGTGATCGTCAGTGTGATGATGCCTCTGGATCGCAAGTCACTCGCAGGTGGTCTCATAGGCGCCATCTATGGCATAGGCGCCATTACGGGTCCTCTGATCGGCGGTGCCCTAACAGCGAAAGTCACATGGGTTAGTGGATTTTTGCGCCGCCAAAACAGTGCTATGATGGGCTGACATACTGCTGTTCAAAGCGGTGGTGTTTCTGGTTGAATCTGCCCATTGGTGGAGTCACTCTGGGAATCATCTTCCTATTCCTGCATGAACCCCATCGACCTCAAACAGAAAGCATACCCCGTCGGCTCATGTCTATCGACTGGTAGGATTTAATTGCGTCATGTTCCGGCTCTTGTTGCATTGAAGTCTAGGCTAGGTATCACTCTGCTGCATGGCTCAGTGATCTCCCTCTTGATCGCACTCCAAAATGGAGGTGTTCGAGATGCCTGGGGAGCCGGGGTGACGATCGCTGAGCTCGTAGTCTTTGGCGTTCTTCTGCTTGGTTTCGTGGCGCTCCAAGTCTTCCTTGGAGAGCGCGCGGCCATCCCGGTTCGTCTCCTCAAGAACCGGACAATACTGGCCGCGACCACGCATAACTTCGCCATTGGCGCCACTTATTTCTCTCTGGCGTACTTCTTGCCCATCTATTTCCAGGCTATACTCGGGACTTCAGCACTTGGAGCTGGTATCCATACATTGCCCCTCATTGTTGCGGTCATCATTGCGACCATCGCTGCCAATGGAGCAGTGACGTTCGTCGGTTATGTCCCGCCATTCATGATCTTCGGGTCTACTCTGGCTTCTATCGGCACTGGTCTGCTCCACTTGCTTAGCCCGACTACTAGCACTGGCAAATGGATCGGTTACCAGATCATAACTGGAGTAGGGGTAGGAACTACTTACCAACTTGCCTATCTAGCATCCCAGACTGTCTTATCTGCAGCGGATGTTGAAGTCGGTACTGCCATCGTGAGTCATTCACCGGTGTCACCGTTCTATCGCAATTGTAATGACGTATCTCCAGGTCATCTTTTCACAGACGCTGGGCGGATGTTTCTTTGTGTCTATCTCCCAGTCCATTTACCAAAACAGATTTTTGAAGTATCTCGCTGCTGTCCCTGGCGTCGACATTCCTGCCGTGATCGCTGGGGGGATGACCACTTTCCGCGCGGTAAAGTCCAGCTACTTATTTAGCACATCATCCATCCTCTTATGTGGCGTAATTAGACCGTGCCGGAAAATCTGCTGCCTCAAGTTATCGTTGCGTCCAACCTTGCCCTGCGAGACGCTCTGGCTCCCTCAATTGCTCTCGCCTGCCTAGCCTTCGTAGCGGCTCTCTTCATCGAGTGGAAGTCTACCAAGGGTCAGAAAGGAGTTGTTGCGACTGCAGCTTAGGCAGCACAGGTGTTTCGGACTACCCTATGCTTTCCACATTTTCATTCTGCAAAGTACGCTATAGGCATCTTGTGCTAGATTCGCATAGTACACACGACACTCTTTTCGCAATGCATGCATGTTTAGAACGCCTCGAGGTTTATCCTGGCTTATTTGGTTGTCTCCGATTTACTTAGTACTATATTCTACCGCTTCCTGAGGAAATGATACCAAGTCAAGGGGCTACTGTAACGATCTGAAGGGCGGCCACACAGCGTTACACCCTTCGTTGCTAACGTCAATAGCATAGAAGGCCATGGGGACTGTGACATGCATGCCTGTACGCCACAGCTGACCGCGGGAGGCCTGCTCCAAAGGGAGTTACCCGCGATACAGGGCAGGTTTACCAGCACAACAAAGGGTCCGTTATGCCACCATAGAGCACGTTAGAGTACTTGCAATGGCGGCCTCAGGCTACTGCGGGGATTATTCTCCGGACACACATTACACGTGCCTATGAATCGATCAGCTCGGACTCGTAGTCGAGTAGATGTGCCAGAACTCCATGCAATAGCGATTCACTAGTACAGCGGCCAAACATTCAGATACAGGACAGTGTCTCTAATTCGAATACGGCTTTCACAATTCTCCGGTTGTAAGGCCAGAAGCGGCGCTAGATCGGCCTAATGCCTACCACCATGCTCACATCCATCCACATGCCCTCATTCCTGAGAAATTCTTCATGAGCCTCCTGTTTCGCGTCATACTCTTCAGCGGTCCCGAAGCCAGATGCGACCCATTGCTTTTTCAGTGCAGGCGAGACGCCCCCGTACAGACGTATGCTGCTTTCGACCTGATACTCAGGCATGCTGAGAGACAAGCACGCAGCTCCATAGGGGACTCGAACACGCATAGCTTGGATATTCGTTAATCCGGCTTCCCTCATAAAGGTCGGAATGAGATCAGCACAGCTGTATATCGAATAGAAGTCAGATTTCAGCACGTCGTACATAGCGAAGTCATGCCTACTTATGAACAAGGCCAGCTCTCTGCCACCATTCACGCGTAAGCTCGTTCTTCCATTTCAGATGTTCAGACTCCTCGGGGTCACCACTGCCTCGGACCAGCTCTAAGTTGAGCTCGGTGATGTTGAGTACTCCTCCGGGCTCTGCCACAGGACTGTCAGTATTGAAAAAAACCATCAAAGGCATACGGGCATAAAAATTACGGCCGATGGCACTCACTCAAAGTCTCGGCGACGTTGGCTATTGCAGAGACCCAGTGGTCCCGACGGATACCGGCTGTCAGTAATCTCTGGTGCACCAGATCGTACTTGTCATGTCGCTCTGGCGCAAATGGTTGTACAATATCTTGCACGAATATTTCGTCCGCGCTTGAATGAGATTTGTCGTATTGCTCCAGCGTCAGATCACAAGCGTCGAAGGTGGCATCGGGGCGGGCTGCAGCGCGTGCGTCCCGTAGCCAGGCACCGGTCCCTGTGCAGCAATCTAGAATCGAGCGACATTCATGGAGCTGAATGGAGGGGTGAACTAGGAGACCACCAAACGAGCTCCGGTAATGATCGTTCTGAGCTTGAAGTCGCTCTGCCTCGGTTGGGTTGCGAGGAAGAACATAGACATCCCTGTTAAGAACCATGACAGTTTGGTGGATGATATCTGGTACTTTTCCGTTCTAAATGGCTGTGATTATAAGTGTTCTTTGCAGTGAGATACGCCACGAGCCGACCTCATCCAAGTCCGAGGCAACTCGCTGGCTCCGGACCGACCGATTGTTCTGATGAACAAAACGGCTACCAAGGAAATGACACCCCGATATTGGAGCACTTTGACGGCTGCATGTAAACCAAGAGTCATTCTGCGTTGAACATCTCCGTATACGTAGGTGGCAGCCTGAACTCGCCACGCGGAAATTCCCGGAATACCAATCATACATTGTGCTCATCCGCCGCTCATTTCGCTCAGGCTCCGACCAGGGCCGACACGAAGAAGCTACTGCTAATTGTATCTGATCCAACTGTTCCCGCTTACTTATCTCGTGGCCTGCCCGGGGTTAGCAACAGACCGCTTTGAACATCATTCGACCTTTGCAGCGCGGTGATAGGACGAACTAGCGATAGCAGGGCATCAACCTGAATACGACATCGTTCTCGGGACAGGACAGCCGTGCGCTTGTCGATGAGCCGGCGAGTAATTAAATGACATACCGTCGGGAAAGCCTGGCAAGGTCTTCACGCATTCGCAGTATGCAGTACGTGCATGTTGCTGCTAAAATGTGAACGCGATAATGCGCCATCGCTGTCCTCGAAAGCGAGAACACTTCAGAAACGCGGGAAATATACCTCTAATGGACACTTGTTATAGGATACAACCACATCCGAGCCACTTGCACCACCGCAGCTCTACAAGGCGTCACTGGCAATGTCTGGCATGAGATAGCGCTTCTGTTCGTTTCGACTTTCGGTCTGCCGTAGGCTTTCTGTGCGTGAGAAAGGTAAGAGCGTATGGAAGGATACAAGGCCGACTGTTCTTCAATGGGTGTGGGAGTTGTGGAGACCGGGCCCAAGAGTTCTGGAGTCTCTCGTATTTTCGAACCTCACGCAGGAGATGCTGAGAATCTCGCATTCATCTACCGTTATAGGACCCTGAGTCAGATAAACAGATGTTTCGTTGTGCCGTGGACGCCATTCGGATCTCTGAGTCGTAGATGATAGGTGAGCTTTGATTGCATCTCAACCTGGATACAGCCTAGACATCTACGAACACCTAACTAACTCCGGGAGTTCGGAGGAACATCGACGAAATATGATCGGTGGCGTAAGTTCTAGTCTACCTCCGAGAACAGGTCGGAAAATGCGGTTTGAAATTACAGATGCGCAGAGTAACTGTTGTATCTGCACGAAATAGCAAGGACAGGGACTTCTCATGAAATTACTGGCGTATCAAGCACCGGGACGCTCAGACAATCCCAGAAATACGACCCCCACCGACGCTACTTTGCCACTCTCGGAGAGCATCTGAAGAACGACCTTCCAGCAAAAGCACTACTTGATCGCTCTTGCTACACTTAAACTCTTGCAGTGGAGTACGATGGCGTTGGTGGGCCCCGTCATACCTCCCGACCTTTTCAAGCTCTTGGTTTGCTCAATTGTTGTACGTCCATCATCTATTAGCAGGCGATAGATTTCTAACAATGTGAATCCCTAGATATCTCAATACGTATTCCGTCGCTACGAACCCACGTTATACTCAGCGTGGTTGACCTTTCTCTCCGGACAAGTGGTTTTGCACGTCATATACTATGTCAGGCATTCGACGGCGATGCCACTATTGACGTGGATTGCGGTCAACGCGGTTTACGCACTTGGGCTCACGTCAGCGATTCTGCTCTACAGAATATCCCCGTTACATCCTCTTTCCTCTTATCCTGGACCGCTCGTACGTCGTTTGAGCAAGATGTGCGCCCTACCCTCGGCATGGATTGGTACTACACACGAGGATTTATTGAAGTACCATCGCATGTACGGACGCTATGTCCGAATCGGTTTGTACCCCCACGTTTTACTCCAATTCATCCTGACAGTCCCAACAGGGCCCAATGAGCTATCTATTACCGACGCGGCCGCTGTTCCTATTATCTATGGACACCATGGCTGGAAAAAGGGTGAATCGTACGCCATATTCTCTCGTGTCAAAGGAGGCGTAGATAGTGTCCAAGATACCAGAGACGAGTGAGTCCATTGTCACAACACGCTTTTCGTATCACCTGAGCACTCCCCAGGGCGGAACACGCTCGCCGACGGAAGACCTGGGACAAGGCTCTTACAACTACGGCACTTGCATCGTACCAGGAGCGCGTTAGGGCCCGAGCGCGCCAATTGTGCGAATTAATTGCATCTGCTCGTGGAGAGGCGGTCGATCTCAGTTTATATGCCAAATACTTTACATGGGACGTCATCTTCGACTTAGGCTTTGGCGGACACGGCTTCAATATGCTCGAGAAAGGCCATGAAGAACTCCCGTTCATCAAGAGCCTTGCTGCGTATATCCGCCTGATCAAGACAGCGGGCAATGTACCAGAACTGGCAGGTCTTCTCAAAGCCCTTCCCGGTGATGCAGACGTAGAAATGTTTATCAAACGTGTCGCTGGTATATTTTATTCGAAATTGGAAGAAGGTGTTTCTTCTGCCGATCTATTTAGCCATATAGTGCGTATTCCGTAGCTCAGTGCAGCGCGTGCGTTTCACATATTCTCGCTCAGATTTCGCCGATCCAACCATCTAACTCTGCTTCGGAAAACGAACGGCTTGTGGCAGAAGCACTATCTGATTGTATCCTGTTCGTCGGTGCAGGTAGCGACACAACAAGTTCAGCCGTTGCGAACACCTTGTTCCTGCTCGTCTCTGAAAACAAAGGTGAAAACGCAATCTACAAACGACTTCAGCGAGAGCTGGACAATGCTTTTGAAGACGGTGACGAACTGGATTCTACGGTGCTGATTCAAAAAGTACCGCTTTTGGCTGCAGTCATCAATGAGTCCATGCGGTGCGTAAATCCTATGGTACCTCCGTGGAGGGTTGTGAACATTGGCGACGGCATTGCAGCCTTCTACCACCTGTGTCCACTGGTCCGTTTCAAAGGCTCTCGCCTGCTGGAGGGGCGATAGTCGCCGGCCATTTCATTCCTGAGAACACTAAGGTCATCATTCCCCCTTATGCCATCCATCACGATCCCGAATATTTCCCAAGACCGGACTCCTTCCAACCTGACCGCTGGATGCCAGACGCTCCCGAGGAAATTAGGATACGTGACCCTAATGCTTACAGTGAGTGTCTTCTCCGCATGCATCAAGATTATGATTCTAAACCCCTGCACGCTAGTGACTTTCAGCTTTGGCATGTTTCTGCTGCTCCTCTCATGGTGCTCTAAATGCTAACGTTGACACAGGACCTTACAATTGCGTCGGGAAGCAACTGGCTCTCATGGAACTTCACCTAGCCGTAGCGGCTTTGGTGCATCGATTCGACGCAAAATTTGCGGAGGGTTTTGATCCTGATGCTTTTCTGAATGGAGAGCGGGATGCAGTCACTCGACAGCTCACTGTCCCGCTGAAAATGCGATTCTCGCTCCGGGGACTAGATAACTAGTGTGGCTTCCCACACCGAGAGGATAGGGTATCTTAATTTGTAGGGTTCTCAACAACCGGGTACTTAGTAGCCTTGTGGTGATATCAATCCAATTGACGTTGTGGTATCGTTTGCTCCTGATTTCGGGACAAATCCGGTGTTGATCATCGAACATTGCAAAAAAATGTCCGGGAATAAAATATGCACACCGTGTTCTGACAGGCAAATTCTGTCATTACAATGAGTTCTCCGGGAAACCCGCTGATAACGCACTACACTAAGTCTCATTTGATTAAGCTTGTCCTCCGGAAATTTTCCTGAAATGCGGGCAAGGTAGAGTGGGGTCCGGAAGCTGGAGGATCAGATATATGGTAGCCACAAACCACTCGCTTAACTAACTCGGGACGTTCCAGCTTCTTTTGGCACTTCACCAAGACCGTTCCGACATTGTCCGACAGCCACCTTCACTGGAAACGGTCTTCCGGCAGCACTTCAAGAACTTCGAATGAGTACAGTGTTTACTAAACGGGTCTCGACCCTGCTATCTGACCTCCATGTTTATTGTGCTGCCCTAAGACCGCCATCGTTGGGCAGCTGATGGAGAAACTGACAGCCCTTGGACGATAACCTAAGATGACCGATACCGGGCCGTGGGTTCGGTGGAGTCTGCGATCCCCAGTGGTCTCAGGCTGCAGCCTGAACATCACCGATGCTACTGGAGCGCCGGAGATCGATGCAGGCAAAGATGCAATCACTGTTTCCTCTGGTGTGTTACCTCCAAGGCTTGACACCGCGACAATTCAGACATTCACGTAAGCACGACAGTATCGATCTAGCACCTAACTCTGCCGTTATATCGGAGTCGGAGAACGGTCTAGTACCGCCGCACGATATCGCCACCCGGAGTCTCGCGCAACTGTCACATCGTTTTCTGCACCTGCATGCAAAATGAAGCCAACACAGTGCGTCGAATTTCGGACATGGCAAGTCACGCTGGTAGCGATTGTCGCTGAAGTGCCAGAGTGTTCTTATTATCAGCTCTTCCGATCCTTCTCTCTGTCCTAGAGACCACCGTTGCTCGCGGATTCCGAGTTGTATCTGCGAAGCCTGCACTGTGGCGCGTAGTACCAGTGATGGTACCGGTGTCAAGAGATATGCCACCCGATTAGCCTCGCGCGCTTAAGATCCTCCGGCTTTTGCGGATACCCTTATAGCATATCGTACTTTTGTGCGATCGAAAGGTCAGAGTAAGAGCAGTTCCTCTAGAAGTTTCGTCCCTAAGACCTCGATCAGATTCAAACATTTCCAATAATGGGATCGTGCTGCCAGTGGATAGTCGTCTCACGGTGGTTCCTCGGCGGTGGGATAGTGCTCCCTTCAGCAACTGATTGAAACGGTTATCAACCATATTGTGATGGTAAGTCACAGAGTTCAAATCTCCAAATGACCTATACCTGTCAGACACCGTATGGATGGTTGCGCTCAAGTGGGTTATCGCAGAGTTGTGCATCTGTCTGTCTATGCAAATAGTGAAATTGCATATAAGAAGCATCATCGACCCTCGAACACAATCGAGCCACTACTAAACAAATAGCCTCCCCTACCCCCAATATTCGACTTGTTCACTTGCACGTACTGACTTGCCGTGATGGTCCTCTATAAAGGGCCTGCCTATCGATCACAGGCAGAGGATACAGAAACCGCCAGCAAAGACATCTACGTGCTGCCTCGCGATGCAGGCGAGTCAGAGCGGCTGCAGGCTCAGCACGACCATCTCAGGCGATCGCTCGGTGGGCTCCTCGTTCATCCCTCGATTGACCTCAACAATGCCCGCATCATATTGGATTGCTGCACGGGCACTGGAGCATGGTTGAAGGATGCGCGCCTCTCTGCACGTCCGGACACTATCCTGGAGGCCTGTGATATTACTTTGGAACAGTATCACCGCGGTACCGCGAAGGCCGACGATGTCTTCGTACAGAACATCCTCCACCGGTTCCCCGGAGAGAAACGGGGTAGGTATGACCTCATACACCAGAGGTATCTGACCGGAGGCATATCGCGCGAAGAATGGCCTAAAGCCATCTCCAACGTAGTGGAGGCTTTGAGTAAGCTTATCCCGTCTGCATGTTCGCTACCAAGTAACTGGCTAACTCGTCACCTAGGACCAGGAGGCTGCTTCAATATCACGGAACCGAATTTACAGACCTCACCTCCAAGCTCCGCTGATCCCGAAGCCATTGCAAACTGGAAAGTCCAATTGAAGAGGATTTCATGGGAAAGGAATAACCTCATTCAACAGTCAGTACAGTATTTTCTACGTACCCTTACGCAGCGTACTAATCGACACCGTCTGTCAACACAGATGCGCAAATGAGATCCCGGCTCTGATGCGAGACGCCGGCTTAATCAACGTACAGACCATCCGCCTGCGCGTTCCCTACGGCGCCACTTGTCGAGCTCTCGGGATGACAGAGAACCAGGTGGAAAGCAGTATTCGTCTCCACATGTCCCCATCTTTCGACGAGGTGCTGAAGAAACTCTGGATTGCATCCGGGAAGGGGACGGCTGAAGAATTTGATCAGAATCAAGTCATCTACGAGGAATTCCTCCGGGAAAAGGGGATCTGGATGGACGTGAGCTTTGTCGTCGGTATGAAACCGTTCTGAAACGCGCGACTCTGATCAGTACATACCTATTCATGTCTGCTGCAATTCACTGCCAGAGGTCGTTCCGTAGAATGAGCATTGTAGTTTCCATAGACCGAAGAAGGATCGCATCCGATGTACCACCATGGCCATCCCAGTATGATTATTTTAACACAAAGGTTGACCGATGCTATGACATTGTGGCTTCAATTCACCGACTGGCATCACCACGGCCTCTAGATGCTCTTACGCTGGCGTCTGGCTGGGGTGGATGATCGTGTATCGCCACAGCGTCCGTAAAAGCATATGCGTATGATTGATATTATTCGAGACGTTAACCCATCTGACGAAGGGTTCCGATCAGAAAAAGTATTTCACTACCTTCATCCAGGATCATTGCGTAATATATGTGATTGACATATGTTGGATCACGGGCCACTGTGGCTTGACTGTGGCCAATGCATGACTGGTGGCGTCATCGCGGGCAGGCATCGACACGAAATACACGAAGGAAGAACGACGGTTTTTGTACAAAAAGGCATCAGAGTGAAGTCGATCACATCGTACCCACCATTGACACGTACGACCCTGGGGTTCGCGACTATAACGTGAGTCGAGTCGAATCGCATGCCCAGAAACCGGTCGACCACTAGTACTCAGACTGCGCTACCCAGATCCTCAGGCCTCAGTACACAAGCATCACCGAAAATGCCCCCGAAGCTCAAAAATCCGCCTGCCTCGGCGTTCTCTGAACCCTCTGAGCCGTCCGTGCACAAACCTGAGGAAAACCCGAAAGAACAGTTGACGAAGCCGCAAGAAGAGAATCCGCAGGTGATCGCGCAGAAGCCCGGTGACTCTGAGAATAAAGGAACGAGAGCGGAGCCGCCGCAGAAGTCGAAGCTCTGACAGGTGAGGGGCATCCGGATTGCCTCCAACAGAGGATAACGATATCAAGCAAGGTACCGGTGATGACCCGCTGAACCATTTCATGCAGTAAGAAATACAGAAAAAGATCACAGTAAACGTCAACTAGCGGACTGGTAATCAGTCTATGCAGTGGCAGGCTTGGACTTTTTCTAGTGACCGACATGTAAAGATCAGACGCACGTACCAATCCAAGAAACACTCACATAAGAAACTTCATCCAGATCGTACTTGATTCCCAGCTCTTGCAGCTTCCGCTTCTTCGCATCCTGGCGACTAAGCAGTCTCCGTTCCGCCTTCTCTTGCTCTTCCGGAGTCCGAGGCTGTACACCATCCCTATCAATACGTCTTCGCCCTTATGTCCACGCGCGGGAGAACTCACCTTGTTATGCTGGACCCGCGCGATGCGATCACGGGGTACCACCCGCCACTTCCGGTTAGCGCCCACCCACAGTTCTGGGTGGACCTCCTCCTTAGGGATCACTCTGCATTGTAGGATGTGGCCGAGCAAGAGGTAGTTATTCATCGTATCTGCGACGATCTTCGCGACTTCTGATGATGCGAATTCGACAAAGGCATAGTGCTTTGAGCGTCCGGTCTGCGAACAAATCGTCCTTGTGAGTTCAGGCGAGACAGAAGTGGATTATATGCGCACCTTCTTGTTACGGGATAGCCTCAACCGAGTGACAGCCCCAAATTGAGAGAAGTAACCTCGCATCTGGTCCTCGTAGAACCCGTGCGGTAGACGCCCGATGTAGATGACCCCCCGATCTTCTGTCTACAAAATCACAGTCAGGATCATATAAGATATTTAATTCAAGGAGAGTAGAAAGTACTGGGTGACGCTTGGCTTTGTCCAGTCTGCGCTTCACGGTCGCGTCGTCCTTCGCAATGGTAGGTAGCTTGGCGAGTTCTACAGGGTCTGCGTCCGGCGTGAAGTCTTCGTCGTCTGAAGAATCTTCGGAGTCGGAGAATCCGTGCAGGTGGACAGACTCGTCCTCTGACGCGGCCGCGCCATCCTCTGCCGTCTGTTCGTCCTCGGCAGCGGATGAGGGTGCTGCAGGAACCGGCAGGGGAGTGGACTTGGGTTTCTTGGAGGAGGGGGCGGGGGCGGGGGCGGGGGCGGGGGCGGGGGGAGCGCTCTGGGAAAGGAGGGAACCTGTGGGTTTCTTCTTCCCGTCTGACCTGCTCTTTGCCTTCTTCGGAGAGGGTTCTTCGGTCTTGCCGCCATCTTGGACGTCTCTATCCTCCTCCTTGTTTTTCTCAGCCTTGCTCTTCTTCTTATTGGGCTGCTTGACCTCTTCGGCAGGGGGAGTTGCCTGCTGCGCCGGCTCATCCTGGAGAACCCGCTCCTCGCTCGTGTCAGCATCGGCAGCCTTCCCTTTCTGCTTCCTCTTCCTCTTCTTATCCACCCCTTTCTGCTCAACAGAATCCCGTGCCGCAACACTCTTCACCGCCGCACTCACGTCCTGATCACCTTTCGCTTTTTTGCTTGCCTCCTTCATGTCCTGCCTCTCCTCCACTATCTCTCCCTTAGCTTTCTTCAGAGATTTTTCCTCTTTTTCCTTCTTCCTCTCCTTCTGTCGCTCCTTGGTAGCCATTTTTTCGACAGCAGGAGTAGGGGCAGGCGAGGCCTCCTTTGCAGCCTTGACCTTCATAGACGGGGTGCCGAGGACAGCATCCTTAGCAGAAACAGATGCGCTAGAGCGAGTCTTCTTGTCAGCCTTCGAAGGCTTCTTCGTTTGAGTATCCTTAGCCATAGCGTCTGTCCCAGCAGTCCCAGCGGTGAGCTCGGAGTCGAAGCTAGGAAATTTCGAGCCTGTGTTTGATCGAGAGCAGCACGTGGCCACCACGCGACGCGGGATCGACGATTGGCTAGGACAACCAGTCTGCTCAAGTGCGTTCGACTGCCCAGCGCCAGGAGCATCTCCTGTAACGTCTCTGGCACGACTTTGTATAGAGCTCAGAAGCGCAGGTGGAACGAGCGCGCCATGATTCCCCGGTATGCCAACCCGTACAATACACACCAGTCGACCGTCCACGTCTCCCGTGCGGAGCTAGCTCACTCTGACGACGAAGAAGTCGAGCCTACAAGCGGCGGAGAGCCCCACAAGAGAAAGTTGGAGGAGCTAGAAGCATTGCTAAAGTCATCGCTCGGGGAAGTGCAAGACATTGCCTCGGATTCGAAAAGGAGGAAACGTCGGAAGGTCGAAGCACCAGCCGACAGTGAGAGTGCTCAGGCTATCCGTGAGTCACTCGTACCAACGTTCATGTCGGACAACAGCGACCCTCTAAAGCAGCGTTTCGCCTCGTATCTCGCGTCTTGCCGCCTCGGCCGGTTATGCTTCAACCCCTGCGGCCTGACATCCCTCAGTAGGTACCCTCTTAAAACCTTGTATGCTTTTGTAAACGTTTCATACACAGTGCTGTTAAAGAAAGGCCATCCGAAGATGATCAACACGAAGCCGAACAGCGCAGGCAGCGCGCCCTAGTCGTCGCGGTCGACTTCGAACAGGTCGTCCGCGAGTCGACGATAGCATATAGCGTAAGAATATACGCTCCCGATGATGTCAGAAATTCCAACCATACTTTGACAGTCTACTGGTAATCGACCTGACAAAGTGATAGAAGTACAAGCGCGATTACCCTCTCCTGCGCCTCCAATCATGATCACGGAGAGACCAAGACCCTGCCCCTTACCACCGACGCTCAGCCATGCTACACGCTTCACAGCATCTTTACAGGTTGTGCAAGCTGAGCTGGGGCTACTGGCGAAAGCAGCACCGGTGGTCGAGATTGCCGCTCAATCCCACCCTCCAGGTCGCAAATCACGTCGCGCTAGGAGAAAGTGCGCACAACAGCCCAGACCACCTCCCTCGTTCTGGAGACCTAACATAGAGTGGGGAGGGAAGAGCCTTGGCTACGCGATGGGCTACGAGGGCAGCTTACCGATCCGAGAAGGCGAAGTACGACAATATGCTAGAGATACTATGCGCAAGGCTGTATACGCCGATTGGGCCGGGAAAGCTGGGTGACGCGTGTAAATAGGTTGGTCCTGTAACTTAGCTCGATGCATACGTTGGAGTCTAATTTTGTCTTTTAGCACCTTCTCTCTTGACCCCTGCACGTACTTTCCAAGTCATCGCATCCGTCGATCAATCCTGAGGAATACACCTCACCATTTTTCTTGTGTCATGAAGGCTTGTGTGTAATCGTGACTCCGCTCTCACTACAGCCGTGAATCCCAACCTGACCGACTATCCCAAGTCCAGCCCCCGGCCCCTACCCGTCCACCCTCGCTATTCCCCGAAGTGGCTACCTGCCTGACGCAAACCAACCCACATTGGTCTCGTACCACATGCCCATCCGGTGTACGCATCCGGATGCAGGGCAGCTGACGCAATAGCCGCAGTGCAACTACGAACGCCGCAACTGGGCGGGCGCAGAGTGGAATAGTCCATACGATCGGTGTGGCGGAGATCCTGGACAGAGCTCACAGGCTATCAGTCTCGTGAAGAAAAGGTCATGGAGTCTCTAGGATAGGTCCTTCCGTGCATCCATATCCCTGTACTCCTGGAGTCGTCGGTCGCAGTCTATCGCTTCGATCTAAATCTCAGGGTTCTCTTCTGCGGGCCAAAGGAAGTCATAACTAAGGCGATATCCTCTTAGGCGTAGATTTAGGTGGCTACATGCCAGTACCGAAGCAGGGCACTACTATGTCTGGCTTTATGCGACGCTCCCCCGTTCTTTCACGGACTTCTCCAGCATCTCTATGGCCTGTTTCCGGTCGTCCTCGATGGTGCTACGCCAGGACCAAGCCTGTACCTCCGCTGCAAGTTCTCCCAGGCGGTGTAACGCCTCTATATCGAGGTGCATGCTCCCATCAGCAGCCTTGCGCATGATATCCTCGTCCGTAAAGCCTGGCCAACTGAACTCGTACATGAGGCCGACATCTTTTGAGCTCTGGAGGACGCTTTGAGAAAAGGGCCGGCGAATACTGTCGTAAATCTTGAGAGCTTCAGGGAGCATCTCTCGGGTGCACCCAGGGTGCGTGAGCAAGGTGGCCAAGATGTATGCGTCCTATGCTGAGGTAAGATTGAACGCAGCCATGACATTGTTATTCTGCGTACCTCTATCGATTGTCCCGCACCACTGCCTTGGTGTGGGGGCATCGCATGGGCCTGCCGATTCAGCTGCCTTACTCCTGAGGATAACACTGAGCCATACTTACAGCGTCTCCGAGGATGGCCACTCTACCATACTCCGACAGGTAGGTTTCCAAGGGTCGCATCAATTCCATGGCCCATCTTGACGGACTCTCGACGCACTGTGGCATAACGTCAGATTTGGCAGCGCAAATCAATAACGAATAGAGGCGCACTTACAGCCAGCAAATCTTGTAGTGGCTGCTCGAACTCCTTGAACGATGACAGTAGTTCCGCTTTAGTGGCCGTCGCCACCGTGGGGCCGTTAAAGTCGGACCCCTCTAGTTCTGGCTTGGAGGAGAATGCTACGATGTTGATTATTTTGCCGTTTGCGACAGGGTATACAGTGATGTGCTACATGGTACGAGCATGAGTTAAGGACTTCATCGGGGGACAATCAGGATCTCACCTTGTTCTTGCCGCAATGCTTTGAGGGGCAGAGATCGTGTCAGTGTCAGGTTAAGAGAGTATAATCACTCACAAGGATTGCGCATTCCAGGGTCTCTGGTTTATAGCTAGGCGCTTTTTCCTTTACGATATCATAGGAAACTAGTGCTCGATAGGCGACAGTGCCCGTCCACATCGGCTTCATTTCCTTCGTGAGAAGGGCGGCCAGTTCGTGATGGCCTCTGGCGGCGGCGCTATCCACTTTCTTCTTCCATACGGCTGCCCTCACAGCGGACTTTATACCATCAGCGCCGAACGCAACATCGCAAGTGGCAGTAGAGCCGTCTGTGAAATATAGGACGATCGGATCATCCTTGTTTGAAGGTTCGTCGAGAGAGGCAAGGCGCTTTGAAAGATGGGTTTTGACCGAGGGAGGTACGTTCTTCAGGATAGCTTGCTGGAAATGCGCCCGATGAAATAGAAGCGATACACCTAATGGAAGGAAGCGGCGAACATGTCATTCAGCGGTTCGAGGTATCAAGTATATATATCCAGGTGAGACGTTTACCTCGTCCGTATGCAACGTGATAGTTGACCCCTTCAGCCTGGTCTGATTTGCGTAACAAGAAGTGATGCATCTCTGCACACGCATGATCAGTACCCATTACGGATACTGGCAAGAATCGGGATTTCGCACTGGTCTCATCCACCCTTCCTTCAAGGGCACTCTCAGGGATATGAGTGAGGGCCGCTAGGTCTCGATGCAGTCCCAGTGCGTTTAATATCTTCCAAACGCGGGAATACATGCCAATACCGGCACCAATCTCAGAGAACTGGTGAGCAGCTTCATAGACGTGAATTTCGATATTGGGAGACTTCGCGAGAGCATACGCGAGGGTAAGCCCGGCTATTCCTCCACCTCTGATAAGTTCATAAGCAAGGTGCGGTGGTCAGCAAATTAAAATGGGACCGTTGCAATGGGAGACTTACATGATTGCCACTCGAAATTTAGCTTCCATGCTGTATGAAGTGAACTGTCTCGACGGTGTGAGTTAAGTACGAATGAGCTGGAGTGCTCAGCCGGGCACAATTTATAACGAGGCGAGACATCTCGGCAGGCATACGTGTATGGCCGTTCGCTGCGCGTGGACTCCGAGTGGGACATATGCAAGGTTGTGCTTAGATGACAAACTCCAGTTCCCCGCAGCAAGCAATGTTGCTTCGAGCACCTCTGAGTACCCTTCGAATGGGTGGTCGGTCTGTGCAACTGCTGCGGAGACGCCCAAGACAGCACGAAAGCGTCCAGTATTGTGGTAGATGATGGACATTGCATCATACAGAAGCCGCCGCTACGGCAGACGTCGATATCGATTTCAGGCATAGTAATAGTATGCTGGGTATTCAAGCACGTCGGTATTCATCTCGAATACAATTGACAGCTGGGTTGTGGCTTGAATGCAGCCATCCGTATAGGGAACTGAGTATGATGACCTACGAGGAATATGTACAGAGAGGTGTCCTGTATTTGGATACGGAAGCGTGCAGTAGAGCGTCCCGATTTCAGGTGACCACGACCACCGGATCCGACAGGGATCGGAGCCGCGCGCTGCAAGCAAACGCTCATCATGATCATACTTAGGACCTCCGATAATACGGATAGAAGGGATTTCCGGATCTTCGATTTCGATATCCGGAAGAAATGGGACCATCTTGTCCGATTTGGCCCCCAGACTCCGGAATTTTAGCACTTTCGTGCGGAAAGTGACCTCGGCCAACGCCGCACAGTGGGAGAGTTGATCCCTTCCCCCCCAGTGGAGAGGAATGCAGCGGTCAGGGCCGGGAGGGCAACATGGTCGGGCCCCTCGATGTCCGGCAAGGCCGCCGGCCCCTTCGCCAGCCTCCAGAAAATGTCCGGACTTTACCTCCGGCGGCGTCGAAAATTTGGCCTATAATGTCCGGAATTTTCACGGCCTTCCCCTGCGCGGAGCCCATTTTTGTCCGGCTGGGACAACCTCTTCTATCCGTATTATCGGGGATCCTATGATCATACGTAGATTGTCTAATACTTACAACAAGCCTCAAACAAATGTCCATGCGCAGTGCGCAGCTCGTTGGCTCGTTCTTCTTCGATGTCTGGATCAAAGGTCTTTTTTCGCTTTGGCCATAAAATCGACCAGTACACGCTGGCTGCGGTGGTCGATCCTGGTGCATTTGACGTCCGTTGACAGCGGCCCGGGCAAGACTGCTAGAAGAAGCCAAATTTAATAGCGATTAGGCTGCCCTGAGTCCCCTGACAAACCTTCTTTCGACATGATTTGCGAGCGTGTACGCTATGCATCCCGTAAGTCTCGGCGGCAACCCAGCTCGGTCACCGTGGAGAATCAGGCAACTGAAGCCTGGAGAGACGGGAGGCGTCGTGGGTGGGCGCGTCGTTGCCCTTTATAGCCACGGTTTGCCTCGCTGTATGATCTAACGATTCCCAGGTCTGTATGTCCCCGACACGGAGGAAAGTCAAAAGGCGACTAACTCGGAGGACGAGCGATGAGCGCCGGCAGTCATGCGTACTTAAGGGATTTAACCGTGTTACAATGGGATCCAACCCCCCATCGCAATGGATGTTGCGTTAGTTTTCTCTTGCGTTGGCGCTATCGGAGTCTTCATACTCTTCGGGAAACTGCTGAGCGGGCGGTCTCGGACGAATATTAAGAGTCTTCCATGTCCCGTGAGTCCAAGTGCATGCGCATCATCTTGATATTGGTTGTGCTGTCTGTTCCTCGAGCATCAATTGAGATCAACCAGGATAATGCTAGTTTCCTTTGGGGTCACGAATGGGACGTATTCTCGAACAGTGTAGGATCAAAGTTCACCGAATGGTTCAACAAACATGGCCCGGTGTACAGGATGAAGGGGGCTTTGTTGGTACGTGAAAGCTAGTTACTGTCTGGCCATGATCCTGGCCACGATATTCAAATTGCGAATCAGCACCCAGACATGGTACGCACACTCTACATTTATTGAACTTGTCCATGACATGATGCATTTTTGTAGCTGGTCGTTGCTGACCCCGCAGCCATCAACCGTATAATGGTGACGAATTCTTATAATTATGGTGCGCTGAGGCTTCGTAGGTCTCGAGAAGGGCCATTCACGAACTTGGAACCTCTGTTTTCTAGTCAAAGCCCCATTTTTTTCACCCGTCGTAGAGAGGCTGTTAGGCCGGGGCATCATCTGGTCCGAAGGCTCGCTGCACAAGCGCTTCCGTAGGCTGATGGAGGGTACTTTCAGGTAATCCACGGCCTTCCTGATGCAGACGGAGATATTTACTTGTTTTAGCCCTTCCAAGATACGGGAGATGTCTCCCAATGTCTTCGAGGCTACATCCAGCGTAGGCGCCACTCCTCTGGCAGTCTCAATTTATCTGACGTGCCCGATATTAATAGCTGCAGACGCGCCTTGTACAGCATCTTCAGGATAATCACGGTCAGGCGAGCATTGATGTGCTGTCATGGGCCAGCTCCGCCACGTGGGTATATCTGTTATTCCTTGACAAGCCTCACAACCTGAAAGAACTGGTTCTAGTTTGGATGTTATCGGACGTGTGGTAAGGCGGATCGACTTGGCACACGGAGACTAGCGTTTACTCCTCGCAAGGGATTTGGTTACGATTTCAGGGGTGGAGAGTCCGAAGAAGCCAAAGATATCAAGGAAGGTTGGGCAGAGCAAGTCATCGCAGGCATGTCCCCAACTGCATTCTACGTAAGTCTGTGCTCCTCAGTATCCTGAATATCTGATGTTGACTGCCGTCCAAGGGCGAAGTCATCTTGAGGGCATTCCCAATCCTGCACTCGCTTCCAGTGAAATCCATGCAGGCCCAGGGTCGCATGAAAGTGACGATGGACAAGCTCGCTAGGCGCCTGATTGCTTCCTCGGAACGGAATCCGGAGAAAGCTCAGGGAAAGGGAGTCAATTTCTTGGCTACCATGGGTACGAGTGAAGGCATATATTTAATTACTGTACTGGAACCCTGATGTTGACAGTGAACGCGTCGGGTGAGGGTAAAATGACGACACAGGAAACAATTGATAATGTCCGCCCTCGCTTAGATCGGGATCTCCATGAACTGACATCTGACTTCACAGGTATCTCATCTCGTGTAAGAAAAGCAGTCCTTACCGCATATGTACATTGACCCAAGTGGCATCCCATTTGCAGCACCGCGGGCTACGAAACTAGCGCGATGACTAGCAGTATGATTCTATGGGAGCTGGCCAAGCAGCCCTCCTGCCAGCAGAAGTTGCGCGAGGAGCTGGTCAAGCTAGGACGCGAGCCAACATATGACGACCTGATATCTGGGGCAGAGCTACCGTACTTGGACGCCGTAGTGAAGGAAGGGTACGTGAACGGAAGCATATCATCCAATTGTCCGTCTCTAAGTCATGCTACGTACATCGCCGGACAGGCTGAGATGTTACCCAGCGGCAGCGAATTACGGCCGAGTGGCTCTGGCAGACGACGTCCTCCCTCTCGAGACTCCCATCATCACCCCATCGGGCAAAGAGATTAGGGAACTGCGTATTCGTGCCGGCCAGGTACACTGTCTCCATCTATGCTTCCTGCCATGCTGACTCATCGCTTTCAAGTCCATAAACCTACCGCACATATCTATCAACACCCTGGATAGCATATGGGGAGACGGACAGGTATTCAGGCCGGAACGTTGGACCGACCCTCGAGGCTTGCCTCTCAAGGCCAAGGGCCTGTCCTCTTGGAGCAACCTGATGACGTTCGGGGCAGGACCGCGGATGTGTCTGGGTTACAGGCTAGGTACGGGCTCAAGATCTTTTGTACAGGGCTCGCTGCTGATACGTTCGATGTATGTAGCTTTCCTAGAGCTCAAGGTAGGGACCGTGCCGCCTGCGGGCGTGTATAGTAGCTGATTCATGCGTCACGACAGGCGATCATTGCCACACTGATCCGCACTTTCAAGTTTGAACTCACGGGTGAACATGTGGAGAAGCGGTACGCGGTCGTTTTGCAACCTAGAGTGGTAGGGAAAGAGCAAGAAGGGCCACAGCTCCCGTTGAACGTCACGTTTGCTGCGTGATATCGCCAAATCGTGTTTGTGCGTAATGTTTCTTCGCAAGGGAGGGTTCCCATCTTGCTTGTACATCAAGTTTCCGAAGTTTGCGTGCTTGATTGTTACACTCGCCAACCGTTTGATGTATAGGATTGTGGTTGATCTACTTGAGTATCAGTGAGGGCTGATTGCTGATACCCCCCAATGCGACCTCAATGAGTAGCCTTCGCTGCGGCCACATCGCAACTAGAACATCTCAGGCAATTTTATCTCGTCGCTGTGACTACCCGCCGCCCCTGGAGGACACAATGGCAATATAAGGAGCTACGGGCGATGGATCCATTCCACTAAGAAATTCAAGGATCTTCTGGGCCCAATACAAGGTTGTAAGAAGTCAATGGGATCATGGTGCATTGTTCAAGGAGGGACGTGTATAAAGCAGTAATTCAGCCAAAATGTGCATATGAGGTACTTGGTAGAAGGGAAATTTCGAAACGCGCTTGCTAGGCTAAGACTTAAGCTGCTGTCGCAACAACTCCTTTGTGGCCCCTAGTAGACTTCCACTCGATGAAGAGAGATGATACAAAGGCCAGGCAGGCCAGAGCAATAGAGGGGGTCATAGCGTCTCGCAGGGCACGGGAAGATGCGACGATAACTTGAGGCAGCAGATTTTCCGGTACGGTCTAATTACGCCATATAAGAGGGTGTAGGACGAGCTAATGAGTAGTCGGACTTACTGAGCGGAAAGTGGTCATCCCACCGGCGATTACGGCCGGAATGTCGACGCCAGGGACAGAGCCGAGGTTCTTCAAAAACTTGTTCTGATAAATTGACTGAGAGATAGACACAAATAAGCATCCCCCTAGTGTCTGCGAGAAAACAACCTGGAGATGCGCCTTTAAAACATGGACATTATGACAGGAGTAGAGAACTCACAATTGCAGTACCAACTTCGACATCCGCTGCCGATAAGACAGTCTGCGATGCTACATAAGCAAGCTGGTAAGTAGTTCCTAGTCCTACTCCGGCTATGATTTGGTAGCCGATCCATTTGCCAGTACTAGTGCTGGTAGTGGGGCTTAGCAAGTGAATAAGACCAGTACCAATGGACGCCACAGTAGATCCGAAGATCATGAATGGCGGGACATAACCGACAAAGGTCACCGCTGTGGTTGTGGCGATGATCGAAACGATGGTGGCTATAATGAGTGGTAATGTGTGAATACCGGCACCCAAAGCCGACGTCCCAAGAACAGCTTGGAAGTATATAGGCAAGAAGTACGCCAGAGAAAAATACGTGGCGCCAACGGCAAAATTATGGGTGGTCGCAGCAAATATTGTTCGGTTCTTGAAGAGACGGACCGGAACGGTTGCGCGCTCGCCCAGATACACTTGGAGGGCCATAAACACGAGCAGAAGAACTCCGAAGACGACGAGTTCGGCAATCGTCACCCCGGCTCCCCAGGCATCTCGCACACCTCCATTTTGGAGAGCAATCAGGAGGGAGATCACGGAACCGTGTAGCAGAGCGATACCTAGCCTAGGCTGAAATGTATCAGAAGCTGGAACATTACGTGGTGAAATCGTACCAGTCGATGGACATCAGGCGACGAGGGATGCTTTCCGTTTGAGGGCAATGAGGCTCGCGAAGGAATAGAGAAATAATTCCTAGAGTGACGGCGCCAATGGGTAAATTCAACCAGAAACACCAGCGCTTCGAAGAAGATGCAAGTCAGTCCTCCTGCGAGAAAGCAGAGCAAAAAATCACTAACCCAAGTGACTTCAGCTGTCAGAGCCCCGCCGATCAAAGGACCTGTGATGGCACCTACTCCATAGATGGCGCCTATGAGACCACCTGCGAGAGACTTGCGTTGTAGGGGCATCATTACGCTGACAATTACTAGGACTCCGATATAGACTCCAGCAACACCAATCCCAGCGATAGCACGCCCGACTACGAAGGTAGGGGAGTTGCGAGCCAGGGCGCATATCAGAGACCCAATCTCGAAGACCGCGGTTGACGCGATGAACACCAGCTTCATACTGAAGTAACCGTACAGGCGGCCGAAAAAGGGCTGCAGAACGGTGGACGTGAGCAAGTAACCGCTGGCATACCAGCCGACATCTTGCAAGGCATGGAAGTCATTCGTTCTGTGACAAGAGGATTAGTTCCTGTAAAAGAGTATGAGTCATCTACGCACATTGTAGCGGTGGCCGGTGAAATAACCGTCTGATCTAATGCCACGATGTAAATCGCGAGCGAGAGGGCCAGCGCCATCATGAACAATCGGAATCCACTGGGATTACCGCCGTCCAGCTCAACCTTCGGTAGCTGAGGAGGGTTTTCCTTTCTCTTGCCGCCCGAATTGAGCTGATAACCCGACACTTGCGCCTCTTGTCGGTCGAGGGTGGCGAGCTCAGAAGACATGGAGGTACCAAGAAAAGCAGCAGAAACTTGAGGGAGAAAAATACAGCTGCTGATGCCGCGACTTTATAGCATCTTCGAGCAAATAGGAAGGGAAAAAATCACAGGTAGCCGATCGTATTCGTGTCCCGAATCATGAGCATAGTAAGAGACTTACTCTGCACGTTCAATATGGACATGACTCCTATCGCGGGAGGTTACGAGTTGCACGGCTTGCTGACGAGGACACGGGGGAAAGGAGTGTACGAGAGAGAATACTGCTCTTGTTGCTGTATATGGTCATAACCCCTATAATCTACGGATGAACTCAGTAGTGTACGAGGGAGAGTCTTGCTCTCGTTGCTCGGTATGGTTACAACCCCTATTGAGTATTTACGTATGAACCGAGACGGCTTAGTGCACATATTTTGATGGGGGCAAGAGATACAACCACTCACCAAATATACATGCCAAGTTTTGATTACCTGTGATATCTCCACTGCTGGAGCAGAGTCAGTGGAAAGGACCATAGCTGTGACAGCTATGGTCGGCTTACTCCGGCGACGCCACAGAAGCCACAAACAGTTTGCGCCACAACGCTTCCACATCTGGCCTCAGCACTACTCGATTCACTACACGTTCGCACGCTTGCTTCTGCTCATTGCTATCGAACCTGAATGTGCGAGTCAGCTTGAGCTTGAAGGGGAGCTTCACCGCGGGCTTACGGCTACCTGTGTAACTATGCTTGACCTGTCTCGATTGAGAGCAATGTGACGAACGTCCTAATCATTATCTAATTCGTATGTCAGTAATCTCCTGAACATTAGTTCGTCATCCCTTCATGAGAGAATCCCTGTGAGGGACGCGCGCCACAGAAAGCAGATGGATCGGCTCCCTTCAGGTATATGTTTCAGAAAGCCTATCATTAGTCCAGGCTTCATATTTCTGTATCTCTCCTGTGAGAATTGCCGACCAGCGCCAAGGAACAGCACCCTGAATTCCACCCGCCCGTTCCGTTCCCGAACCCCCTTTCCTTCCTCTACTTAGGTCGAATTCTTCAGTCAATGTGATCTCAGCAGCTTCCAGACATGCCCACCCTCTTGCCCTTGCATATTTTTGGCACCCTCGTCATATCTTCAGAGTTCCTCACCACTGCATCGCCTACCAGCATAACCTTCCCGGTTGCCTCCCCGTCCTCACCACCCTCATCGCAAGCGCCGGCCACTTCTGATGTACGTGAGCTAGGCAATCTGCTAAGAGGAAGAGGCTTCAGGTGGCTCAAATGATAATGGCACACAAGACGGTCAGGCCTTCGTTAAGTCGTATAAGCAGAGAAATTTGGTGAGATCTCACGAGTGAGCAGGAGTGGTACCCGGTCGTCTTTCTTCAGTATGGTAACCGCTTCGTGACTACTTACATATGCATGATTGATCCTCATTGGAGGCGTCTACATGCTTTTCATTACTATTGTGCAACATTCTAAGCTATGAACAGTCGATACTCCTGCTTCATTAGTGTCCAGAATAGTTCGGATGGTACAACAGTATCCAGACAAACTGCAAGGACGGGTATGTACACTAACTACCGCTACAACATCGACGCCAACTAATCCCAAACAGTTCGACAAAGTCCAAAATCCAAAGTATAAACAACCCTCCGTCTCCTTTCCTCTACCATCCGCTAGAACTGGTCCTCAGTTCCCGAAATACATAGCCACCACCAATGCCCCCGCCGCCCACGCCCACCCCGCAACCAGCGCATCCGCGCCTGAGCTCGACCCTGAGCCCGCAGTCTGGCTCGCACTCGAACCAGAATGCGTGCCCGTCGCGCCCGCGCCGACGCTGCTGGACCCGGACGGCGTCGTGACGGTCGCGTTGTCCGCAGTGAACACGCGGACGTAGGAAACCTCGAAGTACGCGTTGTCATACGTCGGGCTGCCGGCGTTGATCACGCTGTTGAGGTACTATTCAAAGGCGGTGGTGGGTGAGGTGAAGAGGGGTTTGCAGGAATGGTGGGGAGGGACTTACGCAGTCGCCGTTACCGCATGTCTGGGAGTATGTCGAGTTCGCCCTGGGTAGTTACGTCCGTCAGAAAGGCAGTCGATGGCATTTCATTGGAGGAGGGTACGTACCACTGCCCGCACAGGTTGATATCCATCACGAGTTGCTGGGGGCCGAAGTAGTTGCTGATATCGCAGCTGCTCGAGGGGTACGCAGCGGACGGCGCCCCCCACGAAGAGGGGTCGATCGTGTCGTTGCTAGAGCTAATGGACGAGGGGACGTCGGGACGCTGTTAGGTGAGGAAGCGTGAGTCTCCAGACGGTATGGCGAGGCAGATCTGCTCAGAACTCACGCTCCAGAACCAAATATAAATCCCCGACACGTCAAACTGCGTGGCGAACACGCCCCCGCCCGCGCTCGCGAAGCCCTCGCCGAAGCTGTTCGCCTTCTTCTCCGCGACGGTGCACCCGCTCCCGATCGTCGCGTTGCAGTTCGTCTCGCCGCTCGCGCCGACCTGGTCCGCGGGCGTCGTGTGCGTGCAGCCAGCGGTGGTGTGCAGCGCCATCTGGTTGTACCCCATCAGGTTGACGGTCTCAATGATGTCGATCTCGCCCTGCGCTGGCCAGGAGGCGCCCCGTGTCCAGAATGCTGGCCAGACCTGTATTCAAATGCAAGCTTACGTGAGCATTCAAGCAGGAGGGTGGTTGGGAATGAGAGAGGTACGAAGGAAGTCACTCACCGAGCAGCCATACGGGAGGTGCGCAAAGTCGGCAATGAACACAGACCCGATAGGGTAGAAGTCCTGAGTGTAGATCTCTACCTGAACTGCCTTTCAGCCCCTGCTTTTCCCAGTCACCCAACGCACTCACTGAGTTCCGCTTATAGTTCCACGGCACATTCGTCGTATTATCCACTTTCACGATCGCGTGCCCGGTATTACTGTCCACATACGCGAGCTGCGCGGAGGTGGCGGCCGACTGGTTCAGGTACATAGCGTCCCCTATTCACTCACCGCCTACATGAACACACCGCTCGCCTCCACCACCTGGAGCGCTCACTCACCAGACTGAGAATAGTCATACCCGTTGAAGAAGTCCCATCCGTTGAAGAAATTATTGCCCGAAAAGTCCTGCGCGAGCTTGTACGCCGACGCAAAAGCGAGCTGCGTAGCGAGGACGGCGGCGGCAGCAGCAGGGGACTTCATGGTCTAGTGATCGCTGTAGACGTAGGTCGTGGTGTAAAGAACGAAGGCAGTTAACGAAGGGACGGCCAATGCAGGCCTCTGACGGAGTGCAGGAAGCTGCGTGCTGCGGGAGTCGCAAAAATAACAGGACTGACGGAAGGGGTCGCTGCGTGCCGGGAGGCGTTTCGTTCTTCATTATTATGTAGTCTCCCGCAAGGCGGAACGTGCCTGAGGCGATCGCAGCCGTTCCGGAAGTGCAGCTGCACGTCCCTGACTCATTCAAGATTGATTGGGCAATTGTTGAGGACAACGCTTCACCCGACAACATGAGGAGGACGACAGGTACACGTTCGACGTCCTCTCTCTCGAATTCTATCCACTGGTATATCGCTGATATAGATTGTCACGGAATCTCCAAGGCAAGCATATGGGTACAAAACCGAAGCAGTCAATATCTCATACAATCTAAATATCCGTACAACTCCTATTCGTCGTCAGTCCTACCGCTCACATATTGTTGCCCGGCTGATTGGTCTGCATGCACTAGGTAAGTTCAACATATCCGAAAAGCCACAAGAAAAACGCACCTTCAGAGCCTCTCCCTTCTCAACCAACCCCGGATCTCTCATGGCCTTTCCTGCAACCTTCTCGAGACTCCCTACATAATGCCATGATCAGCACAGCCCGCTCCGAGGGCTTGACCTAGGCAGCGACGCACCCTTCATCCGCTGACCCAACCCCGGTGTCTCAGCATTCTCCTGCTGTCCCTGCCCGTAGCTCAGATTCGTCCCGCTCTCGCCGCCATCCGCAAACTCCCCGCGCGCCTGGCGCGCCTCGAAGCCTTCGCGCGAGTCCGCGCCCTCCGAGATGAAGTGCCCCGAGTCGCTGGGGACGACCGGCGCTTCGACGTTAATCTGGCTGCCCGTGCGCCGCTCATCGCGGTCACGGGGGTGCACGACGTGGCGGTCCTCGGGCTCGCCTGGGCAGCGCGATGAGCAAGTGGATCAAAGAATGCAAGATATCTAGCGTACTTGCAACGTTGTTCAGATAGGACATGGTAGACGATAATAGATCGGATATATTAAGAGCGGTCGGTGTATGCGGTCCATGGCGAGGAGGGACTGGCTGATATACATAGCGAGCGAGGGATATGACGAGCGGTGACGTCCCCGGAGCCAACTAGGAAAGGCGGCCCTCCCCCCTAACTTGGCTGTGTTGTGGAGCGCAGACTCGGACAATTGTGGCACCGGATCCTGCGCCTTGGCTTGTAACCTGGAGGGCGATTTTCTGGTAATATTCAGCTGAGGTCTGTAGCCTGAGGCAATGATGTGTGGCATATACACCAGGGCATCTCCAAGGGAATCGGACGGAAAAACTGACATTTCATGATCAATCAAATAATCGCAGAAGGGATATGTAGTTTCGCTGAGACATGTCTCTCGCCCCTGCCAAATTCGCCGAGTTGCGGATGATAGCGGCTAGCAATATATACATCGTCTACTGCTAGCCGCTGTCATGGTTATCCAACTACGCACTTCCACGTATTTGGACGACATACGATTTGTCTGGACCCACAGCTCTAACACCATTGGGTCTCTGCTCAGGATCAAGGAAAGTATACGCGATGACTGCCCTGCTGCGCCAGCCGTAGTAATCCTTCCAATATTAATCAGACACGTTCGGTACGATCACTGCACAATACATTAGTACGTCTGCCTGCTTCGACTTCGCGCGTCGTCTTGTATGCGACGCATCTGCGCCCATGCCATTTAATTAATCAACTTCTGTCGGGATAGACTTTTAGCGGTTTGACAGAGAACGAACGTGTCATTATTGTACGTACACAATCTCACATCGCATTTCGTTCTGTTCCATTGAGTGGATGAGAAGCCATCCGAGTACTCGGAGGCCCTGAGTCAGTGTCTGAATCGTAGCTGCCCCACATCGGAGGCGCGTTAGCTCGCCGCCTTGTGGCCGGTCTTTATACCAGAGAGCGAGCAAGGGGGTAGGTATATACTGACATTTATTCGCGTCCCGTCGATCACCCTCGCCCTCATATCGCCTTCCACCAGCGGATCGCTGTTCTAGGTCCAAGACGGGATAACATAACCTCATGGTAAAGTGGCAGAGCGAGCAAGAACTAACGCGAGACATGCTTGTCTACGACAAGATGTGGCCTGTCTTCATGGGCATCTACATGTAAGCCCACAGCTCTGGTTTGACTCGACTCTAATATTTGGGCTCGCTCACGGGAGAACGAGCAGGTGGGACTTCGCGCTGACCTTCTGGTTCGACTGGTGGCTGCTTACCTGCAGGACGCCATTCCGATGGCCCCATGTGAGTCTATCATCTCTGTGTGCAACGACGACTCGGAGCAGAGACTCGGCACTTTCATTCGGCAGATCAGAATCCATTCTGACGGCTGCGAGTAAGGTACCGTATCTGGTGGCGCGTTATTCAGTTATCGGACAGTTCGTTCTGCTGTCAGTGAGCCTAAGCTTTTCTAATTTTCTCGCAAATGCACAGTAATTGACTGGTTTTTTGCCGTAGTTGTACCTTTGGTACCAATCAGGATATCGGAAGATGTGACAGTACGTGCACTCTAAGTTGCATTGGCCTTAGTGGAGCTGCTTTCGACTGATCCACTCATGCACAGTCAGGTATCATCTTCTCACCGTATGTCTCAAATACGACTTTCCGACGTGCCTAACTGAAGGTGTGGCTAGGTCGTGATAGTCTCCGGCACAGGGTGCGCTTCCCTAAACCTCGCAATACGCACGTGAGTGTCCTCCCGACACCTGTACTGTAAGGGCAGCTTTGCAGACGAGTCTGGGACAGAGTAAGAATCTGGAACAGCAAGCTCCCGGTTCTGGTAATAGTTACGCTGCTAGTATTGAGTCAGTGGGGCGTCCTTCTATCAGGTCGGTCTAGTATCCCGTATGTGTCGTATCCGACGTGGGTTTTGGTACTGAAGGAAAGGAACAGGAGCGGTGAGATTCTTTATGACAGCGTTCAACCCCCGTCAGGGATGCCTCGTCTCTGACCCGCATGGCGCGCAGATCATTCTAGTATATGCCACAAGTACGCTGTGCACTTGATCCCTTCTCTGTTGCTCTTATGCTCGTTCTTATCCGTTGTCTCCTTCACAGCTTTATTGGTCGATGTCTCTGTGCTCCTCATCGGCATGGTAGGTCTGACGCGCGGCGGTTCAGAGCTACGCATATGGAGGCTGGGCGACTTGGGACGAATTCTATTCGCTCAGGGGATGCTCTATTTTGTCGTCACGTCGGTCGTGAATGCTTTCTCCGTGGTACGTTGCCTGTCATAAAGAGCGCCGGATTTGAATTTGGTTGATGGGTTTGTGGGGGCTTTCAGGTCTTTGCAGCGCTGAATCTAAACAGTGAGGAATGTCAATTTATAATAGCCTCCACCGCGTATAATCTGCTCTTTTAGCCGTCATGGACATAATGCTGAGTGTTCCAGGTAAGTTACCATTATCTGGGAGCTGAGTCCTTTCTGAGATTGCTGCGCGAGGTAGCTCTAGTTGTAAGGTGAGCAAAGCAACCGCATCTCGTGGTAAAAATTCCGACCGTTCCGCGTACAGCACTATAGCCTCATGCCGCTGCGTGACATCCCTATTCGCGATGTACATAAAATCTCAGGACGGCCGGTACGTGTCCTGACTACCCTATCTATCCGAGATAATAGGCCACTGCTCATCAGCCGGCAGCTCCGACGGGACGACCGCGGTCAGCGGCGGCTCTTCACATGGGATCAAGTTCTCCTCGGTGATGGACCCTCCGCGGTATGATAAACCATTAATCGGAGCTCTTGTTGCTCACGCCCGACGCTGAGGATAGGTCTTCGAGGACGGAACAGTGCCAGGCCGAAGGAGCAGCCTCTGCTGCCCCGCATGCTACCACCGGGCATGGATCAACGCTCTCCACGATACCGCGTCAGTATCGAACAAATCGTTCCGCCCTCAGTCCCATTCCTGAGGTGTAGCCAGGTAGCTAAGGCTCATGAGGATACTCAAGAAGACTGGTCGGAGCAGCTGATCTCACCACTACTGATGATATCGCCATGATCCCGTCTGCGATCTCATATTTAGTCGCTGGGATCACAACGTTTGACCATGGCCAGGTACACCTTCCCTCAAGGTGCGTGGCCTCCCAGCCACAATCGTGCTGGGGCTCTACAGGCCATCATGATCATCATGATACAGTATCACAATCACAACTTGAATCACACCTCTGCTTAGATCTCCATGAAACGCGCTGGGATTATGATTCCGTAGTAGGTTTACACGCCATGTACAATAACAAGTAAACGATGACGGTAACGACTTGTAACGAGAATTATACAGACACGGGGGCAGACGAGGGCATGGTATAGTAGATACAAAGGTCTGCTGAGTTGTATATGTGCAGGTGGTGATAATAATACTCGTGTATGCAACAATGATGGCGACGAAGGATGTCCCTGATATGTAACAACGTGCGATAACGTCCGTATGTGCGGTGGAAGGGTCAGTTGGAGGTCCGTTTCCACCTTGCTAAGGGTGGATTTGTCGGGTCGACGACGCTGTCGCTGTGTCGATGTGACTGGACGAGGGAAGAATGGTTAAGAACATAGGCAAGGTAGTGGCGAGGAATGCTCGAAGCAACATACCCTGAACCGACTGATGTGTATCCCGCGAGGTGCGGATAACGAAGGCTGAGCAGGGGAGGACATGGCCAACATCTCTTCGAGCTGTCGAGCATACCAGCGACTGTCGTCGTCGACGTCGTCCTGCTCGTCATATCCAGCTTCCTCCTCTTCACCGAAGGCGTCGTCTTCGTCGTCCGTCAGCGAGGGTAAGAAGGATTCGTCTCCTGATACGGAGAGTTCTTCGACCTCGTCCTCGAGGGAGGGTAGTGGCTTGCCACGTCCCTCATGTTTCGGAGGGAGCTTCGGAGGGAGCTCCGGCAATTCTGTGCTGCTCGTGTCCTCACTAGAACAGCTCGTGAGAGATGGTGTCGACATTCGGCTCATCTTCATTTGGGAGGAAGAAGGCGACGGAGGGGGGCGGGGGAAGTCTAAAGCAAGACCGCATTTGCTGAAGTTGAGGTGGAAAGAATCCTCGGTGCGACGGTGACTGCGTGGACTTCCGTGTCTATCACGCTGGGAAGCACACGAGTGAGCTGGAGAGGATGATTAAGAGGATGAATGGGTACGTACTGGAGGTGACTTCGCGAGAACATCAACGTTTTCGACCTGCCACAGGCCCGCGAAACGATGTTTTGGTTTTGTAACCGGAGTGGCCTCCTGGCGACTTCTGTCCACTAAGACGGGTTTTGACATCTTCAATGTATGACACTCGCTCAAGAGGAGATAGGAGGTGCAACCTGCGTTCAGCTTGCAAGGAGACGTCGTGATGGTGGACGGTAGATGCCTGCGCACTTGCTGCAGTGTTACGACGAGTGTTACCGGGGTATCTTGACGTTCTTGGCCAGGAAAGGCGGCATCAGGATGCCTGGGATATTATAACCGACCTCACAACCGGTGGCCTAACGGAGGATATCGTTCAATATTGAGCGAAGCCATTGATCCCAGTTCGGCATGCCGGCGTAGGCGTTTCTTGAGCATCCACGTCAGAGAATTTGCCTTGTAAGTCGCTGCAACCCTGGCTTCGGACGGCCCAGCCGCGCCTCGAGGCATTTCATTACGGAGATTGCTGCCCTGGATCGGATGTAGAACAACCACAATTGGCTTCCGTCGTCACGCCGCACTTCCCGAAATTACGACAACCGTAGTTCTCGGGTGTAAGGAGGCTATAAATACCCGAAAGCGGTCGTCGCATCGCTCTATTTAGCGATGTCTTTGTAGACAGTATCGTCCCGGAGACTCGCGATTCTTTCAAAGAGGGAGCAGCAGGATGAGGAAGGTAATAATACAGGTCGACATGGCTCCATTCAGTTAACCTCTGTAGCGTAACCCTTTCCAACCGTGCCGCTGGTATTTACATTGTCACGCAATCCGTCACAAAATATATTTGCCGCCCGCGGTCTGGAGTCTGGACCACTTTGTGGTCGGTTGTTGATGCTTCAACTTGGAGCTTTTCCAAGGAACTAGCGAGAATCCACTGCATGCTACAGCAAAGAACGAATGCGATTACCTCTCGTGCAGATCTTTTATCGTAGACACATAACAGAACCGGGGTGCATCAGGAGTGCTGTAATTAAAAAGGATCTGCAGGTGCAACACCTGCACAGCCACTATCGGCCCTGCGGTACCGAGAGTCCCCGCCGACTCCCCGGTGCCGCCACAGGTCGATGACAGGACTTCCGCAAAACGATGTTACCAAACATAACGCTCTCATTTCAGCCACAATGTATGCCCATACATTTATGCTAGAACACTACTGACAAAGCCACTCGGATGAGTTATATATGACAGAAGTGCTCCCGGCACGACGTTTGTATGCTTCCGGATCCCACATACGCCGCTCGGTGCCTTACCCGGTGACGTAGAAGCCTACGATGTACAGACGCAAGGTTCTGTAATGCGAGGAATAAATAGGACCGGGTTATCGCCCTCACCCCAGTACACACATTGTCTGCGGTACTACTAGTATGGCCTCTGCTGACGACGTTTACGAGGGCAAACCGCTCACCCAGCTCTGGCCTACAGAGGATAGACCGGGCTGGCGAGGGTGAGAGCATTTGCCAACGTTCTTACTCGAAGCATAACGTAAATAATACATCTTAGTTTCATTGAATGGGAGGATCGCCCCGACAGAAAGAAGATCGTCCATGAACTCTTGAAGCGGAGGAAATTTCCGTATCCTCCGGGTATGAGACAACCATAACGTGTCCTTGATGTTGGCACTTTCTGACTGTCATCTCAGAATTTCAGTTTGTACCACTCCCAAAGACAAACCCAATCCTTGACGGCGAGCGCTTCAAGGCTTACCATGCGGCCGTCGGTCTATCCAGTATCGTTGACTTTAGCTGGGAGACGGTCCTGAAAGAGAAGCCAAATATGATACATCTTCTCCAGTTTCCGTATAATGGGGAAACACGACGCGAAGATCTTATTGCGGGCAAGATAACCGATAACAAAGTTCATTTGTACGTTTCTGCCGGTGAACCACTGATCGAACCTGATACGGAGGCCCGTACCGTATAGCATTCGCAACCACGGCGGCGTACCCGATATCGACGAAGATGCCCTCGAGATCTCCATCGGAGGTCTTGTAAACAAGCCAGTCAAGCTTACCATGAAGGATCTGAAGGATCCCAACAAGTTCCCGTGAGTGATCTGCCCATGGTTGCTCGTACCGTCTGTATCTCATCGTTCTTCAATGCCGTAGCCAAACCGAAGTCACGATTACGCTGCAGTGCGCCGGTACTCGTCGCCGAGAACAGATTGAGCAGTACCCAGGAGACGGTGATGAACTAATCAACGCCCCTTGTATGCGCCTGTCCGATTGTTTTATTTCTGCGCGCTCATACTGTCTTTGCACCGCGCAGGGGGAGAGGGTGCCATGTAAGTCTATCGAGATTGCTGCGACAATCAATACTTACCCTTTGCCACTAGTGGCACTGCTGTCTATAAAGGTGTCCCGTTGAAGAAGGTCTTGAAGATCGCGTGTGGAGGCGTGCTCCCCGAATGCCAACACATCGAGTTCATAGGCGCTGACACCTACTTCAAGTACACGAATCCCTTTTCAAGCACGCGCATTGCTGACCTCCCTTCATCTGCACAGGAAAGGCGACGTTTTCAACTACGCAGTGTCGGTGCCGTATCGCAAAGTGCGCAGGAACGAGGAAGTGCTCCTCGCCTGGGAGATGAACGGGAAGCCCCTCCCCAAGATCCACGGGTTCCCTCTTCGAGCCGTGGTCGCGGGCTACATCGGCGCCAGGAGCGTCAAGTGGCTTTACAAGATCAACGCCTTGGCCGAACCCAGCTTGGGTCCCGTTCAGAGGCAAGAGTATATATACTACACCTCACAGGTAGGTCGCTGTACCGAAGTCCACACTGCTCAACTCTAATGCGATCGCTCCTGTTAGATGGGAAAGCAGAACGTCACGTATTCCAACGGATTTTCCATCCAGGACATGCCAGTATCGTACGTAACTTGCCGCGTTTTGAATGCGCAACGCCACATATGCCAAGCTGTCATTTAGGAGCGCTATCATATTCCCGCTTGACAAGACCACAATTGTGCATGACGGCACGATAGAATTGCAGGGATGGGCGTACAGCGGAGGCGGCAACTGGGTCGAGAGGGTGGAAGTTTCGCCTGACGGGTACGATACTACCTGTTTGGCCACTGGACTTCGGCGCTAAGACCTGTCTGATTCACTCCCAGGGGCCACGTCTGGTACCAGGTTGCAGCGGAAGATATGACCGAGAAGCACTACTACGCCTGGCGCCTCTGGAAGACAAAGCTGCCCGTCGATGCCGAGGGCTGGCTCGAGTTCTGCGTGCGCACCTGGGATTCTTCGTGCAACACGGAGCCGACCTTTGTACGCTCAGCCTGGAAGTACGTCGTGCTTTGTTCTGCGCCCTTGGTTTCCACGGCTGACATGTGCTTGTCATAGTTGGGATCTGCACGTAACTTCTTCGGCGCATCGTATCAAGGTGTACAGCGTCAACAGGACGAAGCCCGCCACGGCTAAGCGGCTGAAAGAACTCGAGGAGCATGGCGAGACCATTGAGCCGATTACCAGGCCGCTATCGTTCCCCCTCGAGGATCACGAGACGTATCAAGCCAACACCCAGAAGTACCCGAGAGAACCCAAGAATTGAGCGGTAAAGGTACGCTGCGGAAGGAGGTGTGCCTGCTATCAATGTAAGCTACGCAAGACTCAAAAGGTGATCTGTAAAGTGTGTAGATTCATCTTCTACAGTGTTGTGTATAGTAATTTGTTGTGCCTCTAAATCGCATCGTGTCGTATTTGTATGTGCACCATGTTGGTGGCGCCCATCATCTGACAAAATAGTTATATACACTTGGCCGGACCATAATTGACACCGTGCGGCGGCCAAGGACACTTGAGGCTGGCAGGACCAATGCTCTCCTGCAGAATAACACCCAATAAGAGCCCTATTCTCGGGACGAAGAACACCGGTTGTTGGGTTGACGCAGGGGACGTGCACAGACCACACACACACAGTACAACAAACCTGAAGACCGGGAATCCTGGATCTCGGAAAGCAACCGAGAGATCTTCGAGATTTAAGCGGCTGCTAATGGCTCGAGAGATGCAGCCGGCCGAAGAGACCAGCTAGATGTTCTCTTGCATCCGCAGTGGAAAGGCCTCTTGCCAGGGAATCATTGTCATGTATAGACATAGAATCTCATATCGGGCATCCCTTGACAACTGATTGCAGAACGATAGACGCACCGGAAATTCCTGCTCTTCAGGGTGCCCCAAACAATGACAAAACACCCCCAAACAGTGGGATATTTGCTCAGAAGGTGGACACTACCTACTTCGAGAGCCATTCGAGGCAATGGGACCCAGCTAGCCCTGACGAAAGCGGTGTGGCGATTGCAGTGCGCTCCCCTTCTACTTCATTTGGCGGCTTTGATTGGCAGCAGCAGAAATCTGAGGTGCATCCAACGTTCTGCAATCAGCAGGAACTTGATCTAGGATCTAAAGTCGTGGTGAAAGCCGCGTGCGGATGCAACCTAATACCGATAGCGACGGAATCAATTCCGAGTTGTCTAGACAGGTCTTCTTTGAATTGCACACCAATGAGCACTCAGAAGGACAGCGGACAGATGACATTGACCTTGGCATTTGATGATCGGTGAGAACCAAATGAAGAACTCACTTGACTGGCGAATCTACCACAGGGCATCCACAGGCTTCCTCGTGAACGTGGCTGATTATCCAGCCTAACACAGCTAAGCATAGGATTTGAAGTCATTTCGATGGATTTGGTCCGATTAGAACGCACCAGAAGAACACGTACTTGTTGCACTTGGCATACTCCGCCGGGAGCACCGTAATACGCCGCCGGCGGTGATCTCAACACAGGTCAGAAGATGCCAGCATGACCGAAGTAACGCCTCGCCATGACACGATAGGATAAGCACGGCTTGTATACCCTGCTTTCTCGACGTACATTTAACCGATAACTGTGGAGGGCACGTTTCTATATTTTAAACAACATGTCCCTTCAACCGTGTCGTTTAAGTACAACGTACCCATAGTGCTCCTGCGTTAGTAGAGTCATTGGAACTGTAGTCCCAGGAGGCGCGGATACATAGGCATGCAACCTACAACCCTATGGGCGAATTTCGGTGATTGCAGGAGTGTCCAATACAAGTCCGATGACCTACTTGCAAAGCATATTTTCTGTCTTTCCATGATCAGTGGTCTCAAGACGCTGGAGGCGTCGGGATATCTTTTCATCCCAGGACTGCTCGCAGGCTACCTCGCGCCCTCAGCTAGTCAACTCCCAGGTTGTGCCAGTATTTGAGTTCATGAAGTGCAGGAGACGTCATATGGGACCAAGGTGCGAAATGGGGTCCCGGTTATGCCTAGACTTCAAGAAGGGAAGCGTCAAGGAAGCGTCCCGGTGCACGAGATTTACTTAGCATAGATGCGCAGCGCAGTTCCGCCTTACCTAAACACTAAGTCCAAAGGTGGTTTCATTGTGTCCCTGCGAACTTTCCAACTCTCCTAAACGCTATCATACCCAAATTTCCGCGCTTCTCACAACTGGGATGGGCTGTGGTACGACACCGCCGTCGGCCTCTCGGATAGCTTGGGCGTCAGTGAAAGCGGGCGCCCTGGGCACGACGTCGAAGTCAATCGGCATGCCGACAGACGTATGTACGCCATTGACAGAGGAAGAGTAATAATGTAAGTATCTCAATCACGCATGGTACCAATACGACGTGAAGCCTGTCAAAAGCATGAGGTGTTTCCGGACCGGCTATTTTCAGTTGGCCCTGTCCAGTTTGGGTTCCTCGGTATATGTATAGGTCTTTTCTTCGTAATGCCTATCCGACCTCGCTCCGAACTTTTCGTTCGCCGCAACGCTGCCAGGCCTGCTGGATGTCGGCCTTTTCGATCCCCAACATACAGGCCCACCCTGAGTCCTTCATTGGACCGGGGCTTGCAGGGATGTTCGTGCAGGCACTCCAGACCGGCTTCTTGATCAATCAGGCCCTCAGGTTCTGGAGCCGAACTTACGAACCACTCATACTCAAGGTGATCGTTTCGTTCGTATCGGCCGTCGCAGCGTGCGTAGTCGTGCAACAGAAGGGGTTCGCCACTGAGCATTGATGGGCGCGTATTAGCTTCCAGACTGCCGTTTCCTTCTACGCCATCTGGCGGTTATGTGTCCATCATTTCGGAGACTGGGTATGTCATGTCACAGCGGTAAAGTTTGTGGAGCAGGATTCACATATCTTACTAGGTGGCTACTGTCAATCCTGCTTGGCCAGATAAGATTCAGACAATGCTCGTAAGTGTTGCGTCCTTGCAGATTAAAGGACAGGCCGTGACTCGACTCTGTTAGACGATGGCGATGGCGTCGCCTGTGCAAGGCTTTCTCATCTGGAGATGTTGGATTGTGAGCTGCCGCTACATGATGCCCATCTTAATTCACATTTAACGGCATGAAAGCTCACCGACAAACGCTGGATAACTCTGGTACGTAGTGCCAAAGATGTTTGTTCACTTCCATTGAATAGCAACAGGTGCCCTTGTCAGCATTATTGACTCTCACCACTGTTACCAGCATTGTGGTCACGGCAGACGTCTTCACGGTGGACTTTACCAAGCCTCTAACGCCGCCTGCTGGTCCAGCAGCTAAGATACCGGTGCGTGTCGATGCTATATCTCTACATATTCCACGGAAGTTAATGAACATCAGGTGGACGTCACTTGTATGTGCACGGATTGACGCCAGCTATCACGCCGCTTACAAAAATGCAGGGGTATTATGCATATCGGGAGCGGCTAGTAAGTCGGTATATGTACATGCTTTGGGCCCGCTTTAATGCCCTTAGAGTCCTCGACATCGCCCTTACCACCATACGTATGTCCTTGCTTTTCCTACACTTGACATCCGTGCTCATTACGTTTGACAGTCTCCCTGTACTTGCTACGATCCAGGCATTCAGCTATAACTCCAAGGTTCAAACGAGTAAGCATGAGTTTGTCTACGTCTGTTCTCGCTGCTGACATGGTCTCCACGCTAGATTATCACGAAACTCATCGTAATAGCATGGGAAGCGGCGCTATTGCCATCCGTGTGCGCTATAACGACGGTGATCACTTACTTAAAATTAGTAAGGGTTCCCTCACCTGTCGCCGACTGAAGCTCTTCTTTACCGCCCCATGTCAAGGTCGACTACAATTTCTGGGATTTGTTCTTCCAGCAGGTGCTTGGGAAATTCTATGTGATATCCTTATTCGTGACTCTGTGAGTGCACAACTTTGACCTAACATACCAGCGGGAGTATATATCCAACGTCAAAATCCAGTAACGGACGCGCCGATTTACAACGGAAGCCTCAAGAAAGTTTCCTCGCAAATCTCACCCATATTACGGAGATGCATCCGCTCTCCGCCCAGGAGATCCGGATCGGGGTATGTCTGCCTCATAGAATGTGCAATTTGGGTATTCTGACATACCGTTAGATCGATCGTAGTCGGGACCAAATGCACGAGGAACGTCGTTGTACCTGCCCCATCGAGACCAAATCCCTCCGAACTGACCATGATCGACGAGGTCAGGACTCGTCTTCGAGATCGGAAAGCTGGACGCCGACTCGCGGGCTCGGGAGCTGCTGACGGCCTCACCCCTGCTACGGTTTTGGTATGCAGCGAGGCCGGGACAGTACACCGTCATGGATGTCTAAATACTGTACGGGTCTCCGTCTAGCTCACCCTTTCTTCCTGTTCTTCTACTAGCCGAGGGAAGTATGCGGGTGTCTGGAGCGAGTGTCCCTTGGATATCCAGAGCGGGCTTCGTCATCTGGCTACAGATGAACCTGCTCATGGCAATCGATGTCGAGGGGGGAGGGGCCACCGAATAAACCTGCTGGCATCAGAGAGGGCGGACAGGTGTGCTCACCCGAGACCGACGTGCGCCAGCCTGAGCGGTGCGAAGAGGCTCTCACCATTGTATATGAGAGAAATGTAGATAGCTGCCCTATCTTGGTGACGATGGAATGGAAGACCGCAGGAGGGCGGGATCCGGTCATCCATCCGGGCGCGAAATGCGACGTTGGAGTACGAGCAGGGGGGGGGGGCAGGGGTTAGGCATATCCTAGAATTGAGGCGATGCTTAGCATCTCCGCATCATGGTCTCAGCGAGTAGTGCCTTGGTGGGTAGCTTGGACTCTTATACTGGGACATGTTCGGAGATTATTATGGATATATACACCGCAGGGATTCAGAAGACTCAGACACGCTCGTCGGGCGTGATGCGAACATGAGGATATTGCGAGCCATGCCTGTGTAGTGACTGTAATTAATTCTGAGACTAAAGGATGTCTTACTTCTTCAGAATTTCAGAAGGCTGAGACAGTACTACTTAGCGATGGGACAAGGGACGAGGAACAAAAGGCGCGAAACGCCACAAGCCCCTAAGGTGGCAAGGTGATTTAAATTGTCCGCATGTGGACAATGCCACTGAAGGTAAATATGTGCAAATAATCCGATAACCAACAGTAACGGCCCCGTGCTGGATGGTAACGCAAAGTCCAACTTGCGCTGCCACCACCTGCCTGTATTTCTTACCGCCTGGCCTCGAAAGCCGCGATATTAACCCAAGTAACCCCCAACCTGCGTTTTGGAGCGCGGAAAACGCGACTGTGGCGAGGCTGTCTTGCAGGCTGTCTCGCGGAACCGGATACACCCATCTTGTCGCGTGTTCGCTCGATCTACTTAAACTGCTGCCAATAATTACATGTCATTCTCCGGCACACCGCTCGGACAAGGCAGACGGCTAGATCACTACACTTTTCTCAACAAACCCAAGCCCAAACCTCAACAGAAAGATCCTAATTCTCCGCCGAAGTCCAGCCATCTTATCCCCACTTCTTACGCCTACGGGTGCGTGCATGTTCATGTTTCCTATCTGATACCTACTTATACTGCGGCAGGGCACCAAGCTCACCCCCCAAAGTCTCTAAGACAGCGTCTCGTGAGAGTCAAGGGGCTGCGGAGGAGGAAGACGACTCATCAGAACCTGCTCTCGTCCGCTTTGCTCGTCTGAAACAGCGCCAACAGACGACCATAGCCCCCGGAGGAACCAACCCTCTTGCCAATCCCGAGAAGTGGAGTGTTAGAGATACCACTGTCAACGTCGCAACCGCGTTCAGCCAAGCCGCTACCTCCGAAATGCCACCCGCCCCGTCAGATCCCAATTCCTCTTGGGTTTCCGGGCGAAACAGACCCGCGGTACCCCGTAGCACATCCGTGGAGTACGAGAAAGAGACCCACTCTACCACCAGTCGACGTCTAGCCGCCCCTCCTAGTCGGTTGGCCCCACCCCGGGCAACCCAGCCACCTCGAAGACCCATCAGCAAACAACAATCCATACGGCATGTGCCAGACTCGGAAGGTGAGGAAGAGGAAGTAAGCCTGAACGGCAGGGCGAAGAGTCCATTCGAGCAGGCTGTCGACTTCACCAAACGGGCGCTTGCCCCTGCTACCTTCTATTTGAGACAAAGGTCGCAGGAACCGCAGGATACGTCCTCCGAACAGCAGCAGAATCGTAGCAATGGTGACTCGAGTCATAGCTATGATTACTCTGCCGAGGAGCGCGAGTTCCAATCGAACTTAAGCCAGGCAAATGGCAATGGGACGCAGAAGCCGAATTCCTCCGCATCCAGTCGTCGGGTTCAAGCGACTCATCGTAAGAATCGAATGTCCACTGACAATAAGGCCTATCGCCCGAGTCATTCAGATCTCGAAGTGTCAGACGAGGATGTCTCAGACGACGGGAAAAGGAGAAGAAGAAGAAAGAAGAAAAAGGAGCCTATTGGGGGTCCTTTGACAACGTTGCCAGTTACTAGCTACGACAAGAGACGGAAGAAGAGAGTTGGGAAAGGTGGTGCGGGCGAAGACGCTGAAGAAAGTGGAAGTGACGAATCTAGCGATGACATGGTCGAGGAACAAGTACGGCCGTATACTGTCCTGTGTAGACCAGTACTGACTATGGTGCAGAGACGAATCAAGACACCATCTGCGCGTCCGCCGTTGTCCAAAGGGTCTGCGCCGCCCTCGCGGGCTTCCGCACGTGGTTCTGCGGCTCCTCAAACAGAGCCCTATGACTCCGGCTTTGTAGATACGTCCATGGACGTTGAACAAGGTCTTGACTCTATACCCGAACACGACGAATACCCTCCCGAGGTGGACGAAACACAGTACACTGACGTACCCGCTCGATCGACCTTCTCCGTCGGAGCCCTTTTGGGCAAATTGGTATACCTGGCTACCCGGGGCGTGAGAGGTACTCTGCAGTTTTTCCTGAGGCTTCTGGGGATGCTCGCGATGCTAGTTGGGAGAATTGTAGGCACCGTCATCGACGTTGTCTTCCGGCAACCAATGCGGCTGCTCTCACATACGAACTCCGCTGCGTTGATGAAACTATCTGCATACGTCTTAGTAGGCGCATGTGTCTATGCCCTGTGGTATCAGCTTCGCGACCCTTCCTCTTGGTCATGGATCCCGGCTTCGCGCCAGCGGACACCTTTTCAGGCCCCAGGTATCCCCGCAGCTGACCTAGCGGAGCTCTCAGCTCGCCTGCAGACGCTCGAAAACGTCCTGTCTGGATTGTCGCTAGATCACCAGCGTGCACAGACCAAGCTGGATAGCGAGTCTAAGGCGCAGGCGGAGCTTATGGGACGAGTCGGCGACTTGGAATCTCGAGTCCAGAAGGAAAGCTCTCGAATACTGGAAGCGGAGAACCAGTTCAGGAGCACGGCAAGCAAGGGCCTTCAGGCTGTCAGAGAGGAGATTGCCGCCCTGCAAGCGCAAATCCAGGAGGGTGCTGGAGCAGCTACTCCTAGCGGCCCCTCGACCGATGAAGAGGCCCGAGCCAAACTCAAGGAACTTGAGGAGCGCCTGGGAGGTGTCGAGGGAGGCGTCAAGGAAGCGTTGGAGTCGGCCAAGAGTAGCCTGAAGGTGCAAGGGCCCGGAGGTGCTACTGGCTGGTGGAACAAGATCGCAGCAGGCTCGGGCGCGGCCTCATCTTTGGTAATCAAGTCGTCGGATGGCCAGGATGTCACATCTCTCATTGGACATCTAGTCGACTCCGCAGTGTCAAGGTACTCCAAGGACATTCTTGCTCGACCCGATCTTGCCCTGCATTCCGCTGGCGCCAGCATTGTCCCCTCCCTGACCAGTGACACCTTTGAGCTGAGACCTGCCAATATTCCCGGCAAAGTCATGGGATGGGTTACTGGCTATGGCTACGCCATCGGACGCCCGCCTGTCACCGCCCTCCATCATGAACTCCACGCCGGCCATTGCTGGCCCTTCGCTGGTTCCCAAGGCCAATTGGGTGTCATGCTTTCCCATCCTGCTTACATCTCCGAAGTAACCATCGATCATGTCGCTAAGGAGGTTGCTTTTGACATGCGGTCTGCACCTCGTGAGATGGAGCTGTGGGGTCTAGTGGAAGGCAAAGACAACGTCCAGAAAATACGCCGTTGGCAGGCCGAAAAGAGCAGGGCAAAGGAACAAGCCAGACTTGACGCAGAAGCACAGGGCGCTCCTCCTCCGGAGGATGAGGATGACATCGAATACCCTCGTACCTTGCCGAGTGACAGATACGTCCGAATCGCCAACTTCACGTACGACATCAACTCGCCGAATAATATCCAGACGTTCCCTGTATCTGAGGGAATAAAAGATCTGGGGGTGGATTTCGGTATGGTCGTACTGCTGGTGAAGAGCAACTGGGGGATGGAGGACTACACGTGCCTATACCGGCTGCGCGTGCACGGCGATAGGATTGGTGAAGTTCCTCTCCCGTATTCCGAAGACACGGCTTAAATGTATCTCTTCTTGTCTTCACTTCTTATTCGTTTTTATTATCTTTTTTTTCTCTTTCCTCTCGCTTTTCATTTATATCCTGTTTGTGGCTAATATGTTATGATCATGGTTGGTTGCTATCGGAGTAGGGGCTTTCATTGCGAATCCATGTCTGTTATCTTAGTACTGTCCCAGTCATGATTATAGTACACCAATGCTTGATATGCGCATGCCCATCATGTATACACACCCAATGTAACATATATCTGCATGGAAACGAATATCTTTCATACATTCGCTAAACGCTCTCTTAGGTACACTCCCTAGTCGTATTACAAACATCAAGCGTCTACCATGACAATGCGCCGACTAGGCCCATCTGACTTTAGCAGGAGACACACACGACCTGACCACTCGTCCATAGTGACAAATTCTAGGTCTTGCTTATCCTTCCACGGGACCAGCAAGGACCCTACCTGGACTGAAAACTCCTCTTCAGTATAATCTTCTAGGCATCGCTGCGATGTGGGAACACGAGGTAGAGTACACGTCCGCAACTTCAGTAACTGGGGATCAGCAGCGCATTTATCCTCGTTCCACCACACGCCGCGATGGGTTCCTATTGAGGTCAGATCGCCGCAATCCTTGACTGGCAAAGATGTAGCTATCGATAGTGTTAGCACGGGCGAGACAGGACTAGAAAGACATAGAAAGTACTAACCTCGATGGGATGGCGATGTCGATGAAAGGTTGAGCACATGAAAAATATGGTAGTCCAGAACAAAAGCCACTTTCGAGTCCTCGAGGTCAGCGGGGTTCCAGGGAATGGGGACCACAACGGGAGGGCACAGAATCAGCCCATACTTCAGAAACCACGACGGCTCTACAGATATTACGCGTGGACCATCTCCGTCCTGCGCTGATCCGTCTTCCACGAGGGTGTCGCTGTCCTGCATATTCTCGAATTGTACCATGTCAGAAGAAGGTACGTCGTATAACGAGAAACCGAGATCACAACATATGAGAATTTGCGAGGGTGTAATTATCGACAGCGTGGAGTCCTGAAAACTCTGAAAAACGTGATAAGACCTCGGAGTTGCACAGAACCCAACGGACAAACCGAGGTGATGCCCACGTTCCAGAGAAGCTCCCTGTACCGTTGTTCACCGCTGCCATGGATTTTTTGAATATGAACAATTTCCATGTCCTCACAGCCGGTAGCGAAAGCAAGCAAATTGAATGAAGCGGAAGCGGCAAGGATGCTAGTGTGGAGCTGGCGTTCAACAAGGAGATCCATGCAAGCAATCTCGGTGTCTATCCGGTAGAGGAGCAGATGACTGATCCCGCTTCGTGAGAAAAAAGAAATCGTTCATGAGTGTCCCAGAGCGAAATAAACGGGAACATACCGCACTACACTTTTACCGGTAATGAGTAACAACAAATCGAAGTCCTGCGTATGCGAGATTTCGCAGCACAACTCACGCAGATGAGTGCCGACGCCTTTTTGGGAAACCCGTGGATCTGATTCTGTTACATGCTGTAGATGCACAGTGGCATCACTCGCGATGATCGCAAGCCAATCCCCGCCCGGGAGCAGCTTCAGGTATTGCGCATCGTCTGGTGCGTGCAAGTCCCTCACAGACTTCGGGCTGTGGTCCGGTCTGCGCCACAGTTTTTCTAACCGGGAAGATCTCATCGTCTGCCACTTCACGTCCTCCATCGATAGTGTTGGTAAAGCCTTGTAAATTTGGGGTACAGGGACTACGTCCAGTGCTTCTTCCATGGCGTGGCGCCACCACGAACGGCTTTCGGTAGCTCCGTACATGCCCGTGCATGACTGAGCCAGACAGTGGATTAATATATCAGCGAGGGGAACATCCGCCATGTATTAGCTGAAGAGACTTACCAGCCGTATGCTCAATAGATCAGGCAGGCACAAGTACTGAAAGATTTGGATTTGAAGATCAAGTGGGAGATGGTCAATCATAGCGAAAGACAATGAAGGGATGTGGCAACGGTCAGTCAGCTAACATACTTGAACTCGGTATGGGCCGACGCGGAGAACGCGGAGACAAGTCCAAGAAACGTCATACACGCCTGCGACATTCAGTTGATACTGAGCATGGTGCAATGGATGAACAATGGGGTTGAAGTCAGATAGGCTCCATAGGGATGAACACGAACCGGATATAGGTCAGTTCGCGTCTAGAGCAGGGAAGGTGCGACCGGACGTGACAATCACGAGGCAACGTTGGGATCTCTCCCTCTGCTCACACTCGGTCTAAGACAGCCCCGGGCGCCGCGCTGGACAGCACATAAACCCGAAATAGGTATAGATAGGCAATGCTACGACTGGAAACATCTTCTCAAAGAAGCAAATGTATGAAGCAAGAGCTGCACCATGTAATGTCCTGAATAGATTGCTGCAACAAGAGACGACACTTCGGGACCTTTTCGACTTGTGGTTCGGAAGTCCGCCCGTCTCCGGTCTGTGACCATAGGTACGAGTTGGGTGTGTAACGGACAAGTTGGGTCATATGTCAGCGTACTTGTCGGTCGCCTTCAAATCTGTCAATGGACTTTGCCCTGTGGTAGGTCGAGTACGCTCACCTTGACGAGGAGAGCTGCAATACCAGGCTCGCGTGCCGAGTGCCCAGCATCAGGCACGATGTGGAACTCAATCTCAGGCCATACCTAGACGAACATGGAGCACAACAAACTTAGACCGACGTGGCTTTGAACTCACTTTCTTCAGAGCCCAAGCAGTAGTCGCCTGACCTCTTTATCAGAACTAGCACATCCTGGCGGAGATGAATGACCCACCGGACATACGACGTCGTATCTCCCTTGCACCACCATGCATGGAATATGACGTCTATAGACGAGAATCATCAAGCGATTGCCGAAAGCTCTGGACAAGCTGCGCACATCTTATCAATTTCCTGCTTTTCCAGGAGCTGACCGTCTCGCATGAAACCCTACGGATAATAAGTATGGACAGGGTCATTCGACGGGTAAGAAATATTCAAATCACACACATCGTTGACGAAGTAATGGTTTTCAATCCTAGCGAATGCACTGAAGGTGAAAGGCGATCAAGTCCCCGGCTGATTTGAGTGCGGGATGGCGGACGACTTACTTAGCAAAGTCATCCAAGTCAGCCCTCGCAATCTGCTCGGGATCAACGTAGAGTTTGGAGGTAGCCATTCTTTTCAGACCCGTCAATAATGGCTCGACGGCAGAAATGTTAGAAGAATCTCACTCGTATTTTGACCAAGCCTTCGCGGCCCTTATACGAGTCTGATCGTCGACGGAATTGAGTTGGGCGTGATACGCAAGGATCATGTCATGCCGTTCAGCCTCGGGAATAGGCGCTACGAATTCATCCCTATCGGATCTATCTTAAGAATTTGCCACCTAGCGGGAGTAGCGAACTCACCAGGCTTCCGGAAATAAGTGAGATGTTCCATCTTGGTAGAAGAACCGTAATTCGCTTCAGAGATAGCGTACGCCATGTAAAATATACCACGTATTGGACACAAAGCACCTACCTCTTCCTCAGGGTAAAGATTCCACTGAGAGGACTGGTAAGTTTACACAACGAGATGAGACGTGAGGTATCGACTCACCGGATAACAAGGCTCTTGACACGGTCAGGGTGTGACTATCCGACGTGGCAAGAACACCGTCATGTTCTATCCGATATATATGTACAGTAATCGGCCATACCTGCGCGTACGCGAGGGCAAGAGTGGAACCCTTGCCGCAGGATATCAGGATGAATCTGGAGCTGGTCTTCGTGACGACATACCCAGGAGCCGCCGAATACGTGCCACTTGTCGACTCCCAGATGCTCCCTGAGACGTTCCAAATCTTTCACCAGATCCCATGTGGTGTTCTCTTCGAGACAAGCTGACCTGTACCAAGAGCATACGTTAGGAACGGGTCTTTATCTTGGAGCAAAACACTCACGGTGTGGACCTGCCGGAGCCTCGCTGGTCAAAGAGCACGATCTGCATCCAATTACACGTCAGATGCTTTCATTGCACGGGTGATGTCATGGCGCATATACCTTGTACTTTACAGGGTTGAAGAACGATCTGTCCTTATCATCATATCCCCCGCCGGGTCCGCCTATGAAGCGCCAACAGGGGGAGCATTAAATATTCTCCAGGAAGCATGGCACGTATATCCTAACCATGCAGGAAGACAACTAGTCCAAAGACGAGTAAGCTCTCTGACTGTTTCAGACCCTTAGATGACTTACCAGGGTTGCCGTCCTTGTTGCCGCTGACCTCATAGCTATGTGGACCAGTAAATGAACAATCAGATGCCCTGCCAATGGTGCAATCAACCCACTGGAGTGTATGCACATCGGACACCTTGAGCTTGCCCGCGTTGTATGGTTCGATGGGAGGATACATCTGCCAGTGATCTAAGAGTCGCTTATAATGTCGCACTGACAGTCTGCTCGGCGACGGCTGCAGCGACGAGCAAGGTGTATTGGCCAGAGATGTGATAGATCTTAGGCCAAATCTAGCAATCATTATTGTAAATCGGTTTATTACCGCTTTCCATGCTGGCAGTTCACAGGGTGCAGTCCGAAATGGCCTGCCGTACCACACCGTCGCTCTATACCCATTTAAAAGCCTCTGGCGACGACGACGCTAGCAACAGCATAGACTCATGCCCGACCATCTGCCTTTACCGCCCCCTCCTGCCCCAAGCGATGCGTCACCGCCTACGCTGACCGAGGAGCAGGACGGCATGCAGAAGAAGGTGCACGAGTACTTCAGCAAACCAGATTACACGTTGCCGAACGAGAAAGATGGGATACTCTCTGACGAAGAGAAGATGTGGTTGGTAAGTACGACGTAATGATAGTACTTGCACGACGCGGTCTGACGCTGGTGACAGTCGTATGAGTGCATGCTACGGTGTGTAAACGTGCACCGCCTGATACGCGCATACACCTGAGGGCGTGGGCCATTGGATCATACCTAGGTATCTACGAGCAACTAAATGGGATGTCTCGAGTGCAATCAAGAGGCTAGAAGGCACCCTCAAGTGGCGGCGGGACTATGGCCTGTACACCACCATAACGCCGGAGCACGTCGAACCGGAGGTACGTTACCATATCATCTTCCACATTCGCCAGTATTTAATGAGATTCATTTGCTCTGGAAGGCCTTGACTGGGAAGGAAGTCGTCTTCGGTTACGACCTTGAGCGCAGACCTGCACTGTACCTGATACCCAGCCGCCAAAACACCGAGGAATCGCCTAGACAAATAGAATTCAATGTCTGGATGCTGGAGCGCACCATAGACCTGATGGGTCCTGGCGTTGAGTACGTCCTCCTTTGTAACGCCATCGGAAACGGTGTGAATCACTATAACAGGACTTTGGCACTTATGATCAATTTCGGCGAGAAATCCAAGATCCCTTCTTTTGGCACTGCGAAGACTGTCCGTCATCCGTTCATACCGCCTCTAGTGGGTTCATGCTGAACAGTGCTCAGGTTCTAGATATCCTCCAGAACCACTATCCGGAGCGTCTCGGCCGAGCCCTCATTATCAATGTCCCGTGGCTTGTTAATACTTTCTTCAAAATGATCACCCCTTTCATCGACCCGATAACGCGGCCCAAACTCAAGTTCAACCCTAACGTGGTCAAGGACGAGCTATTTGCGGCAGACATGGTGATGAAGGATAACTGGAGCGGCTCCCGCGACTTCGTCTGGGAACACGAGCAGTACTTCCCGGCACTGGTCAAGTTGTGCAGTGAGAGAAAGCGAGCCATGATGGAAAGATGGAAACAATTAGGAGGGTCCGTTGGCTTGAAAGAGTGGGATATGAAGACAGGGTCGAGCGCTAACCAAACAATGGCATAGTGCCATACAGTCCCTTGATATATTGGTATTATATATTATTCACGCACTCTCTGCTTACTCCCTACTAATAGTCTGGACTTAATGCTCCTGCGTTTGACCGCGAGGCTAGCTGCGGCGTTCAATTCTTCTGACTGATCACATGGCGACTGCTGCAGATGCCGGAGACGGGTGTGACCTATGTCGACGAGGATACAGCACAATGAATTAGTTGTCGAAGTAATTGAATAGTCGTCGTGTGATGCAAAAGATCTACTATACATGCAAATTTACTCTTCGTCTTGGCCAGCAGTAATCACATCGTCTGCGGGAGGCAGAGTCAGCGGGAGACATATCGTGTATCAAGGCTGAATACGTACCAATTTTTAGGACAGCACGGACAAGCTGTGGGTTTGGAATGGGGGCATATAATTAGTTACACGATCGTACTGAAACAGTACAACCTACCTGAGTAGCCAACAGGTACTGTTGTCGCTTGGAAATCAGGGGATCGTAAACAAACTGCTGCTTCATATCTAAGTGGGCCACACGTGTCAATACTGACATCGATCGAAACGCAGGGGTGTCTGACCGTTCTCGCCCTTGCCCACACAGTCAATACCTAGGCACGGGTTGCCCTCGTTCACTTGCCGGCTCCTGACAGACGTTAGCGTCTCGATGGGCGAAAGACCGCTGTTCTCAGCCAACGCAAGTGGCACAGAATCCAGTGCAGATGCGAAAGCCCTCATCGCGTACTGCTCGATAGTGGGAATCTAGGAGAGGCACAATTAAAGTGGTGACGGGAGGCTACAGACCTCAAGGCATACCTCATCTGCAGCCTTCGAGACTGCGATCGAACAGCTGATATCAGCCGCTCCACCACCATAAACCACCCGGTTGTCTACGACAAGATTCCGCACGACGCAGATAGCATCGTGCAGTGCGCGTTTCGCCTCGTCTACAATCTGGCAGCGCATTGGTGAGTCACGACATACAAAGGAATCATTATAAAAGTATATTGGAATCTACGTTAGCGTTATAGAGCGGGACACGTACCATTTTATTCGATCCCCGCACGAAGATTGTCACCGCACGAGTGTTGGCACATTCTTCAATGACAAGCATCTTATCCCGCGTTGTACCAAAAGTGACCTCCCGCACGACCCCAGCATGGCCCAGTTTCTCCGGCGTGAGGTCTTCAAAGCGGGGTACAATACGGCCGCTCGTAGCAATTGCGATAAGCTGCATGATCCATTGAAATGCTGCCCCGTTACAACGATATTTCAGACAAGGCTTACCTCAATCTCCGGTCCTCCCACCCATCGCACCGCAGGCAGATCGTTTTGCATTAAGAGATGATTGGCTTCATCGTCGAAGCCCCACTGGCAAATCACTAGGTTGGCACCGGTATCTTTGACCCGCTTGATCATGTCATTGAATTTCTCCTTTTCATACTCCCGCAACTTCCTGTATTCCTCCACGCTAGTGATATCCAGCTTATGTTTTGTTTTCGGCCGTGGAGGCTCGAACGGACAGGTTAGGATGGCGAGTTTCGCGTCACGGACAGTGGAAGGCATCTGTGGATGAGACATGTCCTTGTCGACCAGAACTCCCCTGATCAGAGTAGTGTCAGCGAGCGAGCCGCCCACTTTGCCGTCAACCTTAATCATGTCGAAGGGGACGTCTTTGCGTTCGAGGTCTGCAACGGCCATGACAGCATCAACAGCAATCTGAGCGAATTGGCGGTGCTCCATTGACACGCTAGACGCACGAAGTTAGACTTGAAGCGGCGGGGAAGGATCAGGCGTACATTTTACTGCCGAGACTGGTCATAGCGGTTTTCAACAAGTTCTCCGTATTTTCTTTGGAGTACTCGATCTTGTCCGCGATGCGATCAAGCTGCTCAACCGCGACATTGCACGCCTTGTCGAATCCGTCGGCGATTCGAATAGGGTGGATTCCGCGATCAAGGAGGGCTTCGCTCTGCTCCAACAACGCTCCAGCAAGGACTAGAGTCAAGACATAGGCGCTGCAGTTGAATCACGCCAGAATATGCGGGGAATAGAAAACTGCAACACACCAACTACACCGGTTGTCCCATCACCGATCTCATCATCCTGACTCTTGGACAACTGCACCAGGAGCTTCGCTATTGGATGCTCAACCTCCATCTGGCTCAAAATCGTTGCACCATCGTTGGTCACGGTAATATCACCATCTGGTGATATCAGAATTTTATCCAACCCTGTCATCTGCGTTAACGCTTGGACATTTCTCGCAGATGGATCGTGCTAACCTCTGGGTCCCAGAGATGTTCGAATAATGTTGGAGACTGTTCGTGCCGCGAGAATATGAGTCTGTGCAATGACAGTATGTTAACGGTAGTCCGTGCAATTCAATGGACACGGACGCGCCTTAATGGCCTCTACACCATGACTCCGTGTCTTCTTGGCCTGCTCCCGGAGAATGATGAAAGGACGACCATACTGAGGCAAGCGTTAGTATTCCTCCCTATATTGAAACAAAGCTTGCGTACCTCGTCTGTAGCGTAGACGGCCTGCTGCTGCGCCATATGTGTCTGGTCTTTCGCGTCCTGGACCAGAAAAGTCAAGAGCCTTTGGTGCGTCACGTGTCACAAGGCTCTTTGTCACATCCGGCCAAGAACAGACAAGGCGCATCACTGCCCGAGAATCCTGTACTCCGCACTTTAGACCTTACCCTGATTCGACTGCAAAACCTCAAATAATCCGAACAAAATCATGGCAAACGAAGGCGAAGTTGATCGCTGGATCGAGCAGCTCAGCCAATGTAAACAGTTGTCGGAGGCAGACGTAAAGCGGTTATGCGACAAGGTACGTGATACACCACTGGCATGATGCTAGGCTCTACGATGCTTCACGCACAACGATCTGATGATGATCCGTTATTACCGCGCAGACTCGGGAGATATTGATGGAGGAGTCGAATGTGCAGCCTGTGCGATGCCCGGTGACCGTTTGTGGTGATATCCATGGCCAATTTGTGAGTGTCTCATCCCGCATTGGTTCGCATAGTGTGCCAGCAGCCCTCGCTGGTACGCGTCGTTAAGTTTGGCTGCATGACCTAACCCTATCGCTGTGCTTCACAGCACGACCTATCCGAACTCTTCCGGATTGGAGGCAACTCCCCTGACACTAACTACCTATTCATGGGTGATTACGTCGATCGAGGATACTACTCCGTCGAGACAGTGACGCTCCTCGTCGCCCTGAAGCTACGCTATCGAGACCGAGTAACAATTCTACGAGGCAATCATGAGTCGCGACAAATCACCCAAGTGTATGGATTCTATGACGAGTGTCTTCGCAAGTACGGCAACGCCAATGTATGGCGGTACTTCACCGACTTGTTCGACTACCTACCTCTTACTGCTCTGATCGACAACCAAGTATGTGCCACGCTAGACGCGAACTTTGATCAGTATTAATGGCTGTGTCTGTGCGTTAGATCTTCTGTTTGCACGGCGGTCTTTCTCCATCCATCGATACCCTTGACCACGTCCGTTCCATCGACCGCGTGCAAGAAGTGCCTCATGAAGGGCCCATGTGTGACCTCCTTTGGTCTGATCCCGACGATCGTTGTGGGTGGGGTATCTCACCGCGTGGCGCTGGATATACTTTCGGCCAAGACATTTCGGAGGCGTTCAACCACAACAACGGCTTGACGCTGGTTGCGAGAGCACATCAGTTGGTCATGGAAGGTCAGTTCCCCTGCCGCGCTACTGGGATCGTGGAGATGACTAATATGTTGTTTGTACGATAGGTTACAGCTGGGGTCAAGACCGCAACGTCGTGACGATCTTCAGCGCACCCAACTACTGCTACCGATGCGGGAATCAAGCAGCTATAATGGAAATAGATGAAAAATTATCCTATAGCTTGTGAGTAACTCCAACTGAGTAGTTGAGTGATCTCGTGACGCTCATGTTTTCATCCCCAGCCTACAATTCGATCCCGCCCCTAGAGCTGGTGAACCACTCGTCTCCAGGCGTGTACCTGATTATTTCCTGGTGGGTATTCACTCGATTCTTGCTTGCCATCTTCTGACTATGCATCTGTGCAGTAGTGATATCAGTGTCCGATTGATCTTGCATCACGCAATCCGTACATACAAGCCTCTCTCTGTAGCTTAATTGATACCATCTCTGTTTCATCCTCTTTCTCCGGCGTCGTCAGATGCACAGACGTGATGAAAATGGACTGCTGTGAATTGTAATGGACTGATTACCTATAACGGCCGGACTATGTCCTTCGCATACGGAATGACCGCAGCTATTATTTCTTGTGACCGCCTTGGGAATTGCGGTGACTGAACGCGGCACATGAAATACTTTTATTGTTAGTAGAAGAGGTAGACTTCAGTTCCAATGCAAGTAGACCCTCTCAAGATGTATGGATGCTAGCCAGGAAATGCCACACCGTGGCCACAATGTGGCGGGGGAAGCTGGACCCCCGAATGCATCAGGACCTGAGTCACCGCGAGGCACCTCGAAACCCGTATGCCGGCGTCAAGTATAGACAGCCTCTCTTGCTGTCGCTCGCCCATCTAGCTCGTCTTTCCTCAGCGTACATCCATCCTATCAACCGTATCTAGCTTCTTGTAATGCCGAAGGTATGGATATCGCACGGCGTTTGGATGACGCGAATCCTGACTTGACCTTCATCGATTGTAGAACAAGGGAAAGGGAGGGAAGAACAGGAGAAGAGGAAAGAACGAGAACGACGATGACAAGCGTGAGCTCGTCTTCAGAGAGGATGGTCAGGAGTACGCCCAAGTCACGAAGATGCTGGGTAATGGTCGCCTGGAAGCTATGTGCTTCGATGGGGAGAAGCGATTAGCGCACATTCGAGGGAAAATGCGTAAGAAGGTACGTTCGCCACCTGCTCTCCTCCAGATGCGACGTGACTAAGATTCCTATCAGGTCTGGATCAATCAAGGAGATATTGTCCTTTTATCGTTGCGGGAGTTCCAGGATGACAAGGCAGACGTGATCGTGAAATATACTGCTGACGAAGCACGTAGCTGTATGTTTTCGCCATCGTCCTGTCCCTTATTTCCTGAATCGAATTATTCTCATAGTGAAAGCGTACGGGGAGCTACCCGAGAATGCGAAGATCAACGAGACCGAGACATTCGGCGAGGAAGAAGGAGAGTGCACCTTCGAGTTCGGCGAAGAGGGAGAGGTGGACGTCGACGAGATCTAAGGATATCATTTGTTTCCACTGTATTCTAGCTTCGTTCCTTCTCGTGGTGAGCAACATCATGTACTCTTGGGCCCGCTGTGTTATCTAGAACTCAATAGTTGTAGCTTTCCTCATCGCATTGTGCAACTTGTTTTTGTCCGTTTTAACCTGTGTTCTGTTACGCCAGATGTGGAATCCATGGACTAGATTTGGACTAGACTGAAGATTGGGACTTTGACAATTGACATGTCCCATCCCCGCTGCGATCGGCCGTGCTGATTAGTCGATGCTTAGGTCCACCCCGCGCATATGTAAGCTACAACTGATCAGCTTCAGGGCCATTCTAACGTACAACTATCGGGTGATCGGTTCAACGTTATATATAAGAGCAGCGTATCATAAGCTCCTGCAACACTCGCTACACAGTCCCGTCATGGCGGTGTCGGTCCAGCCATCCGCCATCCTGCTGCGAAACGGGCTTCTTGCAACCTTCTCCGAACAGGACGACCTTCTATCCAAACCAGTTGCTCGCCGCGTGGATGTATTGATTACAGGTGATCGTATTACAGCTATAGCAGAGCCCAGCACGGTTCAATCTCCACCGGATACTTTCGTTATCGACTGCACCCACAAGTGGATAGCCCCCGGCTTCGTAGATACTCATAGGTTGGTGCATTGAACCCATACACTTAACCGGAATGTCCGATTCTGCTTCAGGCATGTCTGGATGTCTGTTGCACCTGACCAGGAAGACTGGACATTGGCAGAATAGTGAGTACCGAGTTACTTTGAGAAATCAACCCTTCTTGACTCGTACTTCCTCGCTGCAGCATTGCCAAGGCTCCCTTTACGACGACCGCTTTGACTACGGCCGACGATATCTACGCAGGACAACTCGCAGGCTGTCTTCAAGGTAAGCTTTGAACCCGGAGTGCTATAATCCAGGATTTGTACTGATAAAACTGATAATGGTCAGCGCTGAATGGTGGCACTACGACCGTGCTTGACCATTTTCATGCAGCAAACTCTCCGGCTCACATAGAGAAAGCTACCCAAGCGACCGTTGAATCAGGTATCCGCTCCATGTTTTGCTTATCTCGAGGGGTGAGTAGGTCCGAGGATTACAGGAATAGCCGTGCGCTCATGTCGTACCAGTCGTGGCCTACCAGTCTATCTCCGCTGAGATTTGACGACGATGTCGAGATATCTAAGATGCAATTAGAGATATTGCGCACCCTCGCTGAGAAGGATAATGGTCGTCTTTGCCCAGATGGTCGGGTGACACTCGGCCTAGCCTACGACGGGCAGGGCCGCGATCCGGATGAAGACAAGCGAATTCTCTCTCTGGCTCGCAACTTGGGTGTCAAACCCATCACGATGCACTACGTCGGTGGCCCCCACGGCGCAGCAACAGCCTACAAGGTTCGCAAGTGGGCTGAGGCGGGCTTATTGCAAGGCGACTGTGTATTCTCGCACGGCAACGGTCTTGTCCATCCCAAACCTGATCTGGGGGAATGGGAGCTACTGAAAGAGAGCGGTGCTAGTATAGCTTCGACTCCCGTCAGTTTATAGTGCCGGCTCAATCGATTGCAGCCTGATAATATCATGGTAGGAAGACGAGCTGGGTATGGGCCACGGCAATCCCATACCTTACGAATGCATCAGACGGGGAGTCACTGTCGGCTTAGGCATTGTAAGTCGACTGGCATAGCTCATCCCCCATAAGCATGGATACTAACTGGAAGAGGACAGGATTGCGCCTCAATTGTCAGCACAGAGATGTTTCCAGCGATGCGTTTCGCTCTACAATGGGAACGAGGCGAGTACCATCCCATATCCGTACACAATCCCGCTGAAACCTTAAATACTAACTCACTGTAGGTCGAATCCATGAAAACTTGAGCACTAAAAGCAAAGCCACTGCCTATAACAACTGTCCGGCCGCTTCAGCCTTTCGCTTAGCGACACTCGGGGGTGCAGAGGCGGCGCACGTATCGTCACAACTTGGCTCAATAGAAGTCGGAAAGTTAGCCGACTTCGCCATTTACGACTCGGAGTCCGTAAATCTCGCCGGTTGCGTTGATCCCTTTCGTGGCATCGTCTTCCATGCAACGGGTGCGGACGTTGAATTCGTGATTGTCAATGGGGAGATCGTTAAGAAGGGTGGAATCCTAATGCGTAAGGACTGGAAGGAAGTTGCAACGCAGCTGAAGCATCGTGCGGGCCTGCTTCGAGAGAGGGCCGCTCAGTATGATCTTGATCAGCGGTACACAGCAGTGATGCCTATTTTACAGCTGCCGGTGGCATAAATTTGATTCCTCGTTATGCTGCTTCCTCAATCGTACCGCAGACAATGACTGTCTACCTTGGGTTACCGTCCTAATAGAGATGTGCCAGGCAGTGTAACTCGGAATACCAAAAACTGATTATCGTTGTCCAGTCCTGCGTTGTATGGGATTCCGAGTGAAATACCGTCCGTGGTTATGAAGTCGTTGTCAGACTTCGCAAGGGAACAATGAGGTCAGGAGGTGCGATACGCAGGCATATCGACCACACTTACCGCGGTAAATAAAAAGTAATCGTCAGGGTAGGCGGGATCATTGGCGGGGGCCAAGGCAAGGGATTCCCACTTCGCATCTATCAGAGTCTGATCGGCAGGAGAACCTGGACAATGATTGTTATTACGCATTCTCAGACATTCTCAACTTACACTCACCATTGTGAAGTCCGAATCGCGCCAACTGCGTGTCATTGATGTAGTTGACAAAGGATTCGTATGTGGCAGCCGTGATACTGCTGTCCAGGACGCCGTTTACAGCGATCGGGTTCGATGGACTGTCAAACTCAGTCCCATGGATGTCGGTTGCTCCTGAGACGTCTACTAGGTCTGCCTGCCTGTATCCAGTGGAAAGCGGTCAGAATTGGGAACAAGATCATGGCGCTGGATGACAAACTTGTAGGATGAGTGATTATCGCTTCCACCGTGGCCATCGCCGTCTCGGGACAATACCAGGAAGATTCCGTTACCGAGAGAATGCATTTCGCTGGCAGCAAGTGTGTTGCCCTTCTTAGAGGTGATGGGCAAGGGCACTACCCATTCTCCCGTCAGGGTCGGGGTGTCACTGGAGATGTCGTACGCCAATAACCTAGTGTACCGAGACGTAGTCTTGCTTGACCCCCCATCCTGAATGGTCGCAGACTGCAAAAGAGCGTATAATATCTGACCACTGGGATCTAAGGAAAGGCCTTCGAACCCTATAGCAAGACAGGTGAGATACCATGGAAGCCACCGAGAATTAGTTTAGACTTACCTTGGTTGCCCGCACGTCCGGTTGTAGGGTCAGTCACAGACGTGAAATTGAGGACGCCGTCGATCATGGGTAAAATGGCAGGTGGTGGTGCGATCGTTTGTATAAGGTTACCTGTGGCTGAGTATCGATAGATGTACGGTCCGTACTCATCGCTCGTCCACCATCTACGAAGAGGGGGTCAATGCTTGTCGGCACTCCGATGGAGATAGACTGACGTCCCGTCCGCGTTCAATGCTAGGCCTTCGGCGTCTGTGCATAGATGGTTATAGGTTATATTGGGGATTGGCATCGGAGGATCCGCTAAGGAATTCTGCGGATACCCGTCCTGCTGCGGTCGGATGGCCAAAGAATCCAGCCCCGTAGTCTTCGTGTCATTCCTCTCGTAGTACAGCAGAGTGCTCTTGTAATCGAGCTTGAGCGTCTGCTGCGCAGCTGTGAAGGATAGATCGTCTGTCCCGTAATACGGTGACAATACAAAATCTATCACATGTTGACGGGCTTGATAGTCGACGGTACCGTCCCTAGAACATCGATCGTGACGAGGCAAGTGTTCAATGGTACAAGATGAACTAACACATTGAAACCACGGTCTGGTTGCACGATGAATGTACCGGAGAAGGTGCCGTCTCCATTGGGCGTAAACGATCCTGGCTTCACCCCAATGGCACTACCGATGCCACCCATGGTATTCCCTGGTCAATAGATTAGCCAGTGTCAGTCAGCGTATGCGTAGGATCAAAGGCATGTGCACTTACCAGTGGAATCGGTAAAATTAGAGGGAATGAGACCGAAGGCCACTAAGCCCTGTCCAGCGTTATTGCGATGCAAGTTGCATACATTGTCCCTACGCATACCTTATTCACAAATGCCTTTCCAGCTAACTGAACACTGACGGCCATGGACGGATCTGGCTCGGCGGAGGAAGAGGCAGCAGATCTCGCCCAAACGTTGTGACCATTGAGGTTCGCAGCTGTAGGGACTGCTGAAACCCCATATCCTACCAAGCACTGGAGAAGAGCGTAAAATGTCACCCCTTTCTGCAACATGGTGGAGCTTTAGGTTCCGCTTGCTCGACAATCGAGAAAGAATCATTGGCCCTATATATACGCAACGGAAAACATACAGATTACCCATGAAGTTATATACAGACTTGCAGCCATGTGAAAAGAACGCACGTTTGTCCTTCGTCCCCTTATGCAGCATATGCATTGTAGTGTCTCCGATGCCATGTTTACGGTACTGAATGATGCGAGGTATACAAACCAATTGAAGCCACATGGCAAAGGTATCTCAGGTTCGGGCACGCACAGGTCGAGTTATTCGGAGCGAAGGAATACGTAGCATGATTAAAGCGGCCGAGAAATTCCGACATTCATTCTAAGTGGCGATAAAATACTGCATTCTGTCAGGGTCATCGAGAGCAGACATGGAACAATAGAGGGATGGCAGCAAAGTGGCTGTTTCGAGTCTGTGAACCTACCATGCTGAGCCGACCCAGTAAAGTATCGGCCGGGAGAGAGTTAGTTGGAGACCATCTCAGTGCCTTCTCAAAATCCACCCCCGCGGTCTGATCCCGTCAAGAACCAGCCATTCCGGGTAGCAGACCAGGAAGCGATTTCCCGGAGCGAGGTTGAAGCCTGAGGGCCCAGAGAGACAGGACAGTGTGATACGACCTTCTCATATCACCAAGCAGGCAGTCCTTCAGAATATAACAATCGAGCCTATGCGCCACGAGGTTTCCAGTGGGACGGTTTGAGAGGCTCCAATGGCGAAATGCATGCTGACCAAACTAAGGTGACAGCCTGGGAGGAGGGAAAGCACATCCACCGAGCACTCCCGGGCGCATTACAAGTAAATGGCACATAATTTGAGTAGCCCTGATTGGTTAAGATGCACACCGCGCTATGTCGACACGAAGTCAATTATGGAACTAGGCCGCCGTATACACGGATCAGACAATCATCCCAATACATTGTCATCCACGAGAGAGTAACTTGAGCGTCTGCATGTCCGGTACGCAGCCTTTCTCCGTGAGATACTGTACGATGTCTCTGGCATCGCACTTCACCGCCGTCTTCAGCATCTCTGGGGTAGTTCGCATCCTATCTTCAAGCTTCCGTCTTTTCGCCGTCTTCCCAGAGCGCAGAGCGTCCTCCCTCTCAACCAGCATCTTGAGCAGGGCGAGGTCTTTACGTCGAATAGCGATTATGGCGGCTAAGCCGTTCTTGCACGCTGGAGACGCGCCGTGCTCCAGCAGGAATCGGGCAAGGGGAACAAAACCAGCATATACTGCCTTTGTTAGAGCGTAGCCGTCATAGGAGTCAGGGTTTGGTGCTGGGATAGTTGGATGTTTGTAAAGATATCGTAGAAAAGGAAGTGGGTGATCGTGCTCCGTCCATTCAGTAGATGGTCTGCCATTCTTATCACAAGTCGGAGGTGCAAGCGAGCGAAAGAGCCTCCGAGGCAACTCAGGCTGAGCCGAGCGTATTGGTGGACAGTCTGGTAACTCGAGCATTCGCTGCAGAACGTCTTGGGTGCAGATCGGGAAGCGTAAAGCTTTCGTGATTGGCCCTTGGGCAAGAGTGCTCGTGGTTGTATTCAATAAGTATCTCTGTATGAGATAGTGAGCTCGGACGGAAGGAGGTGCTGCCTTGAAAACGAGGTAAAGGTGTCGGCAGGCATACGGGAAGGACTCAGACAGCGCATGGGATTGTATTTCATAGAGTAACTAGTAGGAATATAAGTTGAGAACCCATTGAACATACAGACGCAGCTGACTGACCTCCACTGGCAACGTCTGCAAAGCTGGAACTGGTTTTGACATGGTGGAAGTCAGAGTGAAAGCTTGTGTAACCTTTCGCCGGCGTCCAGTGAGTGATCGCAGCCCACGCGGCGTGGGTGATCGACGACGCGCCAAAGCATGGTGTGCGCTTGTCCGAATCTAATATGCCTGTCCGTTTGAGTCAAATCAAGACCGTTCGTGACTTGTTCAGAACGGCAGCTTTGCGGCCTGCTAGTGCAGAGAAACTCCGTTATCCACCCAAAGCATCCCTTCTGGATCGTGTATCTCTCTAGTAAGTGATCAATTGGCTTGTTCAAGAGAATCCCCGTCGAAAGGAACACTATGCTCATGCCGGTCTATAGCCAGGGGGACATAACGCAGCTTGAGGTCGATGCCATCGTGAATGCCGCTAATAAGAGTTTGCTTGGTATGTGCGTGTAGTAACAATGGAGAACAAATTCTCTGAAATGATCTTTATGCCCTTCTATCTCTATGAAGGGGGTGGAGGAGGCAAGTCAACCGTCCGATCCCACGAACGTCGATCCATCATGCTGATGATCTGCAGTGGACGGCGCGATCCATGACGCTGCCGGTCCTGAGCTCTTGGAGGAATGTAAGTCTGGTGCTGTTGTTCCATCTCTCCTCCGTAGCCCGCAGAATGCAATCTGTTGTTCGTTTCTTATCATGATTCGGAATAGGTCGGACACTGAACGGTTGCGAAACCGGTGATGCCAAAATCACGAAAGGATACAATCTGCCATCGTAAGTTTCCATCAGTATGCATAGACCTCGGTCATTGACAACATACTCGACTACCTCGTCAGTCGACATGTGATCCACACTATTGGTCCCGTTTATTCAAGGTCCAATTTGGAAAAAAAGGCAGAGCAGCTGGCTTCATGTTATCGGACCAGTTTACAACTGGCCGCGGATAACGCTCTGAAACATGTCGTATGTGGATCGAATGCTGTGAAACAGCAATTCATCAAATAACTGTGGTGGCTGTCTGGGCAGGCTTTTCCCTCGATCTCCACAGGCATATACGGATATCCTATCACGGACGCCACGCATATTGCTTTGACTGAGGTGCACAAATTCTTGGACTCAGAGCATGGAGAGAAAGTGCGCAAGGCTGCTATTACTTCATGGTATACCGCTTGTAGACCTTTTGCTCCAAATAGCTTGACAGAGTGATTTTCGTTGTGTGGAGCAATACGGATAAAGATGTTTACGAGTCAGTTCCAATGTTTGCTTTGGAGCTACAAATCTCTGACAATACTCGCCCCAGGGAGCTCCTTCCACTGTATTTCCCTCCAGAAGACTCTGCCTCAGAGCAAGAGGCCTCATAAGCGTCATTCACATACCGGGTGTTGTCCGTCTTGTGTAACTAGGTATAACTGGTCTCTAAGACGTTGACCTATACATCAATGTACACTTGTAACGATACGTACGTCTGCAATATGTTGTCCCTTGTGCTCATTACGGTGTACAGGTCTGCCAGACTCCCTGGAATCGATCCTGCCTGTCAACACTATATCTGCACATGACCTGGAGCTCAAGCTTGAGTGATAGAGCACATCTGCGGCCGGTGTCACCGTCCATAGAAAAGCTTCCGTGGTCTGCGCCTAACGCACCAGACTTGTGATCTCACGTGACGCTACACGGCCCTAGAAGGAGTTGGGAGGGTTTGATCTGGTGCTGCTAGGCGGCCCCGGACCGACTCCCCTCCAGGTGAATGCGTCCTGTGACCCGCATGCTGGCCATTTTCTGTCTGGTTGGACCAGATTTCCCGACAAAAGATCGCACAGACGGATGAGGAGGCACAGCTATGTACCGTATATCACTGAGGTGCGTATGATCTTTTGTCTTCCCTCCTCTTCTGACACTTCCACTTGCTGTTCAGGCTTCGAAGCAGATTTGAAGAGAGCTGGGGCAATGGGGCGGATCTACAATATTTTCGTGGCAGCCTTTATTTCTATCGGTAGCCCATGACCTACTCATCCCTATTATTTACGTGTCCACTGAACTGTTTACGCAATAAAGGATCTTTTCTGTTCGGGTACGGATTTATACGTCGCTACGCCTGTATTGTCTTCACTCGCTTACCTCGACTCTTCTTCAGATACGACAGGTCCGCGCCTTTATCTAGTCTTGCTCGGAGGGGGGGGGTGCTGATGCATTGACTGATACAGTGGGATCATCTCCTCCGTCCTGACATTCAACTACTTCCATGAATACTTCGGGTTCAACGAGGATACCAATCTTGCGGGAGCGGTGGTGTCGACTTTCACTGGTATGTCTAAGCAACTACGTGTCATTCTAATATAAGTTATACGGGATTATGGATCGACCCGTATAGGCGGGTGTTTCTTCGGGGCTGCAGCTGCTGGATGGTACGCAATACAGCTTTGCACTGAAACAATCAAGGAGATTTACATGAAATTTATCCGCACCTAGGATGAACGATAGAATCGGTCGGAAACGCACCATCCAAGTTCGTCCCACCACTCATAGCTCTTGTATTATGGCACGAGCATGATCTTTGGGCATGATAGATCGGAGCAAGTTGTGCTCTATGGGGTTGTTCCATGCAAGCAGGCGCCAACAACTTCGCCTGTTTGCTCATTGGGAGAATAGTAGCAGGAGTAGCGATTGGGTAGGACCTACTTTCCAGTTATGTCGCTGCGGCTTAGTCACGTATCCCGTTCTTAGGATATTATCTATGACAGTTCCTCTGTACAACGTACGTACTGTTCCAAGGGTACAAGAACTCACGCTGACATACCCAGCTCTGTTTAGACTGAGATTGCTCCACCCAAAATCCGAGGCTTTATCGTTGGATTGGCGCAGCAGCTGATTGGAGTAGGGTTCATTGTGGCTAACTGGGTAGGAGACAACCTGCCACTACACTTGTTGCCCCTGATCGTCTTACTGGCGGGAAGGTCGGTTATGGGTGCCAATATCTGGATAGTAATACACAGTGGAGATTACCACTGGGACTTCAGGTACGCTCTTGTCGACATTAAGGTACGCAACGAACCTAAAGGAGATACAATAGCTTGTACCCGCCTTTCTACTCCTAGTGGGAACACAATTCCTACCATTCAGCCCTGTACGTCCAATAATTCCACCACATCGACGTGCCACGAGACTGATTCTGACGGGTATATAGCGTTGGCTTCTTGAAGTTGGTCGTGACGAAGAAGCACGACAGGTCGTGTATAGATTGCACGGAACCCAAACCCCGGAATCTCTACAGGCTGCAGAGGACGAGTTCCTAGAGATGCAAGAGAAGATAAAGGCAGAGTCACTCACTCGTAGCAGCAGAATCGCCGATTTGTTTGCCACACCAGCAACGAGGAAGAGGTCTCTTGTTGCGTGTGGCGTACAAATATTTGGGCAGTTTACCGGGATCAATGGTAAGTCCACAAATCAGCAGTGCGTACCTGTACCTGACTTTGAAACCCACAGTGATCAACTACTTCGGCCCACAGATGTACCAGACATTAGGTCTGGATGCCGGGAAGACCCTCCTAGTTCAGGGCATATATGGGGCCGTTGGTCCTATAACTAATTTCTTGTGGGTGCGATCAACTAGGCGATCATATTGCAGCACCCTGATGTTCAATTTTAGCTTCATTGTCTTCGTCTTGGACCGTGTCGGTCGGAAGAAGCCCTTGCTACTAGGAGCTGGTACCTTCGTCATCACGTTCTCTATACTGAGTGCCATAGTCGCATCCTTCCCGCCTGGAGAGGGTACTACCAATTATGCCGCACAAAGAGCTGGTATTGCCATGATATTCCTCACTAGTATATTCTTTTCCTTGAGCTTTGGCCCCGTAAGCTGGGTGCTAGCATCTGAAGTGCGTCTCGGGATTGATCTCGCCAACCTTGCGCTAATCGGAAGTCACTAGGTTTTCCCGACGCCTATCCGCTCGGTCGGGACGAGCGTCGCTACATGCTGTAACTGGGCCTTCAATGTACTCTTCTCCCAAGTTTCGCCCATCGCAATGAAGAATGTTGGTTGGAAATTCTACATACTCTTCGTATGCCTCAATGCTTTCGATTTCCTTGTGATTCTGTTTTTCTTCCCGGAGACCAAAGGTGAACACCTGATCGGAATCCGTTGATGCCCCAGTACTGACACCGGTGCACAGGCAAAACCTTAGAAGAAATGGCAGTCGTGTTTGGAGACGACATTGATGCCCGACAGGTCCTAGACGAACACAAGTTTCCGGATGAAATCCGTGATAAGCATGAAATCCTGCACGCATGACAGAGCTCGACTTGCCATTACGATTGTGACCCACTGTATGGACGAAGGCTCGCGTCGCAGTTCTTTTATAATAATAATGTTACTGTTGCTACTCCCATAGGCCCATGCTCGGCCTTTGACTGGACTGTCTTACCGCAAGACCGTGAAAAGCGGATGCATTAGAATACACTGTTTCTGTCCGCGCTTTGCAGTGGGGATGAAGCGACTATGCATCGACAGAAAGGGATGAACAGAGGTACAGGGCTAAGGTAGAGTCCCTTGACGTGCAACGTGTCCCGTTTCATTTCTCATTCCTCTTGTCAGGGTCAGAAGGAGGCTCTCGATCCTCGCTTGACGTTCCTGCGAATGAGCATTGAGTTAATCACTCAGGCTCCCAGTGTTATCAATGAAGCGGACCTGCAGCTCCTTTATCTCGTCCCTCAATTTATTGACCGGCAGATCACGAGCGTCTTCCAACAGTCCTTCAAGCCTTTTCAGAGCAGCCTCGGTTTGTTGCGGGACCGAACTAAGGTCAAACTGAGACACGGCCCTCTGCCTAACACTGCGGGGCGAGAAGAGCTTGGACAAGGGGCTTGGCTTTGACTGGGAAGCTACTTCCGCGGAGCTTGAGGTTTGTATTAGTGGTGGCAGGACCTTTCCCCGAAGCCGGGGAGAACCACCCGGGGAGCGATGACGGTCATTGCCCTCTCGTAGAGGGGACCCAGGAGGCCGCCGCGACTCTTGTCTGCTGCTGCTGGGACTCATTGGTCGTCGATCTCGTAAAGTATCTCTTGATTGGAGAGAATGCAAGTCTGGTGGCGGGTCAAGGTCGTCATCGGACTCGTCAAACAGCATTGTCGTCGCATGTTGATCCAGGTCCACATCGAAGATCGCATCATAGACATCACTCGCATTGGCACCCATTAGAGCGTCTAGTATGGGCATATTCTTGAGTCGGCGTGGTAAGCTGTTGTAGACCGACTGTGCTGCATCTTTGCCCGACTCGCGCAGCCCCTTGCCGGCTGCAAAGTAGCGTTCGTATATGCTTATGGTGACCAATATCGGAAATGACTACACCGGAACGTGCAGTCAAGATAGTGACACCCGAGACCACCTTGACTCACCGTAAACCGTATCAGGAAGACGTTGGCACTATGCAAGGTGCGCGGTGACACGAACCAGCTTGCGGGCCATAGTATAGCAAAGGCGAGGAGGTTGAAGGGAGGCTGATAGCTGAAAAGGGCATCCGACTTGACCCTATGTTAAAACATGGGTAAATAGCGAACATCGCAAGTCAAGTCCACATGTCCTACTCACCCTTCGATTGTAGCGATAGCAAATTGGAACAAATACTGTATATGGGATTTATGTTGAAGCATCTGTGACGCAGACGACGATAAATCGATAAATCCCACCTCTTGCGTAGCATTCTGGGGTACATGTTTGTGAGCTTCTCGTAGGATTGCAAGCACAGGGGCAAGACTGACCGCATCAATGCGAGCAAAAGTATTGGAGAGTATGGAGATCAATACTAATATCTCCATCAGTCGTAGTTGAGAAGGGTCCCTTCGTATCACGCACTTGTTAGCAGCAAAGTGCTCGACAACGCCGCAAAGCCTGTCATCAGGATGGGCCCGAAAATGGGGTGGAAGCTCGCCGCCTGTCCGAAGCTGAGGTAGGTGTTACCGAACCATATTTGTACCATGAGCCATATGATGCCTCGTATACTCCATTTGTCGCCCGCTACAGCAGTCCATGCATTCATGATGCCGATTAGGGTCTCGAGCACGGATAGGTACTCACCTAGCGTATGGAGTGTAAAGAGGAGCCCCGAGAAGCATATCGCTGCAATGCCCATGAAGAACACGAATTCGGATATCATGCCTCTCAATGCTCTGGGTCATGGTGAGACTCTTTGCCCTCGCCGAAGCATTCAGATACTTACATAACTACTAAATTATTCTTGATTGCAAAGAAGGCGAGACTACGGCACGCAACACGTCAATCAGCATACCAAACGAAGAGAATTTCTCTTTGAATACTTACCGAGGGAATAATATACAGGCCCCACATGCAAGGACGTCGAAGGCCCACTCGGAAGCCATTGCTGCGCCACTTTCGTCAGAATCGATACCCAATCCCCAGATGAATGGTTGCGATACCATCATCCTGTACCAGGCCCTTTATCCGTAGGACTATATAACAGAGGAACACGAAAATAAAGGCCGTGTCGAAGACATTCCACATCTGTCAAAACCGTCAATCGTTCCTGTCAGCACCACCAATTTTAGGTATGCTTTACGTTTGCGATATAAACTGGAAAATCATTTCTGAGTGGCTTCATCTGATATAATCGGAGATACGCACTTTCCCATCCATGTTCTTTCGACGCTGTATACTCCTCGAGAGCAAATGCTACAGCGAATATGACGAAGACTATCTCGGCGCTCGACATATGCTGTACGTCCTGATCTGGTTTGCGAATACGACAGCATGAGCTCCGTTTTCTACTTCGCGAGAAGCCTGCCGTACTAACTGGAGAGACAGAGAACAAAAGTTAGAAGAAGAAGCGCGAAATTGAGGAATTCCAATATTGCGCCATATTTAGGGACACGCAACCTGAACTTCACCATCAGCGTGACTGTATTATGAGAATTAGACAGACAAGCACCTGTAATGGTCAAGAAATGGGGTCTTGGTGTAGTCATAGATTTCGATGGCACGGGGTTTGTAGTTGTCCGCCAGCACCGACCGGTTCGAGGTCATCGAGAAAATCACTCGACCAGAGTATATGTCGTCCACTACAGTCTGTACGACCGGTGAAGACAGAAATACTTTCGCTCGCGTTGTTATAGCCATCTGCCGATTCGCTGAGTACATGGATAGCTGGCGCTACGAAGAAGGACCAACCTCAAGTGCACATTGCGGGTCGTTCATCCCATCCTCGTCTCCACCTAGGGCTTCCTTCACTTGGTTGACGACCTCTTGCGGTGCCCCCGCTAGAGGGCTCCAGCTCGCGGTCAGGACGGCAACGAGCTGGATCTTACTGGAAGCAAAGCGCCCCAGGAGCTTCATTGCCAGGATCTCACAGAGATTGGCTCGTGAGAGCATCACTCCTGAGTATGCGAGGTCTTCCTCTGCTGCTGAAATATAGTGTGCGCGGACCACCAGGCACGCATATACCACCGCGAGGTTCTCGAGTCTTGCATATTTGAAGACGAGGGGACGAACAACCGCGAAGTTGATGTCAGACGCTGTCAACTGTCTGACTGGAGTTAGTTATAGGATCGGCTGAAGCAGAACGTATTCTCGAACGCACTCCCAACTCAAGGCAGTATCTACAGTGCCTCGTCAGTTATGGTATGAATTCGGGAAGCTATAATCTTCGTCTACCTATGCTGACCTGCAATACCCTATAGTTAGTGCACGCAGTTGAATCGGTCGAGATCAACCTACCGTCACGTCTTTCTTTAGATGGGGAATTAGTGGAAAGACCGACACTGACGCCAAGTACTCTGGCGTAGGAGCCAAGAGACTGTGCGTTTGGGCATTCTCGACGTCCATCATACCCAGGTCTCCTGGGGCCTAAGAGTCAGACAGTCTGCACTGAGAGGACCTCTTCGAACAAGTCGATTTGGAGGGCTCTTGCGTCAATTGCACCCGTCAAAATCACCCTGTTTTGCACTCACAGCCGAACCTGCAGCAAGTGACAAAGGAATAATACGTCCGAGTCCCTCAAGTCTAAGGTTCATAAGTAATTTCAGGGCAGTCTCAACACGAGGATGTTCAACGCTGAAAACGGGGAAAGTCATGGAGCCTCGTTGCGGATCTGAGTTCGCACATTGTTCCAGAAGTTCATCCGTCGGTCATATACTTCATGAGTCATCGATGTAGATAACAGACCCTGCACGGTATGCGTCCTATGGACGTCCTTGCGATATACACCCGAACATTGCAAACAACACTGGGGACGTCGAGCACGATGGGAAGACCGTGCGGGTCGGCTGACGAGCGGCGCTCCCGGATATCCTGGGACAAGGCGCGGCCTTCGCCGGCCGAATTGCCCGGGCGCCCACCTACCGCGTAGAGGACAAAGTGTTGCGAAGCAGCCACCTTTCACCTCGAAAGCAATAAAGGCCTGCTTGCCCCGCAGCCTGTGATTCCTTCTTATTTCTTGCTCGACGACGCTGGCTTCTAGCTCATGAGCGATGGGCTGTTGCTTTTCTGAACCTATTGACTTTGATGGCGAGGTCAATCTCTTTCACTTTGATCTCCATCGGGCGGTAGGAAAAGGGGCGTTTGGCAAAGTACGCGTCTCTACACTATTTGCTCTCACTATCCGCTGACTGCGTCCTAGGTTCGCGTGGTAGAGCACAAGCGCACGAAAAAGCTCTATGCTTTGAAGTACATTGACAAGGCCAAGTGTATTAAGCAGAAGGCAATTGCGAATGTCATTCAGGAACGCAGGCTACTGGAAGAAGTACGAGACTGACATACGCTAATGTCGAGCCACCGTGTCTAATGACCCCATAGATTGACCACCCGTTTATCGTTAACCTGCGTTATGCCTTCCAGGATGATGAGAATTGTTTCTTCGTCCTGGATCTCATGCTCGGTGGTGACCTTCGATGTAAGCTTGACTCATTCTTCTCACGTGAGTATACTGATACGCACCGGTCAGTCCATCTGGAGAGGAAAGGACACCTGGGAGAAGAAGCTGTTCGCTTCTGGGTCGCCGAGCTGTCGTGCGGCCTTGCCTACCTCCATCAGCAGAGAATTATTCACCGGTACGTCACTCGAGAATGCGTCGTTGGCATCTTCTTACTGTGTAACAGGGACCTGAAGCCAGATAATATTCTCTTGGATTCCGAGGGCCACGCTCACCTCACCGACTTCAACGTCGCCATCCATTACTCGGAGCGCCGCATGCACACCAGTGTAGCTGGCAGCATGGCCTACATGGCGCCTGAGATTCTGGGGAAGAAGGGCTACACATGGTTCGTCGATTGGTGGAGTCTTGGGGTGACTGCTTGGGAGATGTTGTTCCATCGGCGGCCTTTTGATGGACGAACCGCCGACCAGATGAAACATTCTATCATGAAAGACCCCCTCAGAGTCCCGGAGCATGTCGAGGAGAAGTGTAGTCCTGAAGGTCTACAGGCCTTGCGCCAGGTAAGTACGACTGCAGTGCTCACTGCACAACCCTAACCCCTATCATTGAGATTAGCTGTTGGAGCGCAACCCTACTAAGCGCCTTGGATGCAGGGCAGGACATGGGTTTGATGACATCCGCAATCACCCTTGGTTTGCCTGCATAGACTGGGATAGGCTGGAAAATAAGGAGCTGCAGCCGCCCTTCGTCCCTGATGTACGCGCAGTTCTATTGTCTGTATCCCCTCCTCACGAATGCCCTTCAGATGAAGAAGGCGAACTTCGATGTCACGCACGAATTAGACGAATTCCTGATGGTTGAGAAGCCGCTAACGCATCAAAAGCGGAAGGCCCATCCCGACCTGGAGAAAATGAAACCTGAATTACGACAACTCGAAGAACAGTAAGCATGCTGTTATGCGATACATTTCGCGACCCTCCTGATGCATGCCCGTTCTAGGTTCACCGTTTACGACTTTGCTCGATCGAAGCGAATGTCATATTATCCCCACAATCAGCCTATCGCCATGGTCAAAGACCGGTCGTCTGAGGACGAGGAAATCGATCCCACACTCCTCGAGCAGTCGCAGGGCGCCACTACCACCTTACTCCCGACGGCTACTATCGGCGAACGTTCCTTAGCCGGGTCACCGAGTCCACAGGAACCACGACAGGATCAGGAGTATCCCCCTATTCCTTTACCATCCGGAGGTCCTCGTCCATCCACAGCCAATCGACCATCTACCGCTAATCGGCCATCCACGGCTAACCGACCATCCACTGGCAATCGTGCTCCCTCCGCCGCCTAGTTAAGTCGAGATGCACGTCACTCACGCCCACGGCTTACCAGATATACGGCCCCACTTATTTCCCCTTCTTCTTTGCATCCACGCGCCTCATTGTATATTCTAATCATATCACTTCCCTCAGTTTCTTATGCATATACCCATTCATTCCTTCGACCGCTGCTCATCTCTGTATATATTAGGGACTCGGGACTCGGTGAGCATGCAGGTCATGACTCCGGTATTTATACACATAAGCATAATGTTTGGGTTGCATCCTTGTTTCGTTATTATGTGGCTAGCGCTGATGTCTCGCCTGTGTACCAGTAGTGCAGTACCGTTCGCTATACATCGTTTTCAGATGTTCGGCGGTTTTAGATCCGACTTCAATGTCACCAGTGGCACCCTCTTCGGCAGTGATTAATGATTGCTGGTAGGACTCGTCATTTGACACGCGCCAGACGCCTAGCTCATGTCCAACATGGATTTCCTCGCTATCGCCGGAACCAGTGCGCAGTCCAAGTCTGACACTGATAGGTCATGAGTGTAGACGTACACGTATGCTCCCCCATATGCATATGGTGTCCCTCCTGCGATCACCGTTAGCGCGGACGAACCACTAGAATCAGGCCGCTTCGCTCAAGTTTCGCTGGAGTCAGAATTCCAACGGCATATCGCACTAGCTGCAGTTATCCAGCCATAGTATAATTCCGCCAGACTAACTATGCACATGTCCTCGTGAGTGACAGAGTTTCCGACACCCTAGCATCAGAAATTTCCAGTCTAATTCTTTTATTCACGAATTCTCCTTTGTATCAGGAACGAATCAAAGATAGCGATACGGAGTTTGGTATCGTTCCTTCAGGAGCCAAATCCTGCTAAACGAGAACCCTTGACGCAAGATACCTTCCTTAGAGTGATTCTTCCGGGGCTTCTCTGCTGGCTTATGTACTATAGGTGTGGACTTTTAGATCAATTAAAGAAATTAAAGAAATTAAATCGAAGGAGAGAGAGAAAGAGAAGGGAAAGACACTCTGTTCGGGCCCCGTGAGCTTCAGAAGGGGCATATTATTGAAAGGGTATACTAGTGCTATATTCAGGGATCTCCCTCGCTTGAAATATCCCTCGAGGCTAGTTTCTTCGGTTTCCACAGCACATGAATTTTGCTTCGCGGCGCTGCGCGCCGTATTAACTCTCTGGATAGCTTAAGGCAAAACCTGGTGGTATTTTAAGTTTGAATGGACACCTCTATGTGTATCCCACTGCTCATGTGAATCGCAAGAAATTAAGCAACCTGGAAGTCAAAATCATTTTTCTTTCGGCGGCGCTGTCGCGCCGCTCACTTTATGCATCCCAAAATTAATGAACCACTTGTCACTTACCTACCTATAGTACTTCTACCTAGCTATGTGTCCCGGATCTCACAGTACAGATATAACTCTTCAGCCCCAATTTTGGGAGTGAAATAGCACCATAAGCGGTAAAATAGCGCATTTTTGGACAAATTCTCCAACAAAATATATCTCTTTCATTTTACAAACAGTTGTGGATGGGATCGCTTCAGTAGGAAGCTTGCACGCGTTGTGAAAAGGTAGGGAGGCTGGACAATGGCATGTGCATGCGGTGCCACACGCGTGAGAACACCTACCGAATACAGTATAACAATTCGAAGTCCGAACTATATCATTCAAACTCAGTTATAGATCTATTTCGCCACGCCTATAGTATAACTGCCTCTCTGCTACTATGTGTCAGCTCTGCTGGTCATCACGCCGCGAACATATTTACTACGGATTGCGTTTTTGCCACCGTCGTTGTGGCTGACATACTGCGCTGGGACGAAGGTCGACGTAACCTTGGCATACAATGAGCCCAGACTAAATTACTTCAACCAAGTCCAGATAGTGAGTGGATGTGTGTCTCAGAACGTTACTGCTAGCCTTTTGGGTATTGATCGACAGTGTGATCGTATTGAATGTCTAGGTCATCGCGACATACGTTGCTATCAGACTTTTAGAATGGAGCTTCCAAAGATCCCCGCTCATTAGATCTGAGGCTACTGGATCCAGCTCACGGACACACTCGGCGCAATCACGAGAGCAAGGATCCAATATAACGGAAAGGCTTCGAGACGCCCTGGATCTGGTGTGTAATCTGCGTGGTATAGGTTGGTCCTGGTCAAGAGGCACCTACATACCGCCGGTTCCTCGGGCCTACCCCAAATCTAAGGCTACATTTGTCGGGACCACTCTTGGATCAAGCCTGTTCCATTTCACGGTCTTCGACTGTATCCACTTCACCATCCAGCTCTGGTCTCCAGAGCTCGCCGACCCGGTCGGGGCTAGCCTGTTTGACGTCGCGCTCCGTCCTGTAGAACGCTATACGAAGGCCGCTGCTATCTGCGTAGCCACAGGATTCATTGTCTGCCATGGCCTGCAAGCGGCATATCACTTGGCGGCAGCCATCGGCGTGCTCGTTTTCCAGCAGTATCCTTCGCAGTGGCCTCCGCTGTTCGATGAGCCTTGGAAGGCGACATCATTAGCCGATTTCTGGGGCAGGCGGTGGCATCAGTTGTTTCGCCGGGGATTTGTTGCCGTCGGGGCCAAGCCGCTGAGCAAAATATTCGGCCGGGGCGGGGGCGTGCTGGGCGCTTTCTTCGCGTCGGCCCTCCTGCACGACTGGGCGACCTGGGGCATGGGAAGGGGGGGCGAATTCCGGACCGTAGGCCGCTTTTTCGTGATGATGGGCGTGGGCGTTGTGATGGAAGGCGTGTGGCAGAGATTTACGCTGCGCCGGGTGGGCGGTTGGCTAGGGTCGGTTTGGACTATGCTATGGCTGGTCGGGTGGGGTGTTGGGCTCGTCGACGCTTGGTCCCGAAGGGGCTTAGTGGCGAGCATATTCGTCCCGGATAACTGGAGACCTTCCCGGGTTATCGTGGCAGGGATGAGCCAGATGTTTGATGCGACCGACACAGTATAGGTATCGTATCGGTCGCTTACGGCGCAAGACAAAAGTGCCATAGATCACATCTTTACGTGACTCCGCTAGTCATGTACAGTAGCCAATATTGACCCAGGTTGAGCCCCATGTAGCACGGGACGAATCACTTCTCGTCGAATCTAGAGTCGTGGCTCAAACCTGAGCGGTCCTAAGTTTCTTACCGTATATGTATATCGATAACGGCTCACCTTCCAGGCTGTCTATTTCCGCCCGGGCTCGTGTCTTTCAGCCTGAGGAGCCACCGGACTTTTGGCACATGAAATCGCGTCTATTTGAGCCCGGAAAAAAGTTGGCTGGTGGCTGTCAGCGCGGTATAAACCCTCCTCGCCTAGGCAGGGCGGTGGGTTGACAATGGTTGACATTGAAATATAGTTACTAGTACATACTGAATTATGGAAAGAGCACTTTGGATGTGCCGCGGCACGCGGACGGCCACTGCTTCGCGGGGTGTAAAAAGCGGCCTACCTGTGACGTCGAAGATGCAAGCAAGATATAGCATGGCCTTCCTGTTGACCCGCTGCCGGCGATGTTAAACCTAAAGCTGTCTAAGCTGTCCCCTGTCAGCGCTGCTGCAGTTATCGCAGACGCCCTGCGCGAGTCGGGGAGCCGGCGGCAACGGCCGTAGAAGCGCCCTACTGCCTGGAATTGAGCCGCCTCAGATGACAACGCCGTATATACGCTTTACTTAGCATCCCGGCCGATGCCTGCCCTAGGTATTTCATACCCATGCACTGACCGTCGTCGTCGCCTCTGTCGCCGCGGGGAAGGTACCTGCTTGTTCTCGAAGGATAATTAGTACGCCAGTTCTTTCCTTCTCGGTTGCGGTCTCATCATGCTGAGTCGCGCGGGCAGGCATTCGTATGTTCGCGATGGATTTGCCAGACACCGGAGCCGACTATCTCCACGCGTACATCACCCCCCCTGCCGACTACGACCCCATTGAGTTTATGCCGACTCCGCTCGCGGACGAGTACCCACCCGACAGGCGGATGGGGGATCAGACAGCGGCATGGGCGACGATGCCCACACCTCCAGTAAGAGCCTCGTCCTCCGGCTCCTCGATACTCAGTAAAGTGTTGACTAGGCCTCGGACTCTGGTCTTGCTGCAGACAGCGAGGTGGGTGAGGGCCTGACAATATCCGTGTCCACTGCCTTTTATCCAGGGGCAGCGGTCGATCCTCTTCCTCCAGACCTCATCCTGGCGTCCGCGGACTCTGTCTTCTTCTATGTCCATTCCAATAGACTCCTCCGCTGCTCCCAGAATGGCTTCAATGCCTCCTTGCCGATACCCCTCACGGAGATGTACACCGGCGACTGCCCCATCTTAGCTGCCACTGAGACTTCAACCGTCTTAAATATTGTCCTTCATGCTATCTACGACCTTCCATTTGAGCAGTATAGTCCCACATCAGAGTGTCTGGTGGGCGCTGTTCAGTCCCTCCACAAGTACGGCGCTGTGCTGAAGCAGCTAGTCGTCCCCTCAACGCCTCTGTACCAACACCTGATGTCAGTCGCTCCATTAAACCCAATCGACATTTACACCATTGCAGCCCAGTTTGAGCTGGAGGAGCTCGCCGTCGCCACTTCATCTCATCTCCTGAGTTTTTCATTGTCGTCCATCTCAGACGAGATGGCCATCAGAATGGGACCGCTTTATTTGAAGCGGCTATTTTTCCTGCACCTCGGGCGTCTTGACGCATTGAAGCGTATACTCCTCCCTCCCCCGCCACCGCACCCACCGACGAACGCGTGCAATTTCGCGGACCAGAAGCAGATGGTCAGAGTATGGGCTCTAGCGGTGGCCTACCTCGCATGGGATGCGAGGCCTGGTAAGTCGAAAACACTTCTCCGTTCTTTCCAGGATTTTCACATCCCCCGTCTGGTATTGAGCTGTCGTTGGTTAGACTTGCCCATCACCACTATCAAACAGACTCTTAATCCCCTCATCGAGAAGTTGCCCTGCAATGTCTGCCGCAGCTCCTTGTTCGACAGGACAAAGAATATGATCATTCAGTGGTCAAGAGTAAAGGTATGTAGCCTGGTTTTTCGCCGTGGGCCGGTCTTCACCTTTCCTCGCGTCTTCCAGAATACGATATGACCGTATTGCTTTGGAGCGGTCGTTCTGAGCGCAGACTGATGTATCCCCGATTCTACCCTAGACATTCCGATGTAGTAGTATCAGCCTTGTGTCTTGTGTTTTGTTCCGTCCTACTGTCGTGCCCACGCTTTTTCTCTGAAGCTGTCGTTGCCATTCGTTGATCATTCACTGGAGTTGTAGAACTTCCCTCTAACTTATCTTGTTACTGTATGTTCTTTTCTTGTTATCATGCGGAGACTTCTCACTGCTTGCATCATGTACGTACGTTACTGCCGTTCAACGGCTCAAAGATGAACAAAAGCGCGCTCGCGAGACCAACATAGGTTGTAAAGGAACTTTGTGGCCTTGTGCAGTACGCCCGTTTCCCCCGCCGACTGACGCGGACTAACGACCGTCGACAATTCCCCCAAGATTATCCTGTGGTTCTCTTGCACCGTTGTATGAGCCAACTACATTCTGTTTTGTTCGATTCAGTTATTCCCCTCAACCGACAGATCTAGAGCTGGACTTGGCTTGCGCCGAACAAGACGAAGCACCTTTGACCAGGACAACGCGCGAACAGGAAGAGCTTCAGCTGTCGCCTCGTCCGTCCGTTCTCAAACATCGTACTCGTACATAATCGCCAAGTCCGTTAATGTACAATCTCCTCAACTACCTGATGCACTGCTATCTGGGCGGGCACCTTCTTCCCACTTGCCCGTTCATACAACAAACCCCACTGAACCCACCAGTCATTCGCGGCGTCCTCAGCCTCGTAAGCAAACACGTCGATCATATCATCACATACGGGCGAGTTGGCAGGCTTCCCGTCCATCGACGAGACAGGCTCCATCCCGAGATCCTTCCTCGCATCCTCGATCGAGGTCGACGACGAGCTCTGGGAGAACACCATCTGCTGCAGCATAAACTCCTCCGCCTCGCGGACGCGCGCGATACGCGGCTGCCGGATTTCCTGGAACGCGGAGAGGAGTGTGCGTATTTGGTCGCGCCGACTGAGGTAGGAGAACAACTGGGCAAGGCAAGCGGCGTCTTCGACTGCCATGCTACTCGCGTAAACCGAGCCGGCCTGTTGGGGCTTTAGTCACGAAAGTGATAGGTATATGCGGGGGGGGCGGACCAAGGAAGGGTGAGCAGCATCGCCTGTTATGACAATCGGGGCTGTTGGATGTACCCAGTCAGAGAAATTGGCGCTCTGCATGACGGTTAAGCGGGTGGCTCCCGGGCACAGCTCTAACGCCTTGGCTAGCCTGTTCAGACGCAGGGAAGGATACATGCGGAACGTCAGGTCGGGTACCAGCAAAGAAGTGACCCGCTTACGCTGGGTTGCTTGGTCCCATAAGCTCCTCGACCCTCTCCCGGCTTATTAGCCCCATCCACGGTTCTCGATCTCGCACCTCAGGTGGCCGGTCATCTGGTGCCCAGAGTATCAGGGCCAGATTTCCTGAGGTCCCCTGTGGTCGACAGCTATCAGAGTAACCAGATGAGTACAGCATATGTCACCCTTACACCTTGGAAGCAGAGAGCACTGCGCTTATCCCCACAAAGGACGAATAAGGTAGGCTACGAGCAGAGGTAAAATTCCGTCTTCAGTTCATAATCGTGCACTAACCTACCTCTTGATTGAAAGTAGAGGTGAATACGTTCAGTTCGGGATGTTCAAGCATTGCCTCCCGCTTGATCATTGCACTAGTTGAAGATGCATATCAGTCAGGTGGACACTTGCGGTGGAAAGCAAAAGCAATTACTTGAACAACACAAGCCCTGTCGATCTCCTATGGTCCTGCATCCGCAAGCATTCATCTCTAACTCTACTATATCGACCTTCCGCGCCAATCACCACGTCTGGTCTCAACGTCTCTCCAGTCCGGAGAATCACAATTGGAGGTTCTTCTGTACATTGGGGTATAACTTCGACGACTTCAGAGTCGTGCCTAATTTCGGCACCCAAGGATTCCGCCTTCTCTCGTAAAATTCGACGCAGATCTTGGTGCTGCATCAAGATGAAATCGCCACCACTCTCCGCGAGTAATTCGGACTGCCAATGATCGGTGTGGAATATTTCACCGGATTCCCCTACAGACATATATCAGCTAAAGACGGGAGCAGGGAATGGTGATCTCAAGGACGTGATGACGTACAAGTCATAAGTTTAACATCCTGGGTGTGCACCCCAAGTCTGTCTATTTCTTCTTGCAAGCCCCAGTCTATCATGATCTTTGACATGTTTGGCGGTACGCGAGAGCCCCCTGCTTCCTGTTACATCGCCCTTGAATGCCGTGGATATCTCTAGGTGGCATCGCAAACGTGCGCACCCGCTCTTTACCATCATCTTGCTCCAGGATAACCACACGATGTCCAACTCGTCTGAGAGCAATGGCACAAGAGAGCCCCGCGATCCCGCCTCCGACTATGGCAAAACTGAGGGAAAAGGATGCTGTAGATGCCTTGTATCGCAGTGTCAATGCGCCTCATGCTACTGCAGGTAAAGTACAGTGCTCACCGTCAGTCTAGGGTTTCGTGGTCCCAGCATCATGAATGTGTGGCCGTGGGTCGTAAGAGTCCATCGCGACGCTGAGCAACATCGTGCCCTGATAACTCTAACAGTGAGTAGGTAGCCGGGGAAACCTCAGAAGCGCGCGAAGCACTCCAGCTTGATCCCAGTACCCGACATCCGTTTACCGTCGCGACGGTTTTTGACGACCACGGACCGGATGAGGACCCCTGAAAATACCGATAGATGCCGGTGCCAGTCCGGACAAAAATCGCGGTCTCGAGCCCTCCATGCCAGACGCCATCCGGACAAGGATGGACGACCGAACCGGCCATCCCGGTTTTACAGTCCGGACACCGGTCATGACCGAGCCACCATGCCGGTTACAGTCCGGACACGGCTGTGTGGCAAGTTGGCAACGGACCGGCCCAATGTATTTACCCTTTATAGTATTTTAAACCAATTATGGTGCAGGTTTGTCCCAACCTGTCGTTGTGTACCCTCGTGTAGCCCTTATTTGAACTGTGATATATAGTTTCTAGTATGTAGCACAATGGCTCCGATGTCCAGTGGCTGAATGTGGCTGAGATCAGTACACTGTATTGTCAAAGTTTCCCTACACCATCACTTTACGTGACTCTGGAAGCATGGACGACGCCCACAATAACGTAAAGTGTGCGATTCGAGCTCGTTCATATGGGATACAGCAGTCTCAGCGGGATTCACATTAGGGCGTGGCGGACATTGACCTCACGGAAGAGGTGGACATCTCATTCAATCCCAAGGATTGGATTGGGACAAAGGCAAAACGAATGCCGCACTCCAGGGTCTGGACTCGGATGGGGAGGAGGATGGTTGATGGGAGTGGGCGGCCTTCGTGAATTCTGTCGCTTCATTGACTGCATTCAAGTCCTAGTACTATTACTGGTACATTGTACAGTGTTCTGATGAGTTGATAGACGAGAAAACATTTCTTTTCTGTTTTTTCAAACGCCGGTGCATTAGTCCGGACAAAAATCGGCCCCTTCGGGAGGCCGGTATTTTATCCGGACAAAAATGCAGGGGGGAGCCTCAGACAATCCAGACATGGAAATTTTGAGTCTCGCACCGGCATTTATCAGTATTTTCAGGGGTCCTACCGGATGCATTTCTTTGTAGCCCCTATCGCTCCCTAGGGCGGCAAGTTCGCATTGATGCAGAGTTACATGTATATTATGTGTTTAGGATAGCAATTCTGCACTGACGTGCTCTTTATCTGTAGCTCTACAATAGATTAGAACCACATCCTTAAGTGATGTACGATATCGCTTCCTGGTAAATAGGAGCGGTTGCGCAGTGCGCACTCCACAAGGCTCAGGCGTCACTGGGCAGTCTGGACCCTATACCCTTTGCGTCAGTAGTGTCACATGCGTCCCGAACGAGAGGACGGACGAACACTCATCACGCTGCTGTTGCATAGATATGTGCAGCCGCCCGACGGCGTCCATTCAAAAGCGTAGTTGAGCGAGGGTCGTTTGGCCATCTGCAAGTACGACACGGTATAGACTCCGTAAACGCCTGTTTCTTGGTAGAGACAGGTCGAACGCCAGAGGCTTGATGAGGCTGGAGTAAGCTCCGGGCTTTCGCGACAGTATTAAATGGAAGGCGTGCGTGCCGAGGCTATTTCGACAAGCAACTTGACTATACGCCCAGTGAATTGGCTCGCTGACTTACAAGATGACAGTCTTCTTCTGCGTTGTACAGGTCCCTTTGTTCGCTTTGGCTATCTTGCTAGATGCCCGGTTTCGGATAGTGGCATAGGTGAACTGAAACATCTGCTTGATGGTACCTTATTCGCCAGCTTCAGCTCTGCGCCCTCCCTTGCAGGAAAATGAATACGTACTGAGCAGAAACTTGGCCTTCCTCCGAACGTCGATCGCTAAGGTACTGATATAATGGTGCATTTTCATCGCAGCCACCAGGAAGTTCTGGTAGATGTTCAAGTAAAGAATCCTTTCTGAATTCAGCTCTGCATCACAATAGATGATGTGGCTCTTGTGCTTGGCAAGTCTATCCAAGGGTAAGCAAGATCACAAGGAGGACAAAGATGAGGGACCTACTGCATCATTTTCTGGACAAATGCGATACCAGGTTTGCGTGCGTTTTCCACGGTGAGTGAATCTTTGAGATCTTTTGGCAGCGTCACTATTATAGCCTCCTACAATTCGACCGGAACTCACAAGTCTCATGATACCGGGTGTAGTCCACGGATACAGACAAGTCCTTCATGTCAATGAGATAGCCACACCATGGAAATGCTCATGGGGGCGAACGTAAGTTGCTCATACAGTGCAGAAGTAGAGAACTTGTCATACCTCGCTGACTCGCATCCACGACGTTCAGAACATGCGAGCCATGGTCGAAGTTGACTAGGGTCTTATCCTGCGATATAAAGCACCCGTATTCGGGATGACCTGCGTCATCGGGTTCCATGCACATACATATGCATACATTCTGGGATTTGCAACTAAAGTGCGCATACCTTCGCTCATTACTTGCAGGAATGTCTTTGCTTTCGACAGGTCTGTCGTGATAAAGAGGTAGTCGTCGATCAACCTCAAAAGCACCTGCCGAAAATTGCATTATGTCTCTGAAAATCTCACTAATGGAAGGGCGTACACTTTCGGGGTCATTGGAAAATCTCAGCTTCCTTTGCTCGAGATCGCCGTAGAAGAACGAACAGAGGAGAGCGGACAACACAGATCCTTGTGGTATCCCGACCACTTGACGGTAATAATCAGACCCGATCTGAAAGACATCATCCCCCAAAGACTTCTCAACGAATTTCAGGCGCCATACCTTCACGATGTTTTCGGTGATATGCTCCTCTAAGAGTTTAATTATATCATCCTTCTCGGCGAATGTGTACTCGACCTGAGTAACGATTCAGCGTCCCGTTACACTTCAACTGGCAAGGAACCCAACCTGGTCGACGAAGATAGCGGATCTGAGGGCGCTCGCTAATCGTTGAGCTACGCTGAGGAAGTGAGGGTGGTCGTCTGAACCAGAGGGCGTGAGCAATACGTATGATGCCGGAATCTAATAGTCTCTACCTTCTGGGAGGGCCTTTCGAATGAATGAACGCTTGACCTTGCCTGCAGCGAGCGAAATTTGGCCATACCGCTGGATCATATAAACGTCCTATATGATACGTTACAACGACGAATGTGTTCATGACAACAATGAATACCTCGGAGATAATACGTCGTAGAATCGCCAGTAGTCTTGCTTGATCGATGGTGTCGAAACAGGCTTGTACGTCCAGCTTGACAAAATATAGCTTCGGCCTTACACAACGGAGCTGTCATGACTATCCCTCGGATAGGGCGATAGCTATAACTTACAATGTATTCGATGGAGAGGCAGTCTCAAAGCGCATCTTGAAGTCCTTTAGTCTCGTGTAAATTTCATTCGGCCCAAAAACCGATGATCCGAGAAGCGAGAGCTGGGCCTCCTGATACATATCATATCAATAACAATCCCCGAGCCTGCGATATAAACCAACCTTCTCATATGTTAAAATCTGGAATGTGGCCTGGAGAATCTGGTTGATGGATTGGTCACGAGTAGATGATCCCTGGGAAGCATGAGTCACGGAGAAGGGGGGCAGTATAGAATGAATTCACTTTCTGCGGGGCCTTTCGTCTCAGATTTACGATAGGTCTAACACCAGTCTCCTTCGGCAGCAGGCGCACGAAGGAGAAGCCCAGTCTGCGCTGTCTCAACACCTCTTCTGCTTCCCTCTGAAGGGCCGTCAGAGGTAGGAACAGTACCAGATAGAACGCACATTACCTCTTCCATCTTCTCGAATGTTTCCGAAGCGAGACGATCAACTAGAGGTTCACAGAGGGTTTGCCAATCATCGTGGCGAAAATACAAGATCTGGTTTCTGAACGCCGAGGATTCGGTGATGTAGAATGTTGTCTGAGTTCATGGTATGTTAGCTCCCGTGGCGGGAAAGGGGAGCGGGATACTTACCTTTAGCAGTGGGGCAAGGAAGGAATCAAAGTACCAGTACAAGAATTCGCCCAGTAGTTCGCGACGTTTCAGGTCGTCAGATACGCTGACTCTTGGCTGCCGAACACCTTCTGGAGAAAGCCAGTCGCAGTCACAGATGCTGAAACCTTGCATGACGTGATGCAAGGTAAGTGATTCGTATCGCCTGCAACATATGAATTCCTTAACATCTATCACTCGGTAAATAGGAGGCAAAGTACTACGCGTGACATCAGCTTGCTTACATCGTGCTATTTTCTTGAAGTTTTTCTGGGAACCCCAGAATGCGTGTGGTATGACGGCCTTGGTGACGAGTATTACATACCGATAAACCTAAGCTCGTGGGGCCATAAGACATTCTGCACCTCATAGACATGCAATCTCACCTCGATGTGACTACAGCAAAATTCAGCGAATTTAGGCTTCTGTCGGGCTCCTTTCCGAGCTTGCGACACAGCGCGCTTGACCATGGATAAGTCTGAAACGTCCATAGAGACGCTTTTGTTGACACGTGAAGCCTGAGACATGGGCTGCAAGGAGTGTTCCGACATGAGCTCCTAAGAGCAGATGATGTTAGTGCCCGACGTTGCAAAGATGGTTCATTCGGTGACTTACAAGGATCATGCTACTATCCATGGCCGTCGATCGACCAGTAGACACTTTCGAGGGGCAGACAGCGTCACATAGAATCTTGTATCTGCAGGTAACATGTCTCCATATGGTCTGCTCCAATAAGTTCAGAACTGGCTTGACGCGCTTAGGTGTCTTCAAGCACCCGCGCAACTGTATGATGTGAGAGGCTGCATGTTACTGGGTGGCTCAGGCATACCTTGATCTCCGACTCCCGATTCGAAAAGTTTGGTGTCAGTGCCGGCTGGTACCTATTCGTGCTGGTACAGCTAAAGGCATTACTGAGCCCGTACTGACGGGGAAATACATATTTCGCAAGATGGCGGGAGTCATCGGCACGCTTCCTTGGATTAGACAGCGCAGAATGCGCTTGGGTGTACTTCTGCAGTCGCGTGTAGGACGGCGCGATTCGGTTAAGCACGTCTGCTGAATAAATGAGCATTGACAGCCATGTATGCGGAGTCGAGAGCATACGCACGGTTTGGAGGTAGACCAATGATTATGTTAGATGACTGAGGGATAAATTTTGGTCTGGAATAGAACATCCGTACTCGAACAAATGAAATATCTGCGGGAGTTCTATAGTGGAGTTTTAAGTGCATTACAAGTCCCCGACGAGACGCACTTACCTCTCACAAGTCGGATCACGGGTTACATCCTGTGCTTGCCGGTAAGATAGTACGTCTTTGGCCACATTCAGTCGTCGTCGCTTCACAAATCGTTGCTCTGGGTGTAAATTCGTGGGCCGCCTTTTGCGACAGGTTTCCGTAATTGGTGCATTGAATTTAGAGGGTACTATCCACGACTGTGGCACTGGCTTGTACAGTAAAGGTTGACCAGTGACTTGGCAGAGGCAGTCATTCGGCAGGGTCACAAAGATAGACATCTCTGTCAGTAAATGAAACATTGCATCGTCACCCACTCTGGAATCATAGCGAAAAATGAGTAAGATTGCAAATCAGAGAGCAAACACCCCACCTTTTCAGCAGTCTTTCCCATTCAGGGGCCTGTAGGGCCGTCACGAGGGTGTTTACAAAATAATTGGTGATGGAGAGGCGTCCGCCATTGGCTTTTCCCTTCTCCTCGGTACGGGAAGACTACGAGGGCGTCACGAACGAGAGGATAGCAGCAAAAATGCAGGTCTTACGAGCTTGTAGCCAGCGGCAAGTATATTTGCTGGTTTCCTTCCTTTGCTTTTCTTGAAAATCTTCTCTTGTGCTTTGTCAATGATCTAGCTCCATATCAGCCCCGTTCACGGTGCCAGAACAAGGCATTTTACCTCATTCATGTAGGTAAGCGGTGGATAGGGCTTGTAGCGAGGAGACTCATGTTGAGAGAGCGGCAATGATGACGCGACATAGGAATATTGGAGTAAATCCTTGTATGCTTGAGGATCGGAATCGCGGACAAGGGTCAAGTTGCCAGACGTGTCGAGGATATGGGATATGTAATCCTGCAGTGTACTGACAGAATTGTAATACGACCGCAATACCAATGCCGTTATAGACATCGCGATGTTATACGTCGAGGCTGAACTCGAGTTTGATTGTCAAGAGACAGACGCCGCGGTGGCTTGATAGACATGACGCCACAGCGCGTCTCGCGTCACGATCACGACCCGTCACAGGTCCTGTCACGCCGCGTTCATTGAATTCACTATTCGATAATAGTACGAAGCATGCAACTTGAAGTCATCAGACTCCCCTTATAGACATTCATCAAAACTGAGGAATGTGTCAAAAGCAGTAAATTCCAGGCATGTTCTTCAGGCACTCCTATAGATACAAAGAAATGGGCAGAAACGATACAATAAGATTGCGGAGCAGAGAAGATTTGGTCATTTGCTATCCTTCAGGATGTTTCTTCGACAACTTCAGTTATACTAGCACTTTGAGATGCAGGTGCAGGTGCAGATGGGGTATCGATTCCTAGTGCCTTCTCACTCTTTTCTTTATTCAGGAGGAAACCTATTTGGAGAAGGACTTAGGGGCACCTTGCCGGTGATAGCCCATACAAGCGTACCTTTGAACTTCTGGTTCGCGACCCTTTCTCGCTCTTTCTCGAGAACCCTCAGGCGTTCCAACTCAGCTTCAACTCCCGGCGCATCTGATAGCTGGGTTAAAAGGTGACCAATGAAATAGACGACGGGGGGACACACCCTCAGGGCTCTTCTCAATCACTTCGCGTAAAGTCTTTTCGCACTTTTCAAAATACCCCAGCTCTCCTAATGCCTTTCCTTTGCGGAACATAGCTTTGTAATTCTTCTCGTTCTTTTTGAGAGCCTGAAGGATACGAATCGGTGAGACGCGCAAGGACAACTTAACGGTCCCACCAAACCTGTTCTGCAGTTTCCAGTGCTCTCTTCCAATTTTGCTGCTTTAGATGGCAAGCAGACTGGTTCGCATATATCTTCTCTAGCAGTCCCTCGATCTGGCGTATAGAATCCTATCAGCACCCCTCCGCTTTGTGAAGAACCTACAACTTGGACGCACTTCTGGATTCTTGCTACCCTCCTGGCCTGATGTTGCTTGCGTCGCAGTCCTGATCGATGGGAAGCAGATCAGTGGCGCTTTCTGTCAGAGTTGTCGGACAATCTACCTACGTATTTAGCCCACGAAGGTACATAAGAGACTATCTCCCGCCCATGAGTATCAAACCGAGTCAATGGTATGTTCAATGACATACCTCATGGTATGACCACAACGCTTTCGGCATCCCCAGTCAGAGTCTCGCAGAGCGTACGAGAGAGGGATCCAATCCTACCTGCTTTCAGATCCCCATTCTTGAAAGCCTGGTCGCCCGTCTCCTTCTTTTGGCGAGCAATATCCAGCTTCGATTGCTGGACTGGGTCAAGCGTAGTAGCACTTCCTTCAGACATTCTCTCGTCGGTGGTAGAGGCTATGTTCCGCGAAGAATGATCTATTCCCTTGGGCTAGCGTAGGACACAGTGACACGAGTAGACAGTATAGGACAACTGAATGAAGCTACGAAGCTAGTAGAAGTGGCACATTTATACTGGAGTGCAGCGCTCGCCGCCACACCAATTCAAGGCTTTGTTCCGTTCTCGATTGGATCGGAATCGTCCGCCCGGCGCTGCCTGCGTTTCAACTTCAAGTCCGTCACTTTTATTCCTCCACCGTCACTTTGGCCGTCAACTAGAGGCCCATGACCGTCCTCACCAGTGTTCTCGGTTTCTCCTTGTTTGGCCTCGCTGCCAGGATGGGGCAGCTCGGCATCCAGAAGCGCAACTTAATGTCAAGTAAGTAATCCAGCGATACGGCAGACATTGCATGCTCATGCGGGACTATGTGTGCGCTACAGATCCTGCAGGCCATCTCATTGCCATGGGTGTCTTTGGTTACGCGGGTTACTGGGCACATGTGTGGGAAGAACGGTCGACCGCCCTCATTGCTGAGAAGCAGGCTCAGATCGCTGAGCGGCGAGCGAAACTAGCGGCTGCCCAATCTGCGGACAGCTGAGCACTGAGAAAGATTTGGCTGCTTCACAGGAGATGGAGGTGTGCGGTCCGCTGTACGTCCCTACCATATATTATTATGAATACTTTGTCATACGATCGCCCGGTAGGCTGAAAGGGATCGTACTACGTCTGACTCTATGGCACCTCTCCAGGGGTGGGGTATATTCGACTATCTTCTTAGGCAATGTGCAAGTCAGAGAATGCCGTAGCACATCAGCTCATGTTGTCGTCCTCAGATTGGAGCAAAATACACAATGGTACATTGTTCGCTTCAGTACAAGGAATACACAGTTTCGACGGAGTTTACAAGTTACAACGCATGCAAAGCCCCCGCGAACGAGGAAGGAAAAGCAAACTAAGCACGCGGAAATGATTGACAACAATGTAAACACCCAGAAGATGAATGAATGTGGCGATAGGTTGACTGCTAAGAAAAGCAAGACAAGAGTCAACCGCCGAGGAATTCGACGAGAGAGGAGGTGTCACAGTACACAGTGAAACATGTACAACCCACGTAGGGGCAGAAGGAATCCAAGAGGGTGACGCGGACTTGGTACACAACATCGAGGCCACCTTGACGAGGAATAGGTGAGCAGGCTTCGCAGAGGAAAAACCAAGGCCATCGATGTGAACGGGAGATGGAAAATCACAGTAAGGAGCGTGTGTGTGAGGTAGTATCGACCGTACAGAACAAAGGGGAAACAAAGGAAATTGAAATGAGCGGAGGTATCCAGCTGCGCAAGAGGAGGCAACGGGTAAATACATATTCGGGAAGCAAGGAGCGGAAGGGCAGGGGACGAATGAGAGAAAGCAGAGAATACAACGTCGGCCCTGCCAACAAGATATTACAGACGAGAGAGGAAACCTTCTGAAGTTGCATAGAAAATATAGTAGACTTGAGCGCAGCGGTGGGAAGCAAAGGAGAGTGAGGTTGTCGCTTTGGATTGGGGAAGACGATGTACAGAGCTTGAAAGCAAAAGCCGAGAGCAAATTGATTCACAGATGATTGATGAGAAATGAATTAGATCCAGAAAATTGAGCAGAACTTGAAATTGGCGTCGGTGTCCGTCTAGACGGGGGTAGGATGGTCTGAAGGCAGGGTGGAACGCGGTGGGTGCAGAGGGACAGACGGAGTGGCGCTCGCGGGTTTAGGGGAGTGGATACGCTTAATATATAGTATGATGTCTGTGTGTCCAAGGGAATCGTACAAGTCTACGGCCAAGGCGCAGCGGAAGGGGCCATCCAATTCGGCTCTGCGGGGTGCTTCACGCCTCGAAGTCCGGCCGTCCGGCAGTGGTAGTGGTGGGTTTTGTTACACATTGTACATATATTCACAGTTCACCCGCCTTGGCCTGATGGTAAGAGCAAGGGTCGCACTTTCAACCTACACAATATCGCATAGCATCTCCTCCTCCGCACCAAGCATCCCGCCTTGATCCAGGCCCCGCCTTCAACCTATCACTTCAGCTGGAAGGCATCGCCCAGGCCGGAGCCCGAGCCCGAGCTCTCCATGCTACCGGTGGACGGATAGTTGTGGTCGTCGTCATCGCCACCATGGTCGGCGCCAAGACTCCCGAAGGAGATCTTCCTACCTATCTTTCGAACCGGTGAGCGCAACTCAGTGCGCTTCACGCGACGCAGAGTGCGAGGAGGATGCAGTGAAGTTGGCCGGGGGGCGGTAGAACCAGGAAGCGATCCACTGGTCTTGGTGGCGAAGGACGACTCCTGCTCTTTAACGCCTGGGAGGAGGCCACCGAGGATACTGGGATTTCGCTGTATGTTCATGGGAAGTCGTCTCGAAGTAGGACTGCTCGGGTTCTTGGTCGAATTGGAAGTAGACTTGGCGCCGGAGGCGGATACCTTGGTGGAGGAAGAAGAAAGGGAGTTGGCACTGTAGTCCGAGTCATCCTTCTTGGTGTCAGAGGAACGAGACGAAGAGTTGGACAGTGCCATCGAGATCCGCACTGGAGATTCTGCTTTCGTCCTCGGTTTCTTGGCTTTCCTGGACCTGCTTTTCTCTTCTTCGTCCGAGGATGGCGCGTTATCCTTACCAGCGACTACAATGCTCATGCGGCTGCTATCGGAAGAGCTGCTAAAGCTGGGGGCCCGTTTGAAAGGCCGGGAACTAGTGGCAGCGCTGACAAAGGAGTCATATCTACGCAGACGTGATACTCGGTTATTCGAGGGAGGGTTCTCGCTCATGTCCAATGGCTGAGCAGCGGAAAAGGGATACCGAAGTAACTCTGGCCGGGAGATAAAGCAGGAGCTAGACGGAAGGATGCTGGGGACATTTTCTGAGACAGATGATCGCGACGATGGGGTGGAAGGCCGTGAGGTTGGTTGGAAAGATAATACGCGTTCAACCTTCTGGAGACGGGTCGACAGGCTAAAATTATGTCAAAGATTGTAGGTCGGAATATATCACTATTAACGTACCGGATGATGGTATCACTTTGAAGATCTGGTCTGTTCCCTTCGATGGAATCCAAGGAAGTCTGCTGGCGGAGGGAACGCCTAGGCGGAGTGTTCGTGGTGGCCTTGAACACTTCTATATCATCGCCCCCCTTGGCACGTGAGCGGGCAAGTTCGACGATCCTTGCGCGCGTCGCGCGGAGGGAATGCGGCCAGTCAGCCGTGTCAACGAGTCCCTTGGCCATCTTATCCAATAGATTGGAGGGAGGTACAGGTCCGGTGAACGGAGTCAGTATGTTTGAAGGAAGTGCATCCATGGTCTGAGAACAGATATCAGCCAGAAAACTCGAGCCACAGGGGAACGCGACAAACACTCACACGTTGAAGTAGTTTAATATGATCGGAGGTCCATTCCGCCTCGACGGCGTCCGCTTCGTCACCGTTCGAGCTATTCCAGCTCGAGCCACTATCTCGGCTCCTTCTGCTAGAGGTTGACGCGTTGAAGAAGAAAGACGAAGGCGGGGAGGCGCAGTTCATGGGCGTGCGTGGAGAAGCGAGGCCCGAGCGTAGGGACGCGGAACGACGGTGTGGCAGAACAGGACGTGGCATGACTAGCCCCAGCCCGTTGGCTGCAGCTGGTCGCCGTTGTTGCATTGCGACGGCTCGTCAAAATGAACGAAGAGTGGAATAACACAAAGGAAAGTCGAGTATCCGGAATAACCAAGAGTCGAGTGTCCTAGAGATGTCGCAAGAGCAGAATATTCGTGTTTTGGGCGCGTTGCTACAGGTTTGCGTAGAGATGAGCGGAATGCTTTAGTGTAGCTGTCCTAGAGTAGGTCGTGAACGGAGGAGGCAAGAGGCAGAAAGAGGCCGGGCGCGCGACGCTGTGGGCAGCGCTATCGAGATCCTGTACACGTTGTCTATTTCGAGCTCCGCGCAGACACGAATCAGCCGGCCCTAAACTCGGCTATTTCCGCGTAATATCCCCCTTCACGCGTCAAGCCACAGACGTATCCTGTATTCGTGCCCTCAGGAGGCTTCAAACATATCCAGAGCGGAAGTGGTATGTTTTGTTATTTTGTTGAACAGAGAGGGACACAGGTATCAGCCCAATATTCCCGCCGACACGCCCGCTCACCCCGTATTTGCCTCCGTTCTTTCTTCCCCTTCCGGCTCGTCGGTCGGCCACGTTCCTTGATCTGGTGCCACAAGGGCTGCCACGCTCCTGCTCCAGAATAATCGCGCCTCTCCAATCTGATGGTGAACCCGAAAGAACCCCCGTCCGACCTGAAATCATGATGTACCAGACATGCCCCGACATCTGCCCGCCATCCTATCAGCAACTCGTCGAACTTTCCACGGCTAGTGGGAACGAGTCTTTGGCTACATACGGGCATCCTTTCAAGCACGGCGATATAACTGAAGCCCCGTATATGGAGCTGGTCGACAATGAAACCATTTGCTTCCATATCTCGGGGATTCTGGAGAAGCGCGTGTGGTGCCTGGCGCCTCCACAAGCGGTTAGCAAGTGCTGAGGAAGGGTCAACTCTGATATCATAGTCCTTCGGAGCACTCGATACCCTCTAATAACTCGGCACAACGTCCCGAAGTCATAATAGGTGAGTTTGACAGACGTGATCATTGGATCGACATGCTGATGTCTCACTTGATTTTCCTTAGGTGCCTGGCTGACTCTCAATATTAATGGTTGACCTGACAATATCGACCGACTACTACAGCGCCTCGTGCGTCCTAAGCGTCACCGATACTCGGTGGTGCTCAGATATCAGAAGCACTCTAGCATAGAGCAGTCCAGCTGGGACGTACACTGAACGTCTTCCATATTTCCCAGCCGCGCCTCGCATCTCTTCCTGATCAATCTCTACAGATGGCCTTCGCTCACATGAGCTGCACATAGGCTTCCAGCCTGAGGTCAGCGTCTCACGCGAATATCAGGGTGACTTCTATCTTTTTCCTTGCCTGTCTTCAGTCCCTTCTTTCATTTATCTGCTGTGAATCTTTTAGTCCAAGATTATTGGAAGCCACTTATGTGTTCGTTCGGGAAGTCCAGTAGCCCGTGGGTTCTGTCATCTCCCTGGCTATTCAAGACATGCGTATTGGTCCTCTAAGAGCGCGCTTCCGTCTCTCGATAGTGCATATCTTCGATGGCATATATACGCTGGATCCTAGCTCGTGCGAGTCGCCGATACACGGTCGGTCGCTTCATGGTCCATAACTATACTCGAGTGAGATCAAGGCTATATAAGATACCCGATCACGCTGTCCGAAATGCCGCCCCTTCAGTAGAGATACCTATGACCTTTTTTATAAATTCATTTTTCGCGGTTTAATCGAATCCGCACGGCAACATGCTTGCAAGTGCAAGTGGCTACCCAGTACTCGGAACCTGAGGTACTTGTCATATGTACTTATTAGTCGCAACCGCTGCATTTTAGTAACTACGCTACAATGAAGGAGCTCAAGTATCTACGGGAACAGTATATACATCTACTTCCATGGCCATTTGGTCGTGGTGCACCCACTGCAGTTCTCGTGGTACGGCTAGGGATATAGTCGTGGTTTCGGCAGACGCGGGCAGCGCCACATGGATTCCCATAGCGGATATTGCCGAGCGTCACGTCACGGCTACATGTCACCAGTGCCCATTTGGGCATTACTTGCCATACAACCCCTAGTTTTTATATTTTCTTCGGCCCATATGGCCTCAGTTAAGCCTTCCTACACCAAAAATAGGAGCATTGTGTCCTTAATCGAGTCTTAGGGAATGGTAGTCACGGCTTGTGTGACATCTTACACTGTCACACTTCCTGTTCCGGTAGGTTCCTTCGTTG